TAAGAAGCACTATGAATCCGAAAAATCAAATTTGTTCAAATGCTTTTAAATTTTTTGCAGTTGTTATTATCATGTTAAAATTATTTTTGAAGTTATTTAGTTAAATTAACCAATTACACATTTGTTTCAGTGTATAATAAATAATAATAATAAATGTCCCATCAGTAATGTCCCGTCAGTAACGAGAAATCAAAATGCATTGCCTATATAGATTACACTGAAAGATGAGTGATGTCAAAATAAGTTATACTAACTGCATCTGCAACTTGGTTCATTTATACTTTTCTTCAACATTATTCTGTTTCAGAGAATTATTCTCTTCTAGTAACCAGAAATTTTTATGACCTTTTTCTTGTCCCATCAGTAACAACATTTTATTGATTTCTAGTTCGTAAAATAAAAAACATTTTAATAGCTCTGATACTGAAAATTTTACACAAACTATAGCTTTAATAGTTACCCAAAAATTACCGTCATTAGCCCATTACTGATAGCAAGAAATATCAAAAAATAGTTAAATTTTTTTCCGATTGTCCCATCAGTAACGCGTGCAATCGCCCCTAAGCAAAGACCACTTTTTCAAAATTACATTTTAGTGAAAATTTTCGAAAACTAAACCTGAACCGATATTTACGTTCGTGACATGTTTTCTTCATAATTTTGACCTGATTGTAATTCAGTTGTCAAATTTAGGTTTCAGATAAAACCAAAATCACCAAGAATCAATATTCGAAAACAATTCCTGGATGATAAATGTCTTAATAAAATCTGATTGCTGGATTTTACTGTTTTTTTACTCTGTTTTGCATTTTAAGTACATTATTATCATGTCACTGAATGATCAAATCAAGGATCAAATGATGAAAATTAAATGCCAATAATTTTGTGTTGGTGGACGACAATGCCCGTCCGCAGGGCCGTGCCGTGATATGATGCGGAGATGCGGCCGCATCAGGCGGCACCGTAAAGGGGCGGCATTAGCAGCAACATCAAAATAAAAAATATAGGTACAATTTAGATTTTTCAATAATTAAAAACGCTTAAAGACGCTTTTGACACTTTTTTATATTAGTCTGTGTTATTCCGGTATTAACTTGAAATTGCAGAGAATCTTGAATGTAGTAAAGAATTTCCTGTCGAAACTGAAGTTAGATCTAGAAAGAAAAAGCGCCAATTTGATTATGAAAAAGCTTTAGATGAACCATTAACAGAGGAGGAGAAATTTAAAATAAACTTTTTTAATTATATTCTGGACATTACCATTAATTCTCTGAATGAACGATTCACGGTTTTGGAAACCCATAGTAAAAATTTTAAGTTTTTATATGATATTTTTAAATTGAAAGATATTGATGACAAAATGCTAGAAAATTATTGTACCAGTCTCCAGACAATACTTTCGGTGGAAAATGATTCAGATATAAATGCAAATGACCTACAAGAAGAACTACGTGATGTATCCTTGATGCTGAATTATTCTGAGAAACCTTTAGATGTTTTGAATTACTTGTGCCAAAATAACTTAAATACTTTGTATCCGAACACTTTTATAGCTTTGCGAATTTTATTGACACTCCCTGTATCTGTAGCTAGTGGGGAAAGAAGTTTTTCAAAATTAAAACAAATAAAAAACTACTTAAGAAATTCAATGAGCCAAACAAAACTTAAAAATCGATCAATAATATCTATTGAATCTACATTAGCTGCCACTCTTGATAACACATCTTTAATTAACGAATTTGCTAAAATAAAAGTTAGAAGGGTAAAATTATAGTAAAGTCCTGTTTTAGATGACACTTAATATTATTGTTAGAGGTAGTTTATATGTATGTTTTTTTTTTTCAAAATAAAAATAGTTTTCATACATTTTGTGCAGTTTTCTTGTGAATCCCAATCGAGGTTATTAAAGAGAAAACATTTCAATAGCATCAGTTAAGGGCGGCATTTCGAAAACTTGCATCATACTGAAAAAATCTACCGCACGGCCCTGCCCGTCCGCATCGCGCTTATATCGTAAATGAATATTTAAGGGACCATGATATTGAGAGAATGAATTGGCCACCTTTGTCTCCGGATATGAATACTATTGAGCATGTGTGGAGCAGGATGAAACTGAAGATGAAAGAGAGGAAAGGACGCATGGAAAATATGGATGAATTGGTAAATTCGATTCAGGAAGAATGGGAAGCCATACCCCAGTAATTTCTAAGGAACTTGGTCTAGGGAATGCTCAGGAGGGTTAACGAATTATTACGGGTTAGGGGAGGGCCAACGAAATATTGAAAGTTATTATTGTTATTGTTTGTTACATTTTTCTGTTGAATGTTGTAGTTTTTATTATGATTATATCTTCGCATAAAATTTTCAAAAATAAACAAACAAATTTTGTATTTAACTTTATTACCAATTAGGTAGGTACTTATCAGTAATAAGTTATCACTAGTGTGCAATATAAATGTAATTTATGTAACATTATCCTAACCACTCAAACAAAAATGAATCACCAAATGGCATTGGCAAAGGCATGTTATTGAGACATTTAACAGCCGGAAATTGTTTTCGAATTTTGATTCTTGGTGATGTTGGTTTCATCTAAAACTTAAATTTGACAACTGAATCACATCAGGAGGTCAAAATTATAAAGCAAACATGTCACGAACGTAAATATCGGTTCAGGTTTAGTTTTCGCAAATTTTCTCCAAAATGTCATTTTGAAAAAGTGGTCTTTGCTTAGGTTCCTCTGAAATTAATGAAAGTTTGTTGCTTGTCGCTTGTTCAGAATTATTCAAGGAACAATCTTTTACCATCTTATCTTTTTGTTCTTAAAAAGGCTGAGTGTATTGCCTACAAAAAAGCATAAAATGTACTCCATTGAAAAAAAAAATCATATTTTTGTTGCTAAGATTCCAATTCAAAAAATTTGAAAAACGTTTCAAGGTAAGACATAATACTTCATTATTTCAAAGTAAAAACGAAAAAAAAATATTTATTTTACAAACGGGGCTTGGATGAAGTTATTGGAATTTTTCACTGTTTTACATATCACCCTGTAGTAAATTTACGTGAAGAACCGTGAGCTTCATATCTATAGCATGAATTGCCAGAGAATGGGGCTAGCAGACATCACAAACCAAAATAAAATCGTTCAAGAAACAAAAAAGTTATGTCGTTTTGAAAAAGGACGAAATTTTTGGTCGCGACACATTGACTGGTGCGCAGTTTAGATACTTTTCAGAAGTAACTTTCCCAGCTCTGATAGAGATGATAGATCTAATAGAATATTAATGATTAATAGTAAGAATAGGAAATACCTTCTCCAACTCATTTGTCAATCAACAAGGTTTACCCTACAGAGTGTTTCTTTCGCATTTCACGGAAAAATGTCTTAAATAAAAGGTTAATGTGACCAAAGGGTGGTGCTACCGCTAGCCACCCCTACCCCTCCTTAAGGGTGAAACGGGGGGTAACTTTGGAAAGTCAAATGGGATGACCCATTTTTTTTCACAGATTTTGGTGGTACATAAAAAAATGAATAACTTTTATTTGAAACTTTTTTTAAATTTATCAACAGATAGCGCTGTAATTCAAAATTTAAGAAAAATGGTTTTCCTTTAAAATGTATTATTTGAAACGTTTGAAAAACAAAAATTAACATTAAATCAACAATAGTCGGCTCTGAAAACAATTTATAACAAATGTTTAAGACATTTTTCCGTGAAATGCGTATTTCTCGAGATATTGAGCTCTCTTAAGTTAAAAGAAACACCCTGTATATACACAATTGTGCTGATATCTACCATCATAAATTCGAAGAATTAAATCATTTATCGAAAACATCATAGGTACATGCTACAATTTTCCGACGATACTGCTCTATTAACACACGGCCGAACCTTGGAGAAAGTCATGTAAAAACTTAATTTGACAAACACAACTATGCAATAATTCGATAAATGGAGACATAAAATTAATGCAAATAAATAAAACATGAAAATTTTTAATCACATTTCACATACCAACTATTTTAATGAACAATCATATATTAGAAATATTATATTACAAGCAACACGCTCGATTCAGAATTAAACTTTAACAAACACACCAAGCTAATAAAGAATAGTCCCAACATTTTAGTAGCCTAACTTACAAAAACGTTGGCATTGGTTTTTACACAAGCACAAAATGATATGCAGGCCTATTTATCCTATTTCTTAGTTGCAAAAGACATTAGGATAGCAGAATCAACATCCTTACGTAAAATTACAAAAATCCGCCATCCCAACAATCCAATTCATAACCATTCTAATAACCTACTATACAGTGTATAGTATACACTACAACAGATATTCAACCCATACAAGAACGAATTAAGACACTCGCAAAAATGTTCAGCAAAAATGACCTCAATTTTAAAATACTGAAAGAGGAAATCAAAGATCTACACACCAACATCCTGTTGAAACCACCTTGGAGATAATCACAATATTATACATTACCCCAGGAAATCTTTAAATGTTTTTTTTGTAATTTATTTATTTTAAAACGTTAAATTGTGTAATTTGTTGTAAATTTATATATTTCCTGCAAATTATTCTGCTGAAGGACCAGTCAATGGCCTTTGAGCCCTGTAGTTCAATAAAGCATTATTATTATTAAATTTTGTACAAAAATCTATCTTACTTTTTACCTGTTACTTTAACCGTTTTGCCGTAATTATGTACAAATGGCACCTACGTAAATTGAAGTAGCGTTGAGTGAAGAGTATCACATCTTAATCAATGGTAGTAGCCAAGGTAGAAAAAATTGAAAAAAATAAACTTAATTTATTTAATGTTATTTCAATAGGAAAACTTTAAAATCAAAATAAAAATAAAGGCATTTTTTTCAATATGTACATCAATATTTTGCTTGGGGAGTGACAAAAAATAAATGTTCCTTTAAATATATACATTTCTTTTGGGGTTTAGGTTTCCTGTACACTTTAAAAATAAAAGAAAGTATTTTTTCAAACAACAATGCATTTATTAATGTTCATAATAAAAGAACAATTGCACTACAATTATCTAGGTATTGGATAAATTTGATACATGTATACTGTACAATTAGGATAAAATTTTTAAAAATGCTAAAATAATGTAATATACAACAGAGACAAATAATAATATGTATATGGCGATTAAAAGTATAAAGAACAATTATATAATACTGGACAAAAATTGAAGCACCTCTTATGATAAATGTATATTTTACATGATACAATAAACAAACCTTGCAAAAAAGAAGAGTCCCTAAAATTATTGGAATGAAGGGAATTATGTAAATTGAAAGGAAAACTTTACCCTCACCACTAAAAATCTGCTATACATAGACGTTTCTCTTAACAACTATTCAACTAATTATTTATAAACACTGTATTGTACATTAATATCAAAGGGGGTCGCCCCCTTAATTAATCAATAAATCAATTAATATTATTATTATCGCCAAGATATGGTGAAGGCTGTTGGTATGTAAACTTAACTTACTCTATGCAATTTAATCCTCCAAATTTCTGAAGGCCTGCTGGATGTCTTCGTAGAGCTGATCGAAATCAGCCTTGATTTTGGCCTCGCCGTCCTTGACGGGATCCTTGAACTTCATACTGCTCAGCTGGTACAAAATGTTGCTCATCGAGTCCCTTATCACGTTCCACGTGATTTTGTTTTCCGACTGCGCCGTGCTTTCTACCGCGTGACGCGCCATGTCGTACAAACCGATCATGTTTCTCAACATGCCGACGGTTTTGTAGAACGGACAGAATCTGTCGTACGAGGAGTACGAGTTTTGTTGCAGGAAATCTTCTTTCAACAGTTTCGCCACTTCCAAGGTGATTTTGTCGGTCTCGGCCAACGAGGCTTTACCTACCAGCTGCACAATTTCAGACAAATCTTCTTCTTCCTGTAAGTTAAATAAAATACGACATTTTTAAGACATGACTAGATAAAATAGAGTAATTGCATCAAAAATGAAAATCCCTAAAAACCTTTTTAATGTAATCTAGAGGTAAAACACATTGAGAAAATATTTTTTTATATTCCAAAAGTTCAACCCGGCCCCAAAATATCAAATTGAAAAAAGGTACTTTTCAAACGTTCCCAAACTCCCGCCATATTGCATGACGTCATAAACCTACACCAGTGTCAGAAATCAAGATGTCAACAAATAATAAACACCGATAAAGTTTAACATGTTTTACATGTTTAACATGTGCCTTGTTGTACAAATACAACCTGGAATACTCCTGGGAAAGTTGTCCCTTCAATTATCAAAAGCAAAGTTTATGACCCTACACTGAGAGCCGTTACGGCTCAGCCGTATTTTCTTGAGTTTATTATTATTTAACATACCTTTTCCAACCATATACATACCTAGTAAACGACATTATATTTTACTTACATTAAAATGATCCTCGCAGCAATAAAATGTTGACTGCGGTGACAATGTTTTGATATCGCGCCGAGCTATTTTAATCCACTTTATCCTTATTTTCCCTTTTGGCACGGTGATAAACCTTTTCCCAGGAGTTTTCCAGGTTGTATTTGTACAACAAGGCACAAAACAATATTTACAACCAATTTTGGTTTTCGCGTTTTCCATGTTAAACATAAACTTTATCGGTGTTTATTATTTGTTGACATCTTGATTTCTAACACTGGTGTCATTTTATGACGTCATGCAATATGGCGGGAGTTCGGGAACGTTTGAAAAGTACCTTTTTTTCAATTTGATATTTTGGGGCCGGGTTGAACTTTTGGAATATAAAAAAATATTTTCGCAATGTGTTTTTACCTCTAGATTACATTAAAAAGGTTTTTAGGGATTTTCATTTTTGATGCAATTATTCTATTGTTATATCCAGCTTAAGTTGGCATTAATACTACAAATTAATACAGACTAAGCACTACCAATTCTTAAAACTGTTTTGCTAGCTATAATAACCTTGTAGCTATATTGTAGCAATAAAGGTAGAAACTTAAAGCTCATTCACATCCACTTAATACGCGTAACTTAACTTAACGTACGTGATAGACGTAAGTTGAAATACATTGAAACCAATGCAGCTGTTTACATTCGTAGAAAACTTATCAGTGATAAGTTATCACACGTAACTTAACGTATCCAAAAGTTGGGTCCGGCTCAACTTTTACGTTTCTTACGTGAGCCAATCACATGCCCAGTAAAACGATATAGCGCTATCTTGTTGTTTCACTTTTATAGATAGATAGGCAACCCAGTCTACATCCATGTCTACATTGCGCGTGCTTGTATATTGCGTTCTTTGCGAGTATTAACTTAAAAGACGTAGGTTTATTAAGTTAAGTTAAGTTACGCATATTAAGTGTCTGTGAATGAGCTTTTAAGATTTGTATCCTTTTTTGTGCCAATGAGACCGATATCCGGATCAAATTTTTTTGGTGTTGCACGTGCAGTTTTGTTCCGTCTATTACAATTGTGCTAGATCTGTTACATTTGACAAAATTTCCACTTTACATTTTCACAAAATCCATTACTTTTTTACATAATAAATTACATTTTATTATATTTTAATTTTAATATAATTAGAAAACTTACTCTCTTAAAATGAATTAGTCAATTCCTATGTAAAACTGTCCACTGAATCCGAAAAAACCGTCAAAAGTAGAGAGTAGAAAGTAGAGCAGTTTTTGAGATATATCTATATTATATACCTAATATACCTATATACAGGGTGTCCGGGAAAAGGAGGTCAATCCGTTAACCATATATTCCTTGAGTTAAAACAATAAGACTTTTATAATACCATTTTTCAATTTAGAGCTTCATGTTCGATATACAGCCTGTATAATACAGGGCGACAAAGTTTGAAATTTAAAACTGATTTTTTTAATAATTTGAGTAATTAATAAGATATTAAGTTTAAATTCGGTACACTACTTCAACATAAATAGTTACATTTTTTGAGACCAACAAAACAAAAAACAATTGTCAAATAATCAGTACTCACTGACTCCCCCTATTTTTTAGTACGTGCGCCAATGACTTCCAACGGTATTTTTACAAATTACTTTACAAAAAATCTCTAAAACAAATCATTTTATCAAAATTTTATAAGAGACAAAAAATTTTCAACAATAAATGATTACCTGAAAAAATACCGTTTGGAAGTCATTGGCGTACGTACTAAAAAATAGGGGAAGTCAGTGAGTACTGGACCCCCTATTTTGATTATTTGACAATTGTTTTTTGTTTTGTTGGTCTCAAAAAATGTAACTATTTATGTTGAAGTAGTGTACTGAATATAACCTTAATATCTTATTAATAATAATAATAATGCTTTATTGAACTAAAACCAAGTTCAAAGGCTATTGACCGTAGTCCTTCAGCCGATGAGTTTACAATAAATTTTGATATAAGTATAAATATAACATTTAACAGTATAATCATAACATTTATAAAATCAAGGTACTTATTTAACAAAAAAAAAAAAATACATCTAGTGTTATGGAGCATTATGGAATTTTATTAATTTCTCCATGGTGGTTTCTACTGGATGTTTGTGTGTAGATTCACGATTTTCTCGTTCTATGCAGTAATTATTAAGTATTTCGAAATTAATGTCTTTTTTGCTAAACTTTTCTGCCAACATGTTAATTCTTTCTTCTATTGGTTGAATTTTTGTTGTTGTATAGAGTAGGATATTTGAGGGGTTAAATAAAGGATTGTTAGGGTGGCGGATTTTTGTGATTGTTCGTAGGGAAGTTGTTTCTGATGTCTTTAGGTTCTGCATAGCTGGTCTTTTGCAATTTAGAAATAGGATAAATCCGTACTCAATGATGGGCCTGCAGATCATTTTGTATATTTTTGTGCTTGTATCCATACTAATGCCTGAGTTTTTGTAGGTTAAACTTCTAAAATGTTTGGACCTTGTGATTATTTTCTTTTTTAACAGTTTAGTATGGCTGTTAAAGTTTAATTTTGGATCAAGAGTTATTCCTAAATATTTAACTGCTGGTGATGCTTGGAGTATATGATTATTTAATGAAATTGTTGGTGAGTTATGTGAAATGTTATGGTTGAAAATGATCATTTGCGTTTTATTTGCATTGATTTTAAGCCTCCATTTATTAAACCATTTCATAGTTATGTTTGTCAATTCTTGCAATTTTTGAATAACTATCCCCAAGGTTTGGCCGTGTGTTATTAGAGCGGTGTCGTCGGCAAATTGCAGCATGTAGGACGTATGAGAGAAGTAATGTATGTCTTCAAATCGGTGATGGTAGATGTCAGCGCAATAAACATTATATAAAAAAGGTGAAAGTGGAGATCCTTGGGGTAGCCCTTGTTGAGTAACAAATGAATTGGAGAAGTCATTGCCAATTTTAACCCTTAATTCTCGCTTTTCTAGAAGTAGGCGTACTATATTAATAAGGTGAATGGGGCAGTCCATTAGATGTAGTTTATACAACAATCCTTTAATCCATACACTATCAAAGGCCTTGCTTATATCTTATATATATATATATATATATATATATCTTATTAATTACTCGAATTATTAAAAAAAATCAGTTTTAAATTTCAAACTTTGTCGCCCTGTACATCAAACAAGCTCTAAATTGAAAAATGGTATTATGAAAGTCTTATTGTTTTAACTCAAGGAATATATGGTTAACGGATTGACCTCCTTTTCCCGGACACCCTGTATAATACCTATACCTATATAGTCAATTCCGTATTATATGGACCATATCTCAAAAACTTTTATAATTTTTGACGACATTTTCGGATTCAGCGGACAATGTCATAATGGAATTGACTGCTAAATGCCCGGTAAACAAATTGCTGTGGACTAGAATTATTATTGGCTACTTTTTATGACTTATATGTAGAGATGTAAAAAAACGGTTTTTTTTCAGATGTGGAAAAAAAACATTAAAAACCTGAAAAAACGGTTTTTTTGTTTTTTTTTCATGAATCTTAAAAAATGGAGTATTTTTCCAAATGAAATTTTGAGTAAAATGTATATTAATAATAAAGTGAAATGAATATATTACATTTTTCATTATTGAAAATTTTGACCGAGACTAAAAAATCTGATTTCTTATTATTTGGTAGTTTCCACATAAGAAACAAATAGCAATGTAAAACTTCTAAAATTACAAATTTTTTGTGATTTTTCGGATAGCTGTATCTTCGTTAAAAATGGTCGTATTGGAGCCGCAAAAAAAGCAATTTGTAGCTTGAAGTTTCTAGTTTTGAGAGTTTTATATAAAAAACGTGCAAAGCTCAATCCTAACGAATTCCGTAATAAAAAAATTCGAATTTTTTTTGGTCCACGGAAAGTTCTGACTTATTTACAAATGAATAAAATTTATTTAATATTCTACAAGAATTTGTTATTGTTTTTTTGAAAAAATGTAATGTAATTTCATACTCTACATGAATTTGAAAAATCATGAATAAAGTGCTTTTGGTGCATGAACTGGACTGGAAACATAAAAAATTAAGCAAATGGGAGTAATCTTGAAAAAAACCTAAAATATAAAAAAAATACATTTGAAAAAAAAACTGGAAAAAAAAACGGACCGTTTTTTTTTTCAAGTCGCATCTCTACTTATATGAAAATAAATATTCGTAATTTTTGACTAATTTATTTTAAGAAAGTAAACACAACAAAAAATATTCTCATAAAATTCACAAAAAAAAACAATATCAAAAATAATATTATAAAAAAGGATTAATTAAAATGTTAAATCTATTTATATGTTTTCAGTGGCATTATTTGAATTTGCCCCCTAGTAAAGCGAAAGGCGTTCATTTATAACAGTTTTTTGGCAATCTATTACATTTTCCTGAGAAATCTGATACAATTAATTTAGTAGTGAGAACAACACTACTCACAGGTCAATGTAACTTTTTCGATTTTTTTACTTAAATTTGAAAAACTTTTCAAGCTATTTCTTTTAAATTCCCATTTGGAGGCCGAAAACGTGATTTTAGCGAAACAACGCATATGACTAAATGTTTTTTTCTCTGACTGCACTTGACTTGGCATCATCAAGGTACATAGTCGAATAGGTTGTGCGGTAACATAAATCTGAGTTACCTAAAAGTTGTGGAGGTGGTTCTTACCTGTAAAATTTCCTTGACCTTGGTTCTGAGAGGTACGAATTCAGCGAAGTTTTTGTCGTAGAAATCGTCGAGTGCGCGCGTGTATTTGGAGTAGGAAATCAGCCAATTAATGGAGGGGAAATGTTTTCTTTGAGCAAGTTTCTTGTCCAAACCCCAGAACACCTGTACAATACCTGCAAAGAAGAAGAACCTCAAATATTTTTACTTTTTTTCTTTTAATCTTGTTAACATTTTGGCTTTTTATTAAAACAGAAGTGCCTAAAATGTTCTCAAACTGTCTTAAAACTTTCTAAAATATAAGAAGTTTTTTGAAACTGTTTTAAAATTTCCTGAAACTGTCTAGGACTTTATAAAATGTCGGAACTGTATTAAAATTGTCTTAACTATCCAAGAACGTTAAAACGTATATTGTACTAAAATATTCAAATACCAAAACTATAAAAAATATCATAAACAGTATATATAGGAAAGTCTAAAAGGACCCAAACTGTATAATAACTGTCTAATGGTGGGTTTATACTACTTCAGGCCAGTATATTCACCTTCCACTAAATTTACCCAATGCTTACTTAATTGTCATAGTTACAATTGTGTCAACAATGGTAACTATGACAGTTATCCATCTAGTAAATTTAAAGGGAGGTGAATATACTGGCCCTTCAAATAATTAATTTATTTCATAATTCACAATTTAGTGCATACCACAGACCAACAAACAAGGTTGTAGCCTACAACCTTGTTTGTTGGTCTGTAGACTTGTAGATTTAATCCGTAACTCACAATTTAGTGTATATCAAATAACCTTGAAAGTTCATATAATTTAACTTTTGATTGTTGTTATTTTTATAATTATGATAATCAATAAATAACTATTATTATTATTATTATAATAAGTAAGATTTTAGTGTAGTAAGAATTTAGTGCATACGCATAAAAGTTAAATCGCACTATCTGCTATGAAACAACCATTTAATTCGTAACTCACAATTTAGTGTACATCAAATAACCTTGAAAGTTCATAAAATTTAACTTTTATGAAATAAACTATAGGGTGGTTTAGCTAGTAAGCCGGCCCCCACTAGTAGTCGGCCACTTAAGAACTCTTTTAATAATAACTTGAGTTTACCGCGAGTTTAAAACAGGTTTCTTCTTTACCAGTAAGCTTTCATCTTTCTTTGATCTAAAAATTAAAACACTCCCCTCTAGTGTCAAGTTTTAGTATTAAAATTCCCGCCTAAAAACTACCTATTTGCAAGTTGAGCCCGTGTAGTACTTATTCATTACAGTGAAAGATGCAGGTGTATAACTAAAACAAGTGTGTTTAGACTAATTATAAGGGTTTAGAAGCTGTTTTAGGTCTTTAAAGGTAAGTATTAACATTAAAGTAACTTATTTTTGATGCAAAAAGCACATATTAGCATTTTTTAAGGTTTAAGTAAGGTGGCCGGTTACTGGAATAAATTCTAACCCATTGTGCTAGTGGTTGGCCATAGTGGCCGACTACTAGCGCATGTACCTTTTTATGTTTCTATCTTTTTTGCTTTTATAGAAATTTGTATATGTTTTTCTTGCATGGCACCATTTAGATTAATATCAAACGATATATTGTACTAGTAGTCGGCCGGGGTCAAAGTAAATAACAAAAAAGTTACAAGCGTTTTAATTTTGTGGTCGACTACTGGAACAGTATCCAAATTAGCATTTTGCTAGTTGTCGGCCACAACATTTTTCCTCTATTTTTTTGCATCTTTTTGTCTAAAATTTGCCTTTTTTGCTATTCTAGACCATGCCTAAAGAACCAAAGAGAAAAATTCACATGTACTCGGAAGAAAACTTGAAAAAAGCTTTAGAAGAAGTTAAAAGTGGCGCTAAAATAAGAGAAACATGTCGAGTATATGGGATTCCTCGGTCAACACTTCAGGACCGGATCAAGGGACGTGTTAGTGAAAAACCGCGAAAGATGGGTTCAGACCCGTTTTTAAGCTTTGAAAATGAGAAAAAGATAGTTGACTGGTTAATTCAGTTAGCTAAATGTAGATTTCCAATTAAAAAGCAGGAACTTCTTAATACTGTACAAAAATAGTTCTTGAATTAAACATAACAACCCAACTTGTCTTATTTTTACAAAGAACGTGCGATTGACTTTAAACGTTTTTAGTTTAAATTGTTACAATAAAATTTTTAAAGTACTGACCTGAAGTAAATTGCTTCAATGTACAGGCGGCCGACTACTAGGATATGCCTGGCCGGCCACTAGCATATGGGTGGCCGACTACTAGAAAAATAGCACATTTTTAATTTAAAAATTAATAAAGAGTATTCTCTTAATTACATTTTTTTTTTCTGTAAAGACATAATGGTGTAATAGTTTTGCTTTCTTACTATCCCAGAATTAGCCTTTTAAGTGGAAAAACACCTTAGCAACTTATTATTCAATTTGAATGTCATCTAAAGTGGCCGACTACTAGCGAAGTGACCCTAAGTAAGATTGAAATTCGCATGTGCTGACATTTTGTAAGGTTATGAATATTACCACATTGTTTATAGTTTTCGATTAAGTTGACTAATTTGTTTTTATATTTCTATTTATTGGTCCGACTTTCCACCGTCTTTTGAACCTAAACCTTGGTTTTGAAATTACAGCTGCTGTAGTTGCAGACAAAAAGAGTTAAGAAAGGATTAAGACTTGCATTTTTTCATTCTTTGTCTTCATTTTGTAAGCTTCACTTAGTGAAGTTCACTCTTTCTGAAGTATTTTTATTGATAATATAAAATAAATCACAGATACCGAAAAAAATCAGGGAAATTGAGTGTCTCTTGTCAATATTGACATTTAAAAAATAAAATATTCATTAAATTAATAAATTGTATAAACCAACCTTTAAAGTTATGTATATATTTAATAATTGCGTTATGAAATAAATTGTCCTCAAAATTATCAATTGTTGTATAAACCCGCCTTAAAAGAAAGTAAATTGTATTAGAACTGTCTTAAATGTCTTAAACTATCTAAATTGACTCAAACTGCAATGCATTGGGACATGCAAAAAATTGCATATTTAGAATCTACGCATACGAGTTTCAAGCAATTTTTGAGAACGCTACAGCGTTTTGAAAACCGAAAGTTTCAAAACGCTTCAATAACCTTGAAAAGAGATTGTGACATCACAATGTAACAACAAATTTGTGAAGAATTACGACTTAATCCAACACCTTTTTCAAGCATGGTCTTTAGGTTATGTTCCATTTTCTTAAAAGTATTTAAATCGTTTAAAAATCGAGAAAAAGTACATACTAGAGGTGCAGATATTAAAATTAATTTTATAAACTTCAAACTAAAATAGGATGTTAGTCTTATAACATGGTCTTTTAACAAGTAAAAAAATTATAACATTCAAAGAATTTGGTTTTGTTCAGATTTTTTATTTTTGCATATTTGTACTTCATTCGTAAAACTTGACACGCCTATTATAGCTAGAAGCTATCATGGTATTGCAATATACCAATTATATTATAACATGGTGGTCATGCTACCGAGAGAATTTATGGATTTTCAGTAATTTTTAAGGAAAAATTGATAACAAAAAAGGGTTTTTAAACGGTATATATGGTTGTTTTTAGTGGCTAATCTCTATAATAGAAGTAGTTTCACACTGATTTTCCACCCTATTGTCTAAAAACGACAAAAACTATAAAAGAGTTTCCCTGTGGTTTTTTGGGTAATAAATGTATCATTAATTTTATTATAAAACTATATAAATTTACCTAAACTGTATAAAAACTGTCTTAACACGACGAAATTATATTAAAAACTAAAAAAGTACAAAACTAAACGTCCAAAAATGTACAGGATAAAATTAAAAAAGAACTTACCGAGGGTGGCGGAGGTGACGGGATCTGAGAAGTCTCCACCAGGGGGCGATACTGCTCCGACAATGGAAACTGAACCTTCCCTGTCCGGGTTACCCAGGCATTTAACTCTACCGGCGCGCTCGTAGAACGAGGCCAAACGGGCGCCCAAGTAAGCCGGGTAACCGGAATCGGCGGGCATTTCAGCGAGACGACCGGAAATTTCACGGAGGGCTTCGGCCCAACGCGAAGTGGAATCGGCCATCATGGACACGTTGTAACCCATGTCTCTGAAGTATTCGGAGAGGGTGATGCCGGTGTAGATGGAGGCTTCACGAGCGGCCACAGGCATGTTTGAGGTGTTGGCAACAAGGGCGGTTCGCTTCATGATGGATTCGGTGTGGCCGTCGATTTCGACGGTCAGTTCGGGGAAGTCCCGAAGCACTTCAGACATCTCGTTACCTATGGGAAATTAATTCGTTACACGACTTTTTTTTAACTTTTCGGGTGTAATTACACAAGTGCTTAAAAATTATCGATAATTTTGCTTGAAAGCATATTGCCTAAAAAATGCATGAGTTCATTTTCATATTTTGGAAAGAGCCCGACACCAAAGGTGGAGGGCCCTTTCCTCAAAATATAAAAATTACCGAATGCATTTTTTAAAAGGCAATATGCTTGAATGCAAAATTATCTGATTATTTTTATGCACGAGTGTAATTTGTTTAGATAATTACACGAATAAACTAATTAAATTAAAGAATAACATTTTCAAATATTTTTTTTTGTTTGCAGTATATTTTGGTACACTATTTTTCACATTAATTGATTCAAATGATTCTTCACCAAAACGTGAAATTTTAAATAACTGTCACATTAAAATAAAAACTGACGTTATTTTTATTAATTGCTATGGATACGTAGATACAATGGAATTATCGATTCCTAGTAGACAATTATCGCTGTAATCAAGCGATAATTGTCTTGTAGGCATATATAAAAGGGTAATTATCCTTCTAATTTAATTGTATTAGGAAAGGGTACAAAATTATGCTTTGCCTCGTTAATTTATAGAATTTTGATAACATTCAATCCATGTGGTACGTTTTATAGAATAAAAATTTAATTTATTTGAAAAAATACTCTAAGAGATAGAAAAATAAATATAAAACCGAGCTTACCTCTTTCTCCGCAACCAACGTATACAATGACGTCAGAGTTGGAATACTTGGACAAAGATTGCGAAATTACAGTTTTACCGCAACCGAAAGCTCCGGGGATGGCAGTGGTACCACCTTGTACACATCTAAACAAAAAAATCTAATTGTTATAACTAAATATATTTTTTTACTTTTATAGGGTAGTTATCATTCAAAATATGACAAAAAGATAACCTAAATTTTAGGTTTAGGTTTAGGGCTTCTAGTAAAAAAATTGAAAATTTTAATGATATAATGACTTCCTTTTTTGAAAATAATGACAAAATAATGACTTTTTCTTTTAAAAAATGACTATTTTATGACTTTCTATTCTAATGAAAATAAATTTTAAGTTGGAAAATAGTATTAAAACCTCCTTTTAAATAGTTTTATTCTTAATCTTTATTGTTTTAACAATAACAAGATAAAATTAATAAAAATAAATTAACAAATAAATATAAAATTCTCAAATAAAATTAAAAAAAATTAACTTAAAAGAATTAACAAATTAATTGGGGTTTCAATTTATTTATTTAATTTTTACTTACATTATTACATATTTTTAATGAATAAAACGTTTCGCTCTCAAGCTCTCGCCTTTTAGATTAAGCAAAACAAATTGTTTTAAACAATTAAAACACGCACTCTTTAGAAGAAAATGGCGGGAGTGTGTTTCATAGAAAATGGAGGGAGTGTGTTTCATGCACTGAACTATACAACCTATTTTGTATAGTTCAGTGGTTTCATGAGACACAAGAATGAAAAAAAGAATGAGAGCAACAAAGAAAGAATGGCACCAGCGCGGCACTACCAGTGGTGTAGATTAATAAATTAAAGTGGCGTAGATTTTCCATTTTATTTGTATTATTTACCAAAAAAATCTTATAAACATTAAGTAAGAACCTAAAATAATCAAATCAAAAATGACCAATCCCTACAAAAAATGACATTAAATGACCACAACAGAAAAAAATGATTTTTAATGACTAAAATGACTTGCTAGAAGCCCTGCTAGGCTAAAATGACATTTTATGGTGTTTAAAAAAGGGTTCCACGTAAAAAAACAACGACTTTCCAGAAAATCGCATTTTTTGTTATTTAATTTTTAGTCAGAATATTTTGATGATGACGTTAAGGTAAATTTGAATGTCAGTAATAAATGTTTGTCGGGAAGTAAATAATGAAGATAAATAATGAAGAAATACGAATCGTTTTCATGTTTGATGATTTTGTAAAATTTCGTTATTCGTTCAATTTTGTTAAATGCCAAATAATGAATTTGCATGTTCAAGCGTTAATTAAATTGTTAGTCAACAGGAAAAGTTTTACGATTTTTGTTAAATTTGTTGAATAGCCATACATTTGACGGAATTTGTATATTGGATTATTCTTTGCTCCCGGCGAAGCAAATTCGTGCCCCTTATAAAAATATACCTATATAAGAAATCGAATGCCTCTGGGATTTTTATTTAAAACAATGATGCCATTAAACTAACTTATTTCGTTACATTTTAAGACACAAAAGTAGGCAAAATCTTCTAAAAAGTCGGAATATTAATAAAAATTCTCTCCTCCCTCACTATGTCCCTGCTTTTTTTTATAATACATAATACAAAATCATTACCAAAAATTTGTCTGTTACAATTTCATCTATTTTTTTCGAAATCTGGTAATATCTGAAAATCTGGTAACATGAAAATATAACGGCTTTTTTAAAATATTTATTCCAAAATTTAAATGAATTGAAAAAAATAACAAAATTAAACTGTTCTGTATTCAAAAGGAAGAGTCAAACGATCCGGTGGATTATGTTAGTACAAAATGCCACATACGAATTTTTATTAAAAAGTAATAAAATATTAATTTAAAAAATAAAAGTAGGAAGTTATTTTGTTTCTTAATTTTTTGATTCTCGGTAATAATTTAACAATGCTTTTATGTAATCCTTATCTTTAATGCACATCCATTTATAAAAAATTATATGTGATTCAACTTATCTTCTAAAACCGTATTATCCTGCAATCTTAAGGTCAATAACAAAGATTTGCAAACTAAATGATGCAATTTTTTTTACATATGTTGGTTTGCAAATATCAATTTTGACCAAAAGTTAGAACCCTGTGGAACTCAAACAACGATTTATAACTGTCAAAATTTAACAAAAAACGAAATTTAAATGTCAAACATGAATATTTTAATGGATTAAAATTGGAAAAAAATCTAAAATTTGGTCACATTTACAGGTTAATTATCTGTCAAAATATGAAAGATAAGTAACCTATAAATGTCAAAAATAAATAGTATCAACTGATAAAAACAAAAAACACTAAAATTATTTAAAAAAAAACTTTAAAAAAGCCTGTAAGACTGTTACTTACGGGAACAAAGAGTCCAATACACGTTGTCCAGTCAACAGAGGATGATTGGCCGGCAATTTCTCGCTAACTGGACGTGGTTGACGTACAGGCCACACTTGCAACATGGAATATTTTGTCCTTTCACCGTCAAATTCAGTTTCCAAAACAATTTCCTACAAAATTAAAAAAAAAACTAAAAACTACAATCTACAAAAAAGAAAAAACTTACGTCCACAGTGTAGTTACCAGGGTCAGCAATGTAAGTAACTGTGCCCTTTGCCTTTGGAGGCAAAACAATTTTGTGCTTTACCAATGTATTTTCGTGAACCATGGCGTAGATGTCGCCACCGGTCAAATGGGCGCCCAACTGAAACAATCATACATTATGGTTCAAAAATTTCACAATTTTCGACATTACCTTGATGTTCCACGGGTTAAATTCCCATTTTATGGTTCTGGACAGAGCAGGGATGTTTACACCCTTGGGAATGTAAATACTCTGGGTTAGATCGTTGATGTCTTTCAACGGACGCTGGATACCGTCGAAAATTGAGCCCATAATACCGGGGCCCAATTCTACGGATAGGGGTTTGCCTGTACGCAGGACAGGGTCGCCAACTGTGACTCCTGAAGTCTCTTCATATACCTAAAAGAGATGTTTTATTTTATGCTATTTTTTTAAGTAGTATTGTTAAAATTTAACAAGGTATTGATGATTTAAAATTTTATGTTTTTTGCACAAATTTCAGAAAATACATAAGGGTCTTATATCAAACAGAAAACTCCAATTTTGTTTTTTGTCAAATTCCATCACATTTATCAAAATTTCCTTGAGAAACAAGCCCAGTTAAAATGATTGAGAAAAAATATCATACCATATTACTAGGTACTATGGTATATAGTACATTATCTAAGAAGCGGAGAAAGCTCTTATTTAAAGTCGAGCAAAATACAAAGGGGTCTAATATTAAACAGAAAACTGCAATTTTATTTTTTGTCAAATTCCATCATATTTATCAAAATTTTCGAGAGAAACAAGCCCAGTTAAAATGATTAAGTAAAATATTTATTATACCATATTACTAGGTAGTATGGTATGTAGTACATTACCTAACAAGCGGAGAAAGTTCTTATTTAAAGCCTCAAATTTTTCCCCCTTTCACCTCCCGTCTGCTAATTGTAGCAGAAAATTTGATAATAATCAAACTTTGACTTTGAATAACTCTAGAAGAAATTAATTTATCGAAAAATAATAAGAGACCTTTTTTGTAGACCGTTAAATTTTATATAAGAAACTGAAATGATCATTGCCATAAGTTACTTTGATACAGAGGTATAAAATTCCAAACATAAATTAATTTTTTCCCATGTTAATTCAATGGGAAACTAAAATAAAAACAGCGACCTCTTAGAGTTGAGCTGGAACGCCCATATTTGGTGAGGATTTTTTTTATATTAAATAAAAACATTTGAGAGGATAAGAGAGAAAAAAAAAATTTTTTGAAGCACCCTAGTGTACATACATACATTTATTCTACATTGACCTGTAAATTTACAATTTATTTGCTGATTTCGAGCTAAACGCGATAGATGGAACCTCTCTTCCTATGTAATTTAAATGTATTTTCAGTATTGTATGCCGCGGCGGTGTATTATAATTTGACTTTTGTACTGCATACAAATATGAAGTATTTCTGTATAGGCTTATGAGTGTTATAATATGAAAATTGTTATATACTTGAAAAAAAGAATATTAACAAATTTAAACTTTTTATCTTTGAAACTGTATAAGAACATTGTTTTTTATCTTTTGTCCCAAAATTGGTTCACTAACAGTATACTAGGCTGTAACACTCCTCTTTCCTTAAAGGGGATATTTTAAGAATAACAAAATTACAAAACATTTTTCCAACAGTATTTTTGAGTTATCCAGCATTAAAGTTTTAAAAACTCGACAACGCCGATTTATTGGACTATATCTAAAAACGGTGGTTATGGAAACAAAATAAACAACGAATTTACCCTATGTACCACTTAAATGTTGGATAACTTCAAATTACTTACAATAACCCCTCCTATAACCATCTTTTATAATCTGTGCCTATAACTTTTTGACACTTATAGGTTTTTTAACAATTAACAAAAAACGAAATTTAAATGTTAAAACAGGTATTATTAAGATAAAACTGTATAATTCTATGAACGCGTTGTAATACCAACCTTATTTGCAACAAGAAAGTTTTATATTGAATGTTTGAAAGTTAGTCATATTGTTTTGTGCTTAAAAGTAAAGATAATTATAAAAGTTAGTTATATTGTTGTGTGCTTAAAATCTTTATATTATGTATAAAAGTAAAGATAATTATCATTCAGTCAACCAGTCTTGCCAACATAAGTTAAAAAAAAAACATGTACTAAATCACAATCCACACAAAAAGGTCTGTTCGATCTCTTACTAAAAATCACTGCAACACTGCACATCATACGATGGCGGCCATTTTTGTTGTTTACAATTCTTGTGCTTTGGGTTTGTACAGATTAATAATCGTTTTAAACGTTGTGTTTCTTACAGAGAGACTTGCAAGCCTTAAAAGAGAACTTAAAGTGGTAAGATCAATAATTTTACTCCTCTTTTGTAAAAAATAAACCTTATTCTATCAAATGTCAATTTGAAGGTTAATTTGTGGGTTATAAAATAACCTTAAATTAACCTTCAAATTGACATTTGACAGCCCTGATAGAATAAGGTTTATTTTTTACAAAAGAGGAGTAAAATGATTGTTCTCACCACTTTGAGGTCTCTTTTAAGGATTGCAAGTCTCTCTGTAAGAAACACAACGTTTAAAACGATTATTAATCTGTACAAACCCAAAGCACAAGAATTGTAAACAACAAAAATGGCCGCCATTGTATGATGTGCAGTGTTGCAGTGATTTTTGGTATTTTTACTACGAGATTGAACAGACCTTGTTGTGTGGATTGTGTACTAAATGGCACATTTTTCGTTAAATTTCATTAAATTACAATGCATTACATAAAATGCTGGCTAAATCCACCTTTAGAGGTTACTTATCTGTCAAAATATGATAGATAAATAACCTATAAATGTCCAAAATAAACAGAAACAAGTTGATTCCACTAAGAAAAGAAAACAACAATAAAATGTATTTTTTTTTACAAATGGAAACTATTGAAGAATATTGCTTTTAGATAAAATATTGCACCTAACATTCAGAAAGTGTCCTTTCCGCACTTGTGTGAAGTGTTGACTGAAAGTAACACTTCCCACAATAGTTAGGTAAATAAGTACTAAATTTCTTAAACAAGTTAACAAAACTGGGATGAGATTTTAAGTAAAAAAATGTATATGTCATGATACCTGAATGGTGGCCATATCCCCCTCAAGACGGATAATTTCTCCGACAAGTTCATGGTAACCAACTCTCACCAACTCGTACATAGCGGAACCGCTCATCTTTTCGGCGATAACGACTAAAAAGAAATATTTTCAAAATAAATTGTTTTGGAAAATTAACAATATTGTTACCTGGACCGGATACGGCATGGACGTATCCATACTCGCTCTCACGTTCGTCATCAATTTTCGACATTATTTCGGTGTACTCTGCTGAAACAACAACAAAAGTCCGTAAATAATTTAACAAATTTGAAGTCACGTGAAAAAACTAATACTCGTACACACCCGCCCGTCATTCGAAGTATGCGCGCGGCTGTCATGTGAAAATATCAACGCTAATTTGACTTAAAATCGCTGCCGCTTTATCAAGATCACGGTACGAACTATGAAATATGGACTACGCCTAAACAAATAGTATTTTTGCTTGATATACCCATGAAAACTACGCAAAATTTAAAGACTAACACGTAAAATACCCATAGAGATAGTGGAGATATGGGACCGCATAAAAAAATCCAATAAGACATCGAAAATTAGGTCGAAATCTTGAAATATAAAATCAATAGTTTTACAAACTTTGTAATACATATTTATTTCAAATAATTACACGCAAACCTAAACCCCAACGAATTCAATTAATTGTTTCTATATTTAAGCACAAAAATCCCACTTTACTTACATGTTTCTCGTCAAACCTCACCCACCAAACTCACAAGACGAACGAATTTCACTAATTTTTTCACTGAATGTCACAAGGCAGTCAGCTGACTGACAACTGACATTTTTCAAATGAAGTTACGTGTTCATTATTGCTAAAAATAATATAAAAACACACTAAAGTAACCTTTTTAATACATTTTAAGAAATATTTAATGCTTATATTTTTAAATAAGATAAAATAATTGCAAATTACTCTATTTTTAAATTAAAAAATAGTTGATTTGACTATTGTAGTTGCAGGTTGTGTCCATAGACACCCACGATTTTTTGCGCTTTTCTCCAATATAAAACGATTACCACTAAAATAAACACACTAAGATCAAAAACATTTCAATAAACCCAAATTAAACTATAAACTTTATAAAATATCGAAGAAATTCAACAGTTTTATTTTATTTCCAAACAAATTCGATTATTTAGACACTTCCTTTTTCAATAACAACAATTTTGACAGCTGTCAACCTACAAGTGAGTCATATTTATAAATATTAGTGAATATTGTCCCTAATTCAACTAAAAAAATGGAGTGGTTATTTGGAAAACGCCTCACCCCCGAGGAAATGCTACGGAAAAATCAGCGCGCCCTTAACAAAGCCATGAGAGATCTGGACAGGGAAAAACAAAAAATGGAACAGCAAGAAAAGAAAATTATTAACGATATTAAGAAGTTGGCCAAAGAAGGTCAAATGGTAATTAGTAACTAAAAATTAATAATTTTAAGCTATATATTCTGACAGATAAACGTCAAACTTTGACAGATACATAACCTAAAATATTTTAAATGTCAAATTATGACATCTAACCTAACCTAAAACTCTTTTAACCTTCTAGGATGCTGTAAAGATAATGGCACGAGATTTAGTACGCACAAGGCGATATGTTAAGAAATTCATGCTCATGAAAGCCAACATTCAGGCTGTTTCGCTGAAAATACAAACACTTAGATCTCAAAATACAATGGCCCAAGCAATGAAGGGGGTTACTAAAGCTATGGCAAGCATGAATCGTCAATTAAATCTGCCGCAAATCCAACGGATCCTACAAGATTTTGAGAAACAGTCTGAAATAATGGACATGAAGGAAGAGATTATGAATGATGCTATTGATGATGCAATGGAGGGTGACGATGATGAAGAGGAAAGTGATGCCATTGTTAACCAAGTTTTGGATGAGTTGGGTTTGCAGCTTGGCGATGCTTTGTCAGGTTTGCCGCAAACTTCGGGGGCGCTGCCGTCTCAAGGTCAAAAACAACCGGCTGCAGCCGCCGCGGTGGCTGGAGGGGGAAATGGGGGCAGCAGTATGTCAGATGCAGATGCAGATTTACAGGCTAGGTTGGATAATTTGAGACGAGAGTGATATCTGATTATTTTTTTTGTTTGTTATTATTTTAAGTATGCTACTTTTTGCTAAATGCTATTAAAGTAAGTTTTTTTTAATTGGAATTAATTTGGAATATTAGTGAATTTGGGAATATGAAACATATGTTTATATTTATATCCTCTTGATGTTATAAAATTCTCCATTTTAAAAACATCATAACCAATTTTATGATAATAAATTACTGCCCCATACCCAAAGATAATACCTAAAATTTGCCCATAGTAACTTAACCACAGAACACAAATCTGTCATAAAAATTACAAATATAACAAACTTCACTTATAGCCCCAGAGGTAGTGACAGACTTATTACATAAAATGCTATATTTTTCCCACAATAGTTTAAACAGAATTAATGATGAAAGTGCAAGTCTACCAAACTTTAAGTAGAGGAAACATGAAAAATTTAAAAAACAACATTTTTGTGATGAAGGTAAATTGAATTTACTAAATTCACATAAAATGTTTTTAATTTTTTTTGTTCACCAAAATTTTGGTAGACTTGCACTTTCATCTTTGATAGGTACTCGAGTAGAGATGTGGAGATCTCCAAACTATCATGGGGAAATATCTAGCTTTATAAATGATTTCACAAAAACTGTCGCTACCTCCCATAACTTTTTTTTTAATTAAGATCACACTAAATTGTTATAGGCCACAATTTTTGCTTGAGAACATTCGTATTTAACATGTGATACATAAGTATGTTTTACAACTTTATAACAGAGTGATTCAAAGGTATTTTGTATTTATGAGTATGCCCCTAGCCAGCCTGACATTAAATGTTACTTTATTTTGAAATAGGTATATAAAAAAATAGGTTTTGTAAAATGTGTATAGGTACGTTATATTAGAAAAAAAACCTGTTTTTGTTTTATGTTTTAAATAAAACAAAAACTGGTATAAAATAAAAACAACTAAATTTTACCTTTTTTTGTTGTTAAATTGACAGTCAATGTTTTTGGTTCTTTTATGTTCAATAACAAAAACGTAAGGTTTGCAAGCGCGGATCCAGGGAGGGAAAGAAAACTGTCAACATTTCAATGTACAAAAATTTTAACCATGAGTTTTTTAAAGAAATATATATTTACTAGGTACTTATTTAAAATAAATTAAATTTTCTAATCACAAAACAGATGTCTAAAATTAAATTAACTCTATTCAAGTTAATATTTTCAAGAAAAACAAGTTTCTAAATCTGTGAAATCCTTTTTTTACAGTGTATTCTTAATTTTCTGTAGGGGGGCTCAGACCTTTGCTGGGGGCCTGCTTATAAGTCATACTGTATATTTAAACCAAACTTGATTTTAGATAGATATAAAGCTAATTTTTATATAATTTAATATGTATTATTGTAAATAAATTTTAAAATGTTATTTATCGTTTTTTCCTTATGGGTAATTCCTTGACAAACAATACTGAGGGTGAAAAAATAAATATATTCTTTTCGCATTAAATCTGATGAATTTTAAAAGAAAACATTGCAAATTATAATGTGCAAAAAAACTAGAAGAAATGCGTAACTGATACCTACCTTTTCGATTTTCTTCCGCACCAACAACTGCATATAGCTTCACCTGTGTTTGCTGTATGCAGATGTTCACCACAGTTTGTGAACTGTGATAACCAATATAATTTAAAAATTAACAATGAAATTATTGATGAAGTGACATCCACAAAATATCTTGGCTTAATACTGGATAATAAATTAAAATTTAGAATGCATATACAAAATATAAAAAACAAAATAAATTCTGCATGCTTTTATATTCGCAGAAATATGGAATAATTGAAAAATACGCAAAACTCTACTATTATTACATCCACGTGTAATCTTCTGGGTTGCCTTCAATTAAACTTCGCTGATTTTCCTTGAAACCACAAAAGGGAAACAGCGGGTATACAGCTAGTGGAAAATAAAACAATTTTCGTATAATTGAAAGCTTACTTTATTACTTAACAACTGTACGAATTCACACAAACTGTATGCGCGCGGTACAATCTAAATAAGCAGTTTTTTGTTTATACTGAAACTTTACTCTATAAACACCGAATATTCAGCCAACGTAACTAAATTACATAACAATAACATACTTAGTTACGCTAACTTTACAATCATTTTTTTTGTTTTTATATACTCGATAATATAACTGAACACAGCAGGTTCTGGTGTGATTTTTTTTGTGAAATGGAGAAAACTATAGTAATATACACACAATTACAATAACAATTTTATTCAGTAATTTTGGTGCTTAATATATTTTTTGTTTTATAATAATTTAATGAGTTTGTACTTACTATCTATATAATTTTTAGCTATATGCAATTGTGTGTCGAGAGAGCAAAATCATAAGTAAATCTACACTTATGTAACATAATATTTTTTAATCACATTGAATTTTTGTATTAAAAACACTGAACATTTTTTATATTGTCTTTAATATAACTTGATCCCTTATTTCTATCAAATTAATTGAATATTGCACATAGAGATTCCAAATAAATAATAAAAAAACAAAACAAAAATAGCACCCAATTTTTACCCTTTTTTAAATCGTCTTCAGTGTTCTTAATTGTTAAAAAAAGGAATGGCAATAGGAAAATAAGTCTTGTTTCTTTAAAAATATGAAGGTGTTTTTATTTCAAATCTTCCAGGCAATTTTTGCCCTTTTACAGGGTGTTCCAAGTTTTAGTTTTACTAAAACACTACTTAACACCCTGTATAATTGATTATTAAAAGTATTAACCACGATGATTTGAAATAAAATATAAACAATAAATTTGGTTTTAAAAATCAGTCGATATACAGGGAGTCCCATCAAAATTAATATTTATACATTAACTTGCGTACCTTGGCGATATTTACAGGACTACCTATTATTCTAAACACCTTGACCATAGAGAAACCCTGCACAATTTAAAAATAATAAAAATGTGCTATTTTAATAATATAACAACGAAAAAAATCATTTTGATTAATAATTGAGATTTTCGAAAAATTGATTCAGTCTAGTGCAACAAATAAATGTCGTTTTTTCTTTGATAAAAATTAAATAACGTCTCTTTTTTTATAAATAGAATGCAATTTTTTCGCCAATTGGCAAAAAATTACTTTCTATTAAGTTTAAAATCAAAACAGACGGGGTCCGTGCAAACCGCTCGTTTGATAGTCGAGTTCGGGGTTGTGACTTGTCCCCGGTTCGCCCCAGTCGTGTAGTCCGTGCTGTGTTGCCAAACGGTGCGTTAAACGGTGGGCTATCGAAAAACCACCGCTGCCCTCAAGTTGAGTAAGAACTATTATAACCTGGAAATAAATTATTAATTTTGAGGGTATACCTACCAACAAAAATACATTTTTAACAAAGCCATTTTAAAGAGCAGAGTATTAACCCGTTAAAATTTCATCAAAATCCACGAATTTATGTAAAACTTGAAAACATTCTAAAAAGTGTTAAAATTAAACGTTGCAAAAATGGCGAATATTTTTTAGAAAAAAAATATTTTAGTTGGTATTTGTTTAATATTTTATCTAATTCAGTTGATTTTTGTGAAAATTAGAAAGCCTTTAAATTTGTTAAAACTGTTTTTTATGGGCTGTCCAACTTCAGGTGTAGTAGTAAACAAAATTGCTGTTGTTTTTTACTTTGTCGCTCGCTTAGTTACCATGGAAACCATAATAAAGAAACGTTCAATGTATTTGCGACTTTTGACACAAACGTCAAATTTGAGGTTATCAATAATTAATAATTTTTACCAAACATTCCTATAGAAACACCAGTTGTAGAAAAAATCCTGTGTGTAATTCGAGCGCAAAGTGACATTGCCGCATTTTATTTCTATATTTTTTACTCGCTTTGCAAGCCACAAAAAATGTCTTAGGGCCGGTTTTTCAATTAGGGTTTAAACCTTGGTTCAGGGGAACTTAGATCAGTTAATAAACTCAGTTCACAGTCAAATGAGTTTTTCAATGTCGACTCAACAGCAGTTCTGTTGAACTTAGATCAGCGGTGTCAACGTTAAGTTGGTACAACCGAATTTAGTATAAGCCTACATTAATAGTAGTTAAAACTGTTATTTTGACAAATGGATTTTGTGTTTACTTTTGGAGTTTTGTTTATCTGTGCTGTTTTAAAAAGTTATAACCTGTGCGAAAGGGTGCTTTAAAACAATTTACTATTGTTAAAGAACAATAATTATTATTTATTATGGATAAAAATCGTGCTGCCAACTTTACCTCTTTTAAGGAGGAATTATTTGTATGTATTTCGTTTTATATTATAAAAAGAATTTGACGTTTTTTGTTACATGTGATGAATTTTACTAAAATCTATTACCTATTCAGTAATTATTTTTATAACTAACCTACTGGTCGGATTTGCAATAACTGGTCTAATTAAATCCACTATCCTACGTACAAAAGGTTTGGAAAACCGAAATCTGGCAAAAAATTCATCATTAATCCACCTTTCAAAATGATTCGGTCTTACCCGTGGCCTGTGCACACGAAGTTGAATATTATTTAGATATTCGCCAATTTCCTCATCATCCTTACTAACTACCTCAAACATATCCATTAGTTTATTATAACAGCAGATTACAAAACAAGAAGTAAACAACGTAAGACACAATAAAGCAGAGAAAAATTAAGTTATGTCAAGTTGAACTTCGTTTAAACGGCCAACAGTGACGGTTCATCTTTTGATTTAGTTTAAACCAAGTTCAAGCTTGAACTTTGATTGAAAAACGGCATATTTTGTTTGAACCAAGTTTAAATGCTGAACCAAGTTTAAACTATGATTGAAAAACCGGCCCTTAGTGGTCCTCTGGCTTCATGTTGGACAGCCCTGATCTATAACTTTTACAGTTTTTCTTTGATTACTATAAATTTTTAACCATGCACAAACAAAAATATGCTTTTTTTTAACAATATACAGAATTTAAAAACATTTGTAGACAAAATTTAATAAATAATATTTAATAAATTATATTTTGTTAAAAACTTGATTTAAGGGTATACCAACAAAAAATTTACCTAGTTAATAACGCCATTTTGAAGAGCACAATTAATTTGTCCCAGGGCCATGCGCAGGATTTTCTTATTAAATTGTTAAACATAAATATAGAGATGGGAATTGGAAAGTTTCAAATTGGGAATTTATTTTCATTTTGAAAGTTTCTTTTAAGCTACCGGAAACATTCCTTGGAAACTTTCCTTGTTTTTTTAATTTAAATGTCAATTGTTGAACCGCTGATTTTCGTTAAGGCCATGATACAAGGCCAAGAAACTTTGAATAAGAATTTAATGTGTGTTAATTTAAAGCAGAAGAAGTATAAATAATGTAAGTTATGTTACATAACCTCAATGAAAATCCTATTTTGTGTTTTTTACTTTTGCTATTTTTTTATGTGCAATGGTCACTACTAGTCAGAAATGTTAATTTTATTTTTTCTTTCATATTTTATCAGTCAAAACTGCAATACTATTTTTAGTATCTTTTACTTTTCAATATTCCTATTTATTAGTTACTTTGTCCCTTTTAATTTTTTTACGTAATATCTAGGATTTACTAGCAGTGAATTTATAATAGTAAACATTTTATTTTTATTTTGTAGGTTTCAGTATACAATAGGGAATATTCCAAAGTAAAAGATACTAAAAATAGTATTGCAGTTACATTCTTATAAACATTTTTTTTCTTAATAAAATTTGACAAAAAGTTAATGTGTTATATATTTTTGCAAATCCCTTGCATAAAAAAAATATTTTCACTATAAAATTTTTTTTTTTTGAAACTTTCGGAAAATTTCGGGAATTTTCGATGGAAAGTTTCCGGGAATTTTTGTCAAACGGGAATTTTCCCATCTCTACATAAATATATATGTATATAAGTATACATTTAGAATAATAACACTGTGAAAATTTTATTTAAAAAAGGGAGGTCAGCCATAGAATATTTTAGCTAATGGACGATATTGCTGAATAGCCAATTTTCAGTTTTTTTTATGAAATTGAAAAAATCGCTTGGTTTTGTTATCATTCAAACTGAATTATCAACACCAATACAAGAGATATGAACAATACTTAGTCTTCTTGAAGAATGGAATATTGCGCAAATTTTAAGCAATATCCAAGGCTGTTTGACGTATATTCAAAAGATTTGGTAGAAAAGGTCAAGAAGCAAATCTAACGAAAACCTCATTTTCGCCATCTATGTATGTCGAGCTTCAACGTCGAAAACCAATTCAACCGTAGCCGTCAGGCGTAGAATGTTTTTGTTAATAGCCGATTTTGCCGAATAGCCAATTTTCGGGTTTTTGAGGAAATTGAAAAAATCGCTAGGTTTTGTTATCATTTAAGCTAAATTATCAACACCAATACAAGAGATATGCACAATTCTTACTTTTTCTTGAAGAATAGAATATCGCGCAAATTTTAAGCTATATATATTACCTATATATATATTATTAATTCAAAAGATATAGTCGAATAGGTCAAACAGCAAATCTAACAAAAACTTCATTTTCGTCATATATGTCGAAAATTGGGGTTATCTCTTACAGTTGTATTGGTTTTCGACGTTGAAGTTCGACATAGATGAAGAAAATGAGGTTTTCGTTAGATTTGCTTCTTGACCTTTTCGACCATATCTTTTGAATTAATAGGTCTAATAGCTTTGTATTTAGCTTAAAATTTGCGCAATATTCTATTGTTCAAGAAAAAGTAAGAATTGTTCATATCTCTTCTATTGGTGTTGATAATTCAGTTTGAATCATAACAAAACCAAGCGATTTTTTCATTTTCATCAAAAAACTAAAAATTGGCTGTTTGACAAAATCGGCAAATTTTTGTAGAATTTACAAATATTTTAAAGTGTTAAAATCAAAAGTTGAAAAAAGGCGAATGCGTCGGGATATTACACTATGTAGTTATACTTAATTAAAAATAATTAACTTATACTTGATTAAAAATTCTATTGAAATTGGATGATTTTTGTAAAAGTTAAATAGCTTTTAAATTTGTCAAAAACATTGCTTTCTTTAATAAATTTTTAGTACACAAAGTTATTAGATTAAAACTTACCTGTCTGGTGAGCGGGGGTACAGAATCCACCGTTCTGAGGGTCCCTCTGGTGGACACTACGTTATAACTCTCCTGGCAGTCGCATTTTACGTGAATCCACTTGTTTTCGTGACGATTTTCCACCATCACGACCAATCCGGCCCATCCTTTCGTCAAATAGTAGGCGGTCATGCCTTCGCGACCTTCGTGACGCTGCCCGCGCGCCAATGTCAAGGAAATTATCGCGTCGGCTAGGATGCCATCTGGCGGCGAAATTTGCTCTTCGAGGATTTTTTTGGAGCTGTGAATGGCCAGCACATACCTGAAAGAGTTATTGTGTTTTATTTGCAAAGTTGTCAATAACCCGGAAAATTGTTCTTACCTTGGAAACAACGTAAAGTCCTCCAGTCCAGTGTGCCAATGGTTGAAAGCCAGTGGCGCCACAATGTATTCTCCAGCTTCCAGCATTTTATTACAACCCACAAAACCCCTCACCTGTCTTTTGCTGTGCTCCACCAAACTTCCAATGTTCGAACCGTTTCTTGCTTTGAAAAGAACTACGCAAAGGTCCAGCTGCGATCTTTGGGATTTTTCGGATTTACGCTGCCCTTCCTAAAATTGGCGGGGTTTGCACTAACGAAAAATGTTGTTGGTGAGATCTTACCTGGAATAATGTAAAGTCGACTTCCGTAGGCTCCAAAACCGTCAAAAGAATGCAAGACAGATGTTTCTGCGAAGCCAAAGGCGGCAAAATTCCAGTCAACCTGACCTCATTCCAGCCATTCCTCGCCTTACAAATATCGATACAATCGAAATACTTCAAGACATCCTGAAAGGAAATCCAAAACGTGCCGTCTTCGGACCCGTCGGGGATCAAATCGTTCCGCAACCGTCGCGTCCAGAGTTCCGAGTTATCCGACCAGTCGCCTTTCCACACAAAGTGCCCCCAGGGGTTGCGCAGTTTGAGCAGGCGGTGGCCTTCGAGGTCGCGCACGTCGAGTAGAGAGTAAGCGTGGCGGGGGCGAAGCCCTTTCGAGTGGTACTCGATTTCGTCCACTTTCATGTTGCCGCCCCCGCAAGAGGCCCCCATTAGAAACATCGCTTGGCGGGATGATAGCAGCCTATAAGAAAAAAATGAGGCTTTGTCTTCTAGGATATAGATGGCGTTATGGGCTAGTAGAAGTAAGGCTGTTTAGCGCTCTTCTAGACGTGATAAATATAAAATCTTGCAAACAAATTTTAAAAATCTTGTAAAACAAACAATAAATCTGCCAAATCTTGTTAAATATCTGTGGGTAAAAGGCATAAGGGGATAAGTCAAAAAAAGCAATTTTTCGGTAGAGACTTAAACGTGTTCGCATTAATTCAGGAAATATATTTATGGTTAGCGAGTATACCCTTTTGCTAGCATATGACATGTGTTGGCAACAGTATATACCCGCTAACCATAAATGTATTTCCTAAATTAATGCGAACACGTTTAAGGCACTACTAAAAAATTGATTGTTTTGACTTATCCCCTTATGCCTTTTACCCACAGATATACAAGAAATATCAAACATATATGGTCAATGTAGCTTTTTCTCTAGAATATAGATGACGTTATAGGCTGGTAGGAGTAAGGCTACTTGGCACTTTACTGAAGGTAGTATTATAAAAAAACTACCAGTAGTTAAAAGCTGAAATAATAACTTCAGAAATCGACAAATCTCTATTTGAAAATGTATTTTCTTAATAATTTTCCAATTATTATTACTATTATTATCATGTAATATGAAGACAAAAATCGTAAAAAAAATTAAAAAGTGCTTGTAACTTACTGTGCCCATATCAAGTCAGTGTCCAATTCTTCTTCGGCCGGGGCCGGTATAGAAGATGCCTGTAAGGGTATAGACTCGCATGGGGCTCCAGTAAGGGTTGCCAACCCCTCTATAGCTCTACCAGAAACCAGGGCTTCGTAGCAACCGTGAATTTTAGCTACAGCTTTTTCTATTAGAGGAACCCAAAGCTGTTTTCTTTTAGCCTGAAAGAAAAAGTATCACATTACAAAACATCTTGCAAAAAAACAAGTCATCTTGCTTAAGTTTTGTCAATCTTCTTAAAAAAAAATCTGGTAAAAAACAATTTTGCTAAATTAAAAACTTGCAAAACTTGCAAAAAAGTCATCCTGCTTAACTTTTGGTAAAAAAAATACAGATCTGGTAAATCTAAAAAAAACTTCGTAAATCTAAAATAAATAAGACATTTTGCAAAAATACAAACATCTTGCTTAAGTATTGTACTGTAAAGGTATTGTGAAAATACTGTTAAAAAAATAGCGATGAAACAATTAATCGTATCGATACGATTAACCTGCCATTATCATGGTTTTGCGGATTATTGTAATCGTCTAAAATCGATACGATAACTTTTACGATTTTTTAAATGAAATATTAGGGCAAATAATCCAAGAAATTTTATATTAGGTACCAGTACCAATATTTTGTTGTCCTTTATTATTCAAAATTTAAATTTAAAAAACTGAAAACCTGTCAAAACCAAACATAATAATAACCTGTTACCCCTGGGAATTAAAAAAAGTAAGTTCTAAATGTAAAAAGCCAGCGGTTCTTAAAATATTGAAAAATAACTAAAAACCTATCAAAACCAAAAACTTTGTTATTCCTGGGAATTTAAAAAAAGTAAGTTTTACATGGAAACATGCACATTAATGTGTATGTAAATTTAAATTTATTTACACTTTTATCTAATTTGTAATTTTTTTTGCCGTTATAATTTTTAAATTGAATTTTAATAGACTTTCTCCAATTTAACCAACCTTGTAGCTCTTTATATAAAAAAGAAACCCATACATATGCTGAGTTCGGGATTGCTACACCGTTCACACCGTGCGCCCTTAACAGTTCGGGTATGCAATAAGTGTAAAAAGTGTTATTGTGGTTGGGTTCGGGTATTTTAGTGCAGTGTTAACGGTGTTTGCACCAAACGCCCCGACTTTTGAGCAAGGGTTTTAGTGCGTGCAGTTTGTTAAAAGTTTTAACCTTTAAATCCTGTTATAATTAGCTGTCATTTTAATATCAGTGACGGATATAATGGAAGAAATATCAAATAAAACACATTGTACTGTTCAAGATTCACAGGGAAATATTGTTATAAATGAAAATACAATTTTTTCAACAACATTTTCAAAGTCTTTTTCGGCATCGTCCTCAAAGTATAATTCCCAAGCCATATTAATAATCGGTAGCAACAAACCAGGTAATCGATGTAGATGGAAATCCATTGCAATCTTTTAAGGTTACGAATAAGTCAAATGTCATAGAAAGTTTCCATTAGAAACACCGAAGCGTTCGAGTTGCGGTATACACTTTTAACGCACTACCCCAACACTACACCGCATTGCACTTACACCAAACCGCCATCCCGAACTCACCTATAGAAGGATACTTGGTACACCCTGTATATAAAAATATTTTTTGGTTTATTAATCGTAATCGTACAAAAATTTCATGTAGAATTGTAACCGTTATCGTAATCGTAAAACAATAATCGTTTCATCACTAAAAATATATAGGAAATTTGGTAAATCTCGTAAAACAAACATCTTGAAAAATACATATTGCAAAAACCAAGTCATCCTGCGTTAAGGAAATCTTTGTAATTCTAAAATAAATACAAGTTATATGCTTAAGTTTTGCAAATCTTGTAAAACAATACAGGAAACTTGGTCAATCTAGTAAAAACAGACATCTTTTGAAAAATACAAAACATTTTGCAAAAAGAACAACTCATTAAGTGAACCTTTTTTCTCAATCAAAAGTTTCATTAAAAGATCTGGTAAATATAGTAAAAAAACAGTCATCTAGCAAAAAATCTTGTAAATCTGAAATAAATAAGATATCTTGCAAAAAATACAAAACACCTTGCAAAATACAAGTCATCTTCCTTAAGTTTTGCAATCTAGTAAGAAAAAATCTGTTAAAAAAAACAGATATCTTGCAAAAATAGTAATGTTTGTCATTCTTGAAAAAGAGATAGGTCTGGTAAATCCAGTAAAAACACAGTAATCTTGCAAAAAATGATAGAAATCTTGTAAATCTAAAATAAATAACACATCTTGCAAAATACAAGTAATCTTGCTTAAGTTTTGTCCATCCTGTACAAAAAATACTGAAAATCTGGTAATAAAAACAGATCCTGCAAAAATTCAAAATACATTCATAACAAGTTATTTGCTTATTTTTTGTCAATCTTGTAAAAAAAAATACTGAAAATCTGGTAAATATTGTAAAAAATCAGACAACTTGCAAAATTCAAGATATCTGGCAAAAAACAAATTATTTTGTTCCTACCTGGGAGTAGAAGAGGTGTCCCTTCCTATCACATGGAAAATAATCGTCGACCAGCACGGTGGTCCAGTGGCCATCTTTGCATAACCTCACTTGGTAAACGCCCTGCTGACAAAAATCCCGAGTCACCAGAACCGCTCGCACCAGGTCTTCTCGTTCCGCAAGCACTGCTAAGGCACTCAGTAACCAACAGTTACCCAAAACCCCTAAGAAAAAAAACATCTTAAAGTAGACTGTAAAAAAACAAACTTCCCTACCTTGAGATATATCCGATGGCTGCGGTCTTCTAAAAACCGCCCACGGTAGATCCTTGTCCTCGTCCACGACTATTTCTTTCAGTCGACGCCATTTTACTGTGTGAGAGTCTTTCACTTCGGCGGGGTTGTAGTAGAGACTGGTGGGTTTCGGCGGAAATGTGTCGTCGATGTAGCTTTGCTTTTTTAATTTACAATACCTAAAAAAAGGTAAAAAATCTTGTAAACGTACTAAAAAAGGAAACAAAATTTTATACCTAACGATGTAGTTCCAATGTTTGTTGGCCAGTTCCTCGTGCGTGAGGCGTTGCGGTTCTAGTGGAGGGCCCGTTCTGACATCCTCGCGCATCCTCTGGCACATATCACAGATTATTTGGGACTTGGTGTTCTCGAACGTACACAACGAACACTGCCACGGCTGCCCCGCCAAACCGAGGGGCGGCAGAACGGGCGGGAAGACCGCGGGCAGCGAGATTGCCACTGCGCATGCGGAACCGCCCCCGTTCGATGACGTCGACGAAGACGACGAGGCTCCTACAAATTTTTTTTTTTTGAAAATCCTGTTGAAATCTTGCAAAAATACAAGAACCCTTCAAATCTTAATTATTTTTCTTGAACTTTTTGTTTGGTTTAGTTGGTTTTTAGTTACCTTCACGGTCCATATTAAGGACGCCGTTGTGGCGAGAGTGGTGAGATGTAGTTGATGAAGTGGAGGCTCCTCCACCCCGCGCGTGCCTAACAGAGTGCTGATTTTTGCAGATGTGTTTTCTGGCACCCTTAAAGAGAATGTTATGATAAAGCAGGGTTCGCAAAAACATGTTTTTTTAAAACAGTTTTTTGTTTAAAACAGTATTTTAACACTCTTAAAACATGTGGCAAAAATCCAAACCAACTAAAAGTGTAATATTTTTAGTAAATGTAGTAGTTTGAATTTAGGAAACTATACATAGGATAATATAACATATTGTGAGAACTGGCCAAATATCTTGATACCGTGCTTTTGTTTAGAGCGTGCTACACAAACAGTATTGGACCTCATTAGTGCCGGATAGCCGTGGTGTGTGAGCACAGTCAAAACACGCTGCCAAGCGTTGCCAGTTCTCACAACATGGACACTACTCCCTAAGTATAAAAACATTTTTTGAGACAACATAAGATATCGTTTAAAACATTTTGTTTTAAACATGCCAACCCTGGTGTAAGGTATAAAATAATAAAACAAATCTGTAAACAAACATGTAAAAATACAAAACGTAATTTTGTAAAAAAAATACACAGATACAATGTTCAAATACAAATCTTGGTAAATCATTTTAAATTAGAATAATCTTATACCTACAAGATATAAAAAACAATAAAAATTTAAAATATACGAGCCCTGTCTCAGTGAAGTTGGCCCAACTAACGAAAATAGTTTTTTGAAGATATTTAGAATATTATACGGTAATTAATTAAAATTAACACATTGTTTTAATTAAATAAATAACGTTTATTAAATTTTCTACCGTTAAATTGTATTTTTAAGTACCTAATAAAAAAATATTTAAAATTCTCTTATATTGTCCTTAAACCAAAAATTAAGAAAAAAAAATATTTTAAATAAATACATTTTAATTGTAAACTACCACTGCGTAACATCTCCTTTATGGCTTATTACTTCCTGTATACGTCTCGGAATGGTGTCAACCAATTTTTGACAATCATTCTGCGTAAAATTATTCCAAATTTCTTGCAGGCGAGCACGCAACTCTAAGACGGTTCTTGCAGGATGTTCTCTGAGCTTCTTTTTCATAATATGCCACAAAGTTTCTATAGGCGAATGATCTGGACTACTAGATGTCCATTTTAAAAGTGAAATATTATTTTCTATCATCCAAGCTTTCACTTTTTTAGCCGTTTGACACGCTGCACCATCTTGTTGGAAGATGCGTTCAATATCATTTAAACGCATTTCTTCAATTTGCGGTTTTAAGTTATTTTTTAGGACGTAAATATATTTATCAGCATTCATAATGCCCTATACAAAGTGTAATTTACCGATCCCTTTAGCTGACATAGATCCCCAAATCATCACAGAGGCCGGGAACTTTTTTCTTAAGACAGTCATTATGAAAAACTTCTGCTTTAGTTCTAATGACTCGGCTTTGATTATTATTCTTAAAGCCCTTAAATTTTTATCAGAATAGTGAGGATTACTTCCATTTTTTGATTTCTGTACCACAGATCCTGTAGTTTTGTGCAGTTTAATAATATTTTGCACTGTATATCGTGACAAATTAACAGTTTCAGCGATTTGTGCAGCGGATTTTCTTTTTAAATGCAAGTGAATTATTACTTTTCTTATTTCTTCAGAAGCAGCTTTTCCTCGGGACATTATTATTTGTCAACCACACCGAACGCATAAATATATACTGGAATGTCACTACCGACTTGCTTACAATTATTTAAATGTCAAATATTATCTTTACTTTTAGCCGATTTGCATTAAAAAATCTGGCCATCCAAGTTAATGCATTTTTGTCGATTTTTTTGCATTGTAACTAAACATCCAACTTAAAACTAAATAATATACATACACATATTTTTAAAAAAAATTTACAATATGAAGATTGACCAAGAATTACATATGATAAAAAATTGTTGGCTTTTCATCGCATAAAATTACAAATTTTATATTTTGAGTGGTTGGGCCAACTTCACTGAGACAGGGCTCGTATTGTAAATGTTAACTTTTGTAAAAAAAACATTTTTTTTTTTTAAACTTACCGTATGCCTGGGACTAGGACTTCTGGGCACAGCAACAGCCACCTCCAACAACACCTTCTCCTTCTTGCAAACTTTACACACTGTACTCCCCAGCGGATTCTTTAGCGTGCACTTCGAGCAGGTCCAGAACTCCCCTTTGCGCAGCGTCATGTCGGCTCCGACCGACACGCTGCGCAGCTTCGAGCCGCAGCAAGCTTCGCAGGTCAGCGAACGACCGCTGTTCACCAACGTGCACTTTTTGCACGTCCATTTCGAGGGCGGTTCCTCCGCGGGGGAGGTTTCCGCGTCCGAGGGGAGGAGGAAGTCGTCTTCGAGGCCCTGGTCGAGGGTGGCGATGGGGACTTGCAGCTCCGTCCTATCTAGAGGGCTGGAAAAATTGTCAAGAATAATTTCTATGCAATGTGAAGTTTAGCCCATTGATTTTAACATACTTAAACCATTTAAAAAAGGGTAAAACAATTGAAATGGATAATTATTTAGTTAAAAACAATCCTACTTACACATTATTTCTTTCAAATCTTGGAAAGAAATATTGCCAACCAGGTATAAAAAACAATTTTATCCACGACTACCTTATAATATATACTTTATAAATGAGTTTTCTAAAGCAAAATGATAGTCATATTTCACAGAGTGAATAATAGCAGTGAATAATCATTATTCACTGGTCTAGAGTTCCTATAGGACACACGATATAGATTGTATCTGGCAAGCACTTATAAGTTCGTCTAGGCAATTATAGCCAGGCACTTTAATTATCTAACTTTATACCAATCATAAAAGTCTTGTTAAAGTATTACTTTAATATGTTTTTTTAATGCAATTGAATAAAAATTTAACATTAAGTAGACTATTTCAAGTAAGTAAGCCATTGACATGACATGACAAGCTTAGCATAAATTGCTGTCAATTTGAAACGTCATAACTTCGATTCAGCACACGATTTTTGTTACAAATTATTATTAATCTTAAATTATACATAAAAAATCAAAGCGTGAAAGATGAAGAGATGTTACGCACTCAACAAAACATCACAGAAGTCACTTTTCGAAATACGAATTACCTAAAAAATCACATTCATTGGAAATAAAATACTGCATAATCTATAAATAATAGAATTATCAAGTAGGTAGTAAGCCATGTAATCAACTGACAACTAATAATTATTTGAAACGTCAAATTTTAACGACGCGGTGGTGCAATAATAATTCCTGTTAAAATTATAATTTGCTTTCAAAAATACGTTAACAATGGAAATTGATAGTGAAGAAGATATATTGTGTACTCCACCGGAGATAACAGAAGCTGCAAAAGTCACTTCCCTGAATTTGTTGCCTGAGAAATCCCAAAATTTGTACGTATCTGTGTACAACACCTTTATGGACTGGTGAGCGACCAAGAAAATTAATTCATTCTCAAAGTCTGTTTTAATGGTATATTTTATATACAGGGTGTCCCACAATTAGTGCGACAAAATGAAGGTGTATTATCTAAAGACCCCCAGGAATTCCAGAAAATTGTTTAAAAAATTCTTTCTTCATTATTTAATAAGATACAGGGGAGTCATATTTTCTTTATATGGCAACATTGCCTCATAACAAAGTAATAGTTTAATTCTTAATCATCATGACAACAAACAACAATGTTAGAAAATGCCAAATTTAAATGTCAAAATTTGTTACTTTAAGTTATAGGTTATTTGGGGTTGTTTGGATCAATCTGGAAACCAGAAAACATAATACTCAATTTACGCTCTTTGAATAAAAAAATAATTATAATAATAATAATTTCAACCAGTATAAAAGTATTGGGTTTCTTATATAAAATCTTACACTTTTACTGGCCTATAATACAATACATATAGCACAAAAATAAAGATATTTTGTGAACATGTCAATTAAAAACAATTCTACTCACACATAAAACATAATTTCTCTCAATAATAAAACTAACTACTAATGATAAACTAACTTTGGATAGATAATTTAATTTAATCCCACAAATTTTGTATGTATCAAATTATCCCCCACAACAATAAATTTTTTTAGTAAAATTATCTAACACAATAATTATTCAAAGATAACGACAGTTCTAAGTACAGCCACTGCGGTTTTTCAACTTTACTTGATAAAATTCTAATAAATGTAAATAATTCCAATATTTATCTTTTTAAATATGGATTTAAATTTAAGTCAAAAGTCGCAACATTTAGTAAAAAATACAAGAAATTTTGGAAATTATATTAAAAATTCCTTTTTAAATAAGATAATATTTTAAACCTGCAAAAATAAATTTAAAAAATTAAACGTATTTAATTTTTTTTACTTTTAAACTCAAATTGTCATTCGCATGTCTGAGAAATTTAAATTGACGAATTTACCTATTCCTTAATAAAAATTATACTCAATATTCCATTCCATGGTAACTCGCGTTACAATCAGATATACATATATTTGGCAGTAAAGTGACAATACTTAATTCTAAAACTTTAACCAAAATCAACAATTTTTTTCTCCAAATTTGGACTATTCGTAAACAATTAAATTCTTATCATAATAAACAAAATGCTTTGATTGTTATTTTTAGAAAATAAAATTTACCAGTCACTCGCGTTACATCCTAAGGACATATGATTTACCTTTCCATGCACTTTTTATTATTTCTGCGTATTTAACAATGAAACAACTCTTAAATAACAAAAATAGATCAACACAAAGAAATGTATACAAATTTAAATGTTTTTTCATACATTTGGTTTTGACATAGCAATGTTCAAAAAATATTTTTTGAATGTTTGTGATGGCGTCATCAATTGGATCGTATATACGGGTGTATTTTTGGTTGCCTATTGTCGCTTCTGCGAACATACGTCCGACGTCTGCTGGCCGACATCCTATGGCCGATTCTATTCCGACGTCGCACTGTGGGCCCAATGTCCAAACTAGGTTGCATTAATTCAATTTTTTTTTCTATTTACTTAAAACTTTAAAAATAATTAAACTTTGAGACTAACCAATGCTGGTAATTAATTATATAATTTATTTTTTCATTTTCCAGTGTTGCCACATTAGTATTTTTGGAAATTAATTTATAAAATACAGGGTTATCTTCAATTAGTGTAACAAACCATACCAACGTTATCTACTGATCAAAATTACCTATATACTAAGTTGCTTAGTTTAGTCTTTAGAGGTCTTTAAAGTTTTGAAAAATATCTATTTTTTTAAATATCTTAATAACGTATTAATGTATTTTTAATATGTTTGGAATATAAGTTTTAACTGCCAATTAACGTCGTTTGGTGCTACACTCAGTTATCTTTAAAAATTAGAATAATCAGAAAAGCAAGGTTAGGTACTAATTTTCGCTTGTATTTTTTTTACTGTTGATATAATGGTTTGCTAGGAAATATAAAGCTTACTTTGTTTAAAAACTTGTTTGTCTCTTGTAAAAGTTTGATGAGCGGTTTAGCCAGAAAAAATTAATTTGTAACGTCTGCATACCTACTATCGATATATCGCGATAGTTACTAGGTTTTATCCCGAAAATTGAACATTATAAGAGATTCCTTTTCTAAAAATAGGTCAATTTGATTCAACGCAGTTGCTTCGTTTGGCAGATAAAAAGTGAAATACAGAGTGTTGGTAATAGGTAAATGGTGTATAAAGAGGAGGGTTTTCGCATATTTTTTCGGTCACTTCCGGTTTCACCGGAAATGGGTCCAGGTTCAAAAAATTAAATAGAAACCCCTGTATATTTACATTCTCGGATTCTTAACATAATTCTGGACTTAAATGTGATTTTTTAATGCCTTTTAAGCAATTTTTAACAATGCATCTAGGCCACCTTAATGTAATATTAAAAACGGATAAAAAGAAAGAGTAGGCGTAAACACTTTTAACAAATATTAAACGCCATGTATATAATTTGCTCATTGTCCAAGCAATACATGCGATAAACAACTTAAGATTCATATTAATTTTTAATATTTTCTTTTCTCAGAGGTTTACATTTTTGACTGGGATAAGTTTCGCGATTTTTTGCGATTTTTTTTAACAGTTTTTAGTAGTCTACATCTTTGTCAAATAAAAAATATATATTTTGGCTTGGCATTCGTTGGCCTTTCTATTTTTTTACTCTGCAAAACTTAAAAAATTAAATATTCATGGTAATTAACTTATCAGTTCTTGCCAAAAACAGAAAAAAACACGAATTTTCTATAATTTTATGTACCCAACACAACTAATTGACAGGTCTAATGTCAGTTATAAAATGTTTAAAGCTTAATTTTCATGTATCCGTTTGTCCGTCATCCGTATGTCAGTTTTTCAATAAAATCATCCGATAAGAAATGTTCTAATTTTCATGCATACGTTTTTTAATGATGTTTAAAGGATTGATTTTGCGACAAATAGAAATTAAGTGTCAGTATATTCACTTACTAAATTTACCTAATGCTTAATTGTCATAGTTACAATTATGTCAACAATTGTAACTTTAACAGTTAGCTGTCTAATAAATTTAAAGGTAGGTAAATATACCTTATAAAAAGAATATACTAGCCCTAATATACATTAAAATGTATAGTTTTAAAAAAGCAGGTCCATTTAGTTCTAGTTTTAATTTTTTTTTGTTTGTCCTTTCTTTTTTTCCGTTATTCTTATTAAATAAAAACTTAACAGTATAACATTATTCACATAACGAACGTAATATTTTCGTTTTACAATCTTATTGAAAAAATATAAAAATATTTGAAAATAAATTATCTTAAAATAACGTTAGGCGTCAAAAACAGATGTTTAGTGACGGATGAGTTAAAATTATTTAACCTTTCTCTGTCAGACGTACGAAGTTGAAACTTGACGGACCGATAAAATGTCATAATTTTCGAATTATAATTGGACCAATAAGAGCGCTCCCGGATGAACGGACTGACGGACAAACGGATACATGAAAATTAAGCTTAAGGGGACTTTTGCTTTTCACAGCCCTCTAAGCTATAAAAAATTCGCAAAAATCGTAGTTTTAATTAAAACGATTGCATTAAAAATAGACTTTCTTTTAAAGATCTGACATTGGGCATTTATAAAAAAGTCTTCGTAGAGTATTTTCCAAAAGCAATTATGTTTTTACAAGTTTGAATATGTTTTTAATAAAACAATTGTGGCAAATTATACATTTTCAATAATGACTTATTGCAACCTAGTTTGGGCATAGGGCCCACAGTGCGTTGGATCAATGTCGACATACGGTGGCCGACTTTATTTTTCAGTAGGGGATGAATTAAACCGAAACTAAGTTTAGCGTATCATTTTGAAGGGGTCTAAGCGTTTATTGTGGGTGTATTTTTGGTTGCCTAATGTCGCCTCATACACAACTACAAAATACACCCAATTAAACAATAATTCTAATGATTAGTTCGCATTTATTTTAACTTTATTAAATTTTTATACATAATATTATGTACATACATACATATAATATATTATAAGTTAATATAAAATAATAAATAATAAAAAAAAACAGATGAACTTCTGCTTATGTCAACGATTTTCTTTAATTTGGAGCTGCTCATTAAGAGTATTCAGGGTTAAGTGCTTTCCTTCAAATAAAACACATCAATGCAGAAGCACTATTGTTGGTCATTGTGGCCTAAATATATAAACAAACCTGCAGCACACATGTTATAAATTGACTTCCTTATTTACATTTTAAAGGATTATGGTCTTTAATTTTTTACGAGGTGAGTATGGAAACTTGGCCTTTGTTTTACTGCCAGAAGGTTGGGCTGGGGCCTCGTCTAATGCTTGTGCTTTTCGCAAAGCATTGCCCACTGTATTAACCGAAATGCCAAAAGCATTCGCCACACGCTGCAATCGGAAGTTTTTTTTGTCCATTGCCAAACTATTCCCACGGTGGGAATCCCTCCGAGCATTTGGAATCTCGGATGGAGGTCAGAGACATACGCTATAGTGAAATAGTGGCTATATTTTCATATATTTTCATTGCGCATGCGATTTTACTATTGGGCCATTCCACGCTTAACTGATAGGACAGTTGCCGTGTTTTTATTTACAAAATAATATTTTTCTATTATATTACCAATGTCAAATTTTTATAAATAGTTCTAAACAAAAGCTGTTTAACAAGGTTTTTATTTGGCAAAATTAGGTATCGTGATTGACTGTTTAATTCATTAAAAATTAATAATTTAAAGCGTAACGGGCGGGACTATTACAAAGTCCCGTCCGTTACGCTTTAAATTATTAGTATTTAAGGAATTACACATTCAACCACGATACCTAATTTTGCCAAATAAAAACCTTGTTAAACAGCTTTAGTTTAGAAATATTTATAAAAATTTGACATTGGTAATATAATAGAACAATATTATTTTGTAAATAAAAACACGGCAACTGTCCTATCCGTTACGCGTGGAATGGCCCTATTGCACATGTCTTTACCCGAGAGTAAACATGCTCAGTAGGAACAAGCCTAACATAGCTTACCTCTTGGACGCAGTTTAGTGGAAGCAGGGGACCCCAATGCTCTAGTTCCCTTTGAAAATATTCAACTAAATTAAAAATAAGACGTTTTTGATTATCGTCCAAACGTTTGACAGGCATTTTATAAAACCTGTCAAACTTACAAAATATGTTATTTAATGGCAAATTACTGTATGAACGCCACTGACGAACCTTCAAATTTTGATACATTTCTAGTCAATGCCACAACAAACTATACGCGCTCTGTCCTTTTTCAGCACAAGCTGCGTGAGCGCGACGTCGGATTGACGTTTGTCGTAAATTACGATTAATTGTGTCGCCATCTGCTGGTTTAGCGGATCCCGATACGTTTTAGAATTACAAATGAACTTTTATAAAGAAAAAAAGACAGCTACACATTTAAATGTCTATGTTTAGTTCAGCAATTTATGACGCCATCACAAACATTCAAAAAATACACTTAAAGTTATGGCCATGGAGCCTACACAAGGAGCCCGAACTTAATAGGGAAAATTGACAAAACCTGTCCACTAAATTGCACAATTTAAGTCTTTTTTTTTCACCACCAGCGGCGCTGTTTGTCAATGCGTCCGTATGACGTGAAAATAGTATCAAAAATACATGTGAAGTAAGCAAGTAATTTTGACAATTGATTTGCAATAATGTTTTGACGTACGAATCGTTTTGTTATTTATGGCTGTACCTGGTAGGTAGATTCTAATAAATAGGTTTTGGTTGTGAAATATAAGTGATTCTTTATAATCTGTGAAGTGATTTTACGACTCTGGAGAAGCAAAATAAATAGGTTTTGGTTGTGAAATATAAGTGATTCTTTATAATCTGTGAAGTGATTTTACGACTCTGGAGAGGCAAAATTAGATTTCCAGGTTAGAAATACACCGCTATTTAATAATTTAAATTTAATTTAAATAAAAATGTATGTATAAAATGAGTAAACAGCATATTTAATAATTTCCACCTTTATTTGTTTATATTGAACTTTTATTTAAGCCATCTACCTATAAAACTAAAAATAAATACCATATGGATTTAATATTCTGTTTATGGTTTTACACGATTCAGCATCACACGACATTCTTTTATAGAAAAAAACACGTATTTATAAAAAACTGTACTATACTCTACATCAGAAAGTCCAACATGAATTCCAATGTTAAATTTGATATAAATTTATTGTAAATTAAGACTTTTATACACAAAACCAGGTACATGTGTACATTGTTTTCAAAAAGCGATAAACTGACAGTTGCATAACCTCAATTATTTCCACAATAATAAGTGGTAGGTAGTGGCGCCATCTCTGGTTATACCACTCTACTGTTTTGGACCGGTAGTACACTAGCGCCCTCTTATCTTAGGAAGATTCTTGTTTACATGAAGTTCGGGCTCCTTGTATAGGCTCCATGGTTATGGCGCTTGCCAAATTGACAGTTCTTAAATTTAATTTAGTTTGTAAAACAAATAAATAAAGTAAAGAAGTTGCTTAGAAACAAGATGCACAGCCTACTATACCATATACATTAATTTGTAATGTTCCTTATCATGTCCCATATAGGTATGTTTTGCATCATAAGAGTCAAATTTTTAATCCTATCAAAAAAAGAACTAAAAGTTTTTTTATAAGCATAAAAATAGCAAACTCTTGTTCCCAAGAAATTTCGTCATTGGCGTGTATATTTTAAACTCCCTCAAAAACTAAAGGTCAGTTGAAACCAAGGTTATAAGAGCGTACTTGGCATCCTGTAGGCCGCAGTTACTTTAAATTGAGAAGGCACCATATTATAAGTTTTAATTTGTTTGTGTTTGCAATGGAAAAAATATACCTTAAATTATTATTAATATTTTTAAAATCATCCATATCTTGTAAAAAAATACAAAACATCTGCTAAAAAATAAATAAATCTTGTAAATATTATGTATCTTTTAAAAAATACAAAGATATTTGTGAATCTGGTAAAAAATACGAACAATCTGATAATCCTTGTAAAAAAAATACGAAACATCTCCTAAAAAATTAAAGAAATTAAATAAATCATGATTTTACTTTAATTAAACATGTTTTTGCAGAATATATTTTTTTTTATATTTTAGTCTACTTTATGCACAAACTTTTATGGTGTTCAATTTTGTAAAACCTGGAACTTTTGCCATTTCCTCTTTTTTCCTATTTATTAAAGGTATGGATACAAAGTTTTATCTTTTAAGGTTTTTTCCGAAAAAATTTTGAAAACAGCATTGTTTTTCGAACCAAAAAAGTAGAAAACCCCCTTAACAATTTAATAATAATAACTCACAGTGTGCTAGATCCAGATATGGTTCTGTCTTCAGTCACAGTAATCGTGCACGGCTGGTTTAGAGAAGGTTGACTGCGCAAGCTCCGACAGATGACGCAGCGATCGCTGTCAAAATGGTTGTAAGCAAAGGAACATAACCTACAAGTCCAGCGGCGTTCGTTAAAAGACCACGGCGCCGGCGCGGCGGTACTCTGTTTTAAAGCTTGCATGCTAAAAAGCAAAGAATATACTCGAAAAACGTCAAAAAATGTAGAACTAACTCACATTTTTTCGTGTTGCTCGGCATCAAACTCCATGCTTTTCTTATGAGTACTAACAACGCTGTCGTTTTCGTAATAATTCACAGAACGCGCTTTTTCCGGCTCGGAAATCCCGATGTAAGTGTAGAGAGTGTCCTGCGCAGGCGCGTCGCCGACAGAAACGTCATTCGCGCTCCGGTTGGCGTTTAAAGAGCGCACGCGCGGTCCCATTATCGGCTGTTGAGATACCTGAAATTTTAAGTTATCTTTGACGTCTTGTATCTTTTTTAGTTTTTTGATTTTTAGAAAAACTCAAAATGTTCATTGTAGTGTGTTATATACTCTATGATTAAATTTATATTTAACGATCTACAGATCTTTAAAATATATGGAATGATAAAAAAGTTATAATGGTTTATATCAAGTCATGTAAAAAACGTAGTTATAACCTAACTTTACTACTTTTTGTTATTTTTAATTTTTTTTACTCGCTGAAAAAAAATTAACATACCCTGTTTTATCCGCTACAATATTTTTTTTTAATCTTGAAAAAATATAACACCATTTTAAACAGTCTCAAAAAACTTCGCCAAACTCCTTGATTGTTATCACCAAACACATTTAAACCAAATAAAAACCCCACTATAGCCAGGGTTGAAAAAACGGATTTTTTTAATAAAACCCAACCCATTGAGCTTTTTTGGGTTTTATAAGTGGATTTTATTGGGTTTTTTAATTCTTAACAGATTTTAGTAAAAAAATCAACATTTAAAAAGAAAAACTATCCATAAAAAAAATTCAAATATATTCACTCATTTCTCCTTCACAACCTATTTTCGCAGTCGTTTGTCAACTATAAAATGCATAAGTGTACAGATCGGCAGGGAACCACCGAAATTTAAAATTACGCTTTGTTTGGTCAATGGGTTGATCGTTTCTCAGTTTTAGAGTTTACTGCTTTTGATTAGATACTAGTTTTTTACATACATAAAAATGTAATGTTTTATCTTTTTACGCAACAAAAAATATACAAAAATATCGAAGTTTAAGAAAAAAACCCACTTTTAAAAAACCCTGCGGGTTTTTTTAGGTGGGTTCTACCCAAAAAAACACACTGGGCAGCCAACCCTGACTATAGCCCATTTACCCCCCTACAAATTGTACAATCCACATTTAAATTTTTTAAAATCCCTTAACCCTTGACAAAGTTATAAGCAAAAATGCACCAACCTGTATGTCAGTCATGGATGCGCTAGATTTCGGAAATAGTGCGCCTGCGTGCAACAGGTCGCTGTCAAGGCTTCTGCGATTTAAGTTCGGTAAATTTTGCGGCGAAATTTCGCTGAAAGATCGTCGATACGATGGCCGAACCGAGACGGGGTGGCTGTTTTTTAATGCTTCATTGTCTGCCCAGTTATCAACCTAAAAGAAAATTTTTGTGTTCAAAATTGACGTTTAAATAAGGTTGTATCAATTCAAATGAAGCAATAGTTGGCCATGAGTTGGAAATTGTGTCAGGGTTACCAATTTTTAATAAATAAAATCAGAATTCAGAAAACTTCTTTCTATTTATATAAATTATTTATATTTTGTCAATTTGACAATTAACAATTTTTCTGGGTGATTGGCTAATTTGTACCTATAAGTAAATATATTGTGTTTAATAAACAGACAAATTGATTTATTTTATTGCTATGTCAATTTAAAGGGAATTTTAATATTTAATTGGGTGGTTAAAACATGATAGTTACTAGGAATATTCATTTAATAAAATTACGTAATTGATTACATAGGTTTTGGTTATTTTGCATCATTTGGTAATTAAATAAACATTAAGAAACTTATTAAATAATAATATTGTTAAAATAATTGTCACACTGTATTAAACTTTAATAATTAAATCAACAAAAATAATAAATAAAATATTGAAATAATGCATGATTCGACCAAATTAAATTTAAATGATTAAATAGAAAGATAACCACTAATTATATTCATAAAATTATTTATATATTTTACAAGTACACCAACACAAAAAATCATGACAAAATTAATACATTTATTTTACGAAATATGAATAAAATGTTAGCATAATAATTATTGATAATTTCATAACCAAATCTTATTTTTTAAAGCTTTAAAGGTTTTTTTTAGGGTTCTAAAAATTGACTTGATTTACCTTAATTATAACACTAGGGCTGACATTGCTGTTCATATCCGGCGAATATGGTGACTCACAGGCTTCACACACAACGAAATTGGGGCTGTTCAACAATGTACACCTCTTACAAGTCCACGTAGTGGTAGGAATGGCACTATTAACGCTCCACATGTAATTGCTACTGGCTCCTACCAAAGAATCTTTATTTATCCCACTGGCAGTGGTGCGAATATTTAATGGCATTTCCCCATCAATCTTCCCTTGTTTTTGCGCCACCAAACAACTATAACTCTTGATATTTGCCAAAGAAATAAAACCGGACTTCTTCTCACACTTGCAATTGTAAAAATCGTAATTTCGGTACACTGGTTGTTCGATGGGGGGTAGTGAACAATTTTTGCAAGGCGAGCGGGCCACGTTCATTATAACTAAATTATTATCACATATGAAACATCTGTGCGACGTTGATTTTATCGTTAACTCACACTGCTCGCAGTTACAGAGATAACTCACATCGGGTAGACTAGATGATCTTACAATGGAATGTTTAGGTGGGTTTTTATCGTTATTACCAACAGATGCGCTTCTTTTTAGTAGGAGAAATGTGTTTAGGAGCAAGGCGGAGCAATTTTTCTCCACTGGGATTCTGAAATCAAAGAAATCGGTTGAAAATATAACTAATAATAAACAATTTGTCATTTTGACGTTTAAAACTAACCTCACAATGCAATTAAAATAGTGGATTTGCTCCAAGGTGGCAACGTTAAGTGAAAAAAAAACACTGGGGAATAGTATATTAAAGTACAAGTTGCAGAAGGCCACATATTCTCGCACGAATTCGAAATTTGGCCTCGAGCGACGAAGGAGCGAGTGGACGAACGAATGAGTGCGAGAATAGCCTTCTGCAACGTGTGATTTATACTATTTTCTCGATTTTATAACTTTTATTTAGGTTTTTTTAATTGTTTTGTGGTCGTTGTTAGTTAGGGGATTTTTCTCGCAAAATGTCAGTTGGCAACACAAAATGACAATATTTGTTATCCTGCACAAGTACAACCTGAACTGCACTTTTACACATTAAACTTAAAATTTTGCATAAAAATGCATTGTTGGAGCAAACTTTATATTACAAAACAATAATAAAGGCTTCATTTTCAATAAAAGTAATGAATTTGAGGTTATTAATCAGTTTGACATTTTGGGGGTACCAATACTTAAAAACTAAATGTTACCAAAAATCGTTTAAGAATGAGCTTCATTCTTCAACGATTTTGCGTGCGAGAATATGACATTCCTACATAAAAATCGAGAAAGCAAATTTAGTATGCCATCAAGAACACTATTAAAAAGATTATATTCTTAATCTTTTTACACCAAATTATATTGTGCCCTTGGTGCCATGATGGCCATCGTGGCACTGCCATATATACTGCCGTCCTAAGCTAAACCCTCGTACCTATGTGCAATATTATATAATTTTTATTGTTTTCAACAACTAAAGATATATTTTAGAGATATTTTGTCCTTTAGGGGGCATTCAATAATTACGTGAGGTATTTTTCTGATAATTTGGACCCCCTTGGTAAGATTTGGTAGACCCCCCATCCCTCACGTGATATTTAAGCCATAAACTAGTTATGGCCTTTAGCTAAATTAAAAGCTATTTGGCCAGCATATTACATAAACTAGTTATAAATGAAATTAAAATGTAATTGTGGTTATGTTTAAATTATTGTACATTGAATGGTAGTCAAGTTGAGTCAAGTTGAGTTGTCAAAATTCGTAGTTAAAAACATAGATTTGGTTTATGGTTAAAAATGCAATTAATTTGACTGTGGTGGTGCGTAGATGAGTAAAATTGTATAAAATAGTATATTAAAGTACAAGTTGCAGAAGGCCACATATTCTCGCACGAATTCGAAATTTGGCCTCGAGCGACGAAGGAGCGAGTGGACGAACGAATGAGTGCGAGAATAGCCTTCTGCAACGTGTGATTTATACTATTTTCTCGATTTTATAACTTTTATTTAGGTTTTTTTAATTGTTTTGTGGTCGTTGTTAGTTAGGGGATTTTTCTCGCAAAATGTCAGTTGGCAACACAAAATGACAATATTTGTTATCCTGCACAAGTACAACCTGAACTGCACTTTTACACATTAAACTTAAAATTTTGCATTAAAATGCATTGTTGGAGCAAACTTTATATTACAAAACAATAATAAAGGCTTCATTTTCAATAAAAGTAATGAATTTGAGGTTATTAATCAGTTTGACATTTTGGGGGTACCAATACTTAAAAACTAAATGTTACCAAAAATCGTTTAAGAATGAGCTTCATTCTTCAACGATTTTGCGTGCGAGAATATGACATTCCTACATAAAAATCGAGAAAAGTAGTTAAATATAGGTGACTAGGGCCCAGGAGAGACAAGTATTCCTAGCGGTTAATAATCTTCGCTTTAAAAAGAATTTATAAAAAAGAAATTCAATTTTTTTATGAAAACACACGTGAAAGTTGTCCAATCATTGGACTCCAATGGTGAATGGGTATTTTGTTAAAGCCACTGGACGTTAATACTTGTAGTGGCTTAATAATAATTATAATTTATATATTGTCCAGGACTATTAATGATCAGTAACTTGAAAATTGAAAGAAGAAAAAGATTCGTGATTATTGCTCATATTTTTCAAACCAAATGGATGCTATTTTCAAAAACAAGAAAATGAACTACTAGATTTTTCACAAAAAGGTTGAACCTAAAGCCCGTATTACAGTCTGCAATTTAATTTTAACAACTTAATTAATATTATTAAAATATAAATTTTAGGTATTGAATATTAATCAAACAGAAATAAATGTAACTACTTAATTAAAATATTAACTTCTGTTGGAATTATGTTTACTTTTGAATTTTATTTAATGGCATTTGCAAATTTTGTTTTAAAACAAAATTGTATTTGATTGACCTTGGGCAATAAAAGTATTGCACTGACCAAGCCTGCCTTGCTTTGCTCTGCCTTTATTTAAATTTATTCCTGCGAAATGATTAAGTTTACAAGTAGCCTAGGCGCCTGAGCCCTATTTTTCGCACGCAACAATGGGCTTAGGTACTAACCAAGCCCGCCTCGCTTCGCTCGGCCCTTATTTAAATTGATAGGCAAGGTTGGCAAATATCATGATATTTATATAAATATCAAAATATCAGATATATATCCGATATATATCCGATATATATCAAGTTTTGATATTTATTTTTTTAAATAATTTGTTTATCTAAGAATGTTTATAGTAGGTTTTATTAGTAGCCAAATAAAATTTAGGAATTTGTGATATTATAACAAGAAAACTAACACATTTATAACAACTTTATTATAGGTAAATTATCATCGGATTCGTCAGATTCGATAGAAGGTCCCGATAATTCTTGTGTTTTTAAATTCTCCCAAATCCAACCCATATTTTCATTTTTATTTTTTTTTTGACTGATTTTTGTATTTAAATAAAAACGTCAATTGATTTTGATTTTTTGATTTTAACAAGTGTGTCGCTTTGTAACAATAAACACGTAGTACGCTTCATATCATTGAAAAAGAATATAAGAAGGGAGACCGGACTAAAGCATTTTTAAAATAATAACAGGACCGGCTTCGAGAAATTTATAATAATAAAAATTACCTATTTTTAATTTTTTTTAAATATCATGATATATATCAAGATATAAATATCATGATATATATCAATGATATATATCGGATATATATCATTGATATATATCATGCCAACCCTGTTGATAGGTGATCAATGATTAACTTTACAAGTAGCACAAAAATGGGCTCAGGCACTGACCAAGCCCGCCTCGCTTCGCTCGTCCTTTATTTAAATAATTACGTTTATAAGTAGCCTGGGCGGGCTTGGTCATGACCGGAGCTCAGATAAAAAAACAATTTAATACGATTTTGTCACGTGACGTCTTAAAAAATCTCCCCCTTGTGCGTGACAAATCGTGACGGTCCAGTAAAACTCCCCTCCCCCTTCCAGTGTCACATGATTTATGGACGGCCCCTCTCGGAAAGAAAAAAGATAGAAGGTTATGTCAATAAATACATATTAATAGCGTTGAGTGAAGAAGTAGTCAATGTTAATAGTATACTATTATACGAGAGATAATGTAGGCTATTATTCACAAGGATGAGGTTTGCGTCTCGAGCCATCAGGCGAGAGGGGTAAATCATCCAAGTAAATAATGTACATTATTTCGAGTGTAATACTATGCTTTTTCTACTCTAAGTAATTTTCATTGTTATTTATTATAACTTCACTTTTTTCCGATTTTAAAGATATTTATAAACAAATCTGACATCTGTTAACCTTACTTTTTCACAATTTAAAACCCGATTGGTTCAAATAACAGTGAATATTGAAATCAGCCAATCACTGATGCCTAACAACGTGAATAATGAGAGTTCAATATTCCCGTTGTTAGGCCGGGCGGTTATATTGGTTACCATTATTTACGAAAAAAACCCTAATACTGTCAATAATATGCAATAGTAGAAAAAAATGTATAAACTATAGTTTTTATTTACTTAAGTATATAGTTTTATAATCCATAGGATAGATTATATTTATATAGCTATAAATAAACTCCTTATTAAAACTTTATATTGCGTATGTCATGCAATCTTGGTTGCATATCAAATTTCCCTTTAGAAAGTTAAAAAATTACATCCGGCAACATTGCTATAAATATGACATTCCATAACAAAAAATTTGTTAAAAATAACGTTTTTAAACATAATTTATTCAAAAACTACTGAAAACTTGCTTTTTTTTATTCATGATATTTATTATTTAAAACACACTTTTTCTAATGGTTTCAATAAAAATTGGAAATTCAAAGTCGACCGGCCCCAATTGGACAGATCATTTTATTACGCAATTTGAATCCTAGACGTCCTGGAGCAAAACGAGTGGCATTTTTTAAATCAGCAGCCCAAAATTAGTTAATGTAGGTGGGTGTACTCAATGTAATTCGAACTATCATATGGTAGAATTATGCAGCACAAATTAACATTAAGTTAACATTAAGATTAACATTAAAAAGTTAAGATGAATGAAATGCATTTATGTTAAATTAATCTTAATCTTAATGTTAATGTTCCCAGGCAGTGGCGTAGCGACAGTACCGCGAACGCCCGCCAAGCGGGGGGCCCTAACCTCGTAGGGGCCCCGGCCGATACTTACCCCAAAACATTAAAATACTTATTTCCATCTTACTTATACTAAAAATTGAATAATAATGAATGATTAATTAAAAATATCATAATTTACTAAAATGTATACTTATACTAAAAATTGAATAATAATGAATGATTAATTAAAAATATCATAATTTACTAAAATGTAGGTAGGTACTTGATATTATTGGCCTACCATCACAACATAAATGTAAAACATCTAACGGAACCTTTTGACGAATTTTAAAAATCGCGCTTATTTAACAATTGACAGCGGCTTTACGCAGGAACGATTCAGAACTTGGAAACATGCGCCTAACTCTAAACAGATATGCGCATTTAGTTATGCGTATTATTCGGACAATTATTTAAGAAATAGCTCCTCTCAACAGAGATTAAGTAATTTGTCTTTACTTTCTATATATAGAGGCAGAAGAAGCTCGTGTTATAAATAAACAAGAGCTTATTAAGGTTATTTTTTTATCTTAAAAAAATATGTTATTATTTTCTATTATTTTACTTATAATTTATAAGTAGGTACAGTGGAGAACCTTATTTTTTTTTTAATTATTTTTTTGTTACTTTTCGTTTATAAATAATTTAAAAAATCATGTCACAGATGTATTATTTTTTATTTACAATATAAAACCATGTAAAAAATACCTGAAATCAGGGGACCCAGTAAGGATTTTCGCGGGGGGGCCCGAAATTTGTCGCTACGCCACTGTTCCCAGGGTGGCTATTCTTGACAACGAGAGAACTTTTCATTTCTCAGGAGAAAATATACATGGTGTTTTGTAATTATTGTTATATATTTAAATGGGTTGTTCCTTAGGTTCCATAAAGAAGCACCTGAAACTTTTTTTTTCTAAATTCCAAAGACTAAAAATAATTTATAATAACCTTTATCCTACCAAAAAGTACGCCACTGATCGAATAAGAACTTTAGGGTAATCTGGTTACCTAATTTAATTTATTATGTTATGGTTGGTAACCCTGGTTGGTAATAGAGGTGGGAAGTTTAGTTCACTTTCCTGATTTCGATCTTTCGATCTCGTTCATTAAAGTGAATAGTACAAAAGACTAGTTCGTTTAGTTCACTGATTTATAATCGGATTTGTCGGATTTACGTAGTTTCGTTCGCGAACTACACTTCTCTAGTAGTTCAAGTGAACTATATTGAGATTGATTGATTGATTTGCACCAAAGAAGTGTTCTTGGAATTGCACTTGCTGCTGGTCAAAATGATACGCTGTTGCCAAGACCATTAAGTGGTTGATTTGGTTGCCTATTTTAGGGAAAATTACGAATTTGCGTGAAAAAAAATCCATTAGTAAATACCGATATAATGAAATATATCTACGGATTTTTAGTTTAGTTCGAATTGATTCGCTCTTTTTAGTTTTGGTGATTGAATCTTTTAGTTCAGTTACGAAATTCGATCTTTTGAACTAGTTCGTTCGCGAACTACACACCTCTAGTTGGTAACAACAGCGTTTCCAAATTCTGTCAAAAAAGTTGACAAACATTGTTTATATTTAGCCTAATTACAAAAATGATAAAATTAACAATGCAAATTGTCAATTTGGCGTTTTTATTAATTGTTGGTTATGTCATTTTTGTACTGAAGGTAAATTCAAACTAAATCTGACAACTTTTATGACAGAATCTAGTGCATTTCTTTCAAATTTTAGGTTATGTGCTCAAATTGTAAATATTTTAAGTAAGGGAAGTGCTTTTGGATTTATTTACACAAATTAAATGTTTCAAGTTTAATCTGTGAACTGGTCCCAATTTCATCTGAGTAAACAAAAAGAAAAAAACCGAGGAAAAAATTAATTTTGTGGTTATGGATTTTTTAAAATAGGTACTAAATTAATTTTCTAATCATTGCTTAAGCCAATAGCTGAATGAGTAAATAAATACAGAAGGGTATTAGAGCTTTAAGGGCATAAAACTTTTGTATTTATTGTGTTTTTATTTATTTTTTGCAAGAAAAATTTTTAGTAGAATTTTTTTACATCTGGCAACGCGTTAGCTACTTTGTTGGTTTTTATCTATGTACTCACAGAACACAAGTGTGCAGAGATAAACCAAGTGTGTAACCAGTGGCGTATCACAAAAAATATAAAAAACTTCTAATGCATATTTTTTCTTTATCTTTGTAAAAATATTTTTTTAAATCTTTTTCCTTTATTCCTTATTTCAAAAGGTATTCAGTATTTTAATATATAACATTAATTACATAACACCCTGTATTATTAAAAAACTCATGAAATCACAAAACAACTTTTATTTCAACCATGGTTGCGCTGCGCAACTTGCGCGCTTCTTTGGTTTAATATCACAAACATTCAATAAAGAGCGCAGAAAAATGTAATTTTTCTTGCCTACCTACAAGGGGAAGTGAGTATAGGTAGGTAAGACAAATTACATTTTTCACCATAATGGTGGCCACCTATTTACTAAATTAGCATTTTATTTTACAAAAGCAATTTAGTCTTAAAAACATGGTATTTAAGATACAAAATCGTAAAAAATGGTACTTAATTTAACATAAATAGACAATGGCACAAAGCACAAAAAAATGGTATAAATACCATTATAATGGTATGACTGGCAACACTGCCACTACGTGAAATAATTATGTTAGTTAATTAGACCGAGTGCACGTCTTACGGAAGCGCGGTGTAGCTACGCGTAGACTTGGATCTGTAGCAACGATTTCACATGCATTTCTTTACAAAAAATTCATAACCTCTACAGTATTTGAGTCCCCCCAAAAATAAGTACCTAGTCAAAATTTGCGGAAAGTTTAGGGCTATCATCATGTTTTTTTTTTAATTTGATGTGGCGTTTTTTGGGAATTTAAATTTGAATAAAAAAAAATTTTTTTGAACAAATTTTTTTTATTTTTATTTTATCTTAAAGAGCGTCAAAAAATATGTTTATATGATTTTTTCGAAATTTTTTGTCTTTCGGGTTTTTTAAATAATTGAAAAATAAAAGAAGTGACATTTTCTTTTGTTTATTATGTGAAACCTACAAAAATGCCTAAAAGAGGTTGAAAAATAAAATAAAGTATTTGACCAGCAGCATACAAATTAATTAATTAATTTTTAACTTCAACAGGGGGTATCTCCCTTTGCTTGCATTTTTGGACATACCAACGTTGATTAGTACTTTTCGCCTTATTTTTACGTATTCTATCTACTCTCAAAGTTTGTTACACTAATTATAGATCACCCTGTATTGTAAAACGAGTGACCCTTATTGTGATACCAAAAAAACGAGTTTTTAACACATCATCAACATGAAAATTAAAAGGGTCTAAAACAAAAAATCCCTAATTAGCATCAAAATAGACAAATACATAATAGGTATTATCATTATTTCCAGAAAATAGGACGAAATTAGCTTGATACTGACAGAAAATTAACCTTAAGTATTTCAATAATTACATAGTGGGACTTTGATGTGTATACATATGGGGGTTTGGCTTAGCAGGGCAGTATAGGGTTCTTGGTTATCATCTTCTTAGTTATTAACATTTAATTTTGTCAACAATGTTTTTTGTTGGATTTTAAATGATTTGTGCAGCTATTTTCTTGCACAAAGGGATATTCTTGGTAAAATCAAATTAAATCAAAGAAATTGAAAATATAAGGATATTTTAACAGTTTGTCATATTGACATTTAAACATAATCTCGCAGAGAATTTGCGCTTTTTTATTATTTTTGTAATAAAATATCACGATATAACCCTTTTGAGTAATAATTTGTAAAATATGAACCATTTGTTACCTATTTCAGTTGTATTTATATATAAATTACTGTAAATTGTTAGATTTTTTTACAGAGAAGTGTAGACAGTGTTTTTTAAGTTGTTTTGCTTAAAATAGACTAATTTGTTATTGAAAGTCGGGCTAAATCACCCCCTTATCACTCTGTATATTGATTTATATAAAAAATGAAGGCCAAAACAAATTAAACACATACTTACTTGATCTCGTTAATTGTAGCTGAACTTGTGTTGTCTTTTAGACGTTTTATTACTGTGCAGTTCTTGTTGGGGCTCAGTTCAGCTGCTTCGTCTTTGTTTCGCCTACACTGTCCGCATCTAATGCATTTCGTCCTTTCAGTGGGGTTTATAACGTTACACTCCGAACAATGCCATTGGAGGACCGATGCGATCGCGCCCATGGTAACAAGCACATGGTTACTTCGTTGCCCATCAAAACACGAAAAACTGTGTCAACAGATCACTTCACTCATCAGCTGATGCGGACCCCTAGACCAACTATTTTCAAAAACACTTCATCGGCCATATTGATGCATTTGGCGAGCATGCGCAGTAGCGACCTGACAATAGATTTTGTTTTAGGCAGCATTTTGAGTAAATGCGCTATCTGGGTTGCCTATGTTTGGGGTTCTTTTATTATTAAATTTGTAGATTTATCGAATAATTTTTAGATTTTTTTCCAACGATGCATTTTTGAAGTTAGAAATAGAAAATAATATTATAAATGCAAATTTGTTTTCAAGCAGCGACGTGATTTTTTTCAGTTTTTGAGCCAGGAAGTAGGCCACTTTTTTGTATTATTTTTTTGTTTATTTTTGTACTTCTTTTTATTTTTTTTTAAATTTAAATTATAGATATATTTTTGTTGTTTTTCCTTAGAACTGTACGTGAAGCGAAGTATACAGGTTGAATAACATATTTTCATAAATTATTTATTAAAAACTATAGGTACTATAAAAATTAAATACGTTCAACAAATCTAAACTTAAGGGGCTTATCAGGCATGGAGAATAATCTCTGGGTACTCAGAATATCCGCGTAGAAGTATTCGATCCTAAACTTCTTCAGAACCTAAAAAAACAAACATAATAAAATTTTCAAAGGTAAAATTATTTTTTTTTACCTTGGACAACAAAATAGTTATCTGCATTTCAGCCAACTCCTTGGCAATGCAACCTCTTGCTCCAAAACCGTAAGGCATGAAAGCAAAATCCTTTAAATCTTTGTTAATTAAACCCAACTCAGGGTGCAACCATCTCTCGGGCATAAATTTGTGTGAATCCTCGAAATGCTCGTCTCTTACACTGGAAATCCTTGTCGCCACCATAACATGCGTACCTTTGGGTATGGAATAGTTATGAACCACCATATCGTTGTTTGTAATCCTCGTCAAAAAAGGTATGGCCGGTTTAAGCCGTAAAACCTCTTTAATACAAGCCTGCATGTAAGGCATATTCTTGACGTCGTCTTTGGTTAGTGTTTTTTTCTCGCAAATCTCCTCGTACAATTTCTGCTGACATCTAGGAGACTTAGCCAAGTGGTAGAACATGAATGCCACCGTGTGCACGGTGGCATTAACCCCAACTAACATCAAATCAAGCAGTACCGTCATAACATCCTCAGGATACATGTTTTCCCTCAACAACAAGCACTCAATTAGTGACGTTTTCTCGACCTTCGCGCCGTCTTTCTGAGCACGCAGCGAATCGTGAGCTTGCTGCACGTATTTGTGCATGACGGTGTCAATGTTGTCGCAATTTCGCACCAAACTCTTCCAAGATGGCGTCTCCACGAATTTCCACATGTGGAAACCAATCTCGCATTTCTGGACTGCCTCTGTAGCCCCTTTAAGACTCTCCAGTAACCTCAAAGGATCGGAAGATGTGCTGAGCCCGGATGGATCCAGAAATCCCAGACGCTTGTTGAGGGTTACTGAACACAGACATTCCAAAGTCCACTTGTAGATTTCGTCTTTGAACGATGAAGGCATTTCTTCCTGCGCGTTGCGTATTTGAATGATGCGCGTGATGAATTCATCGCTGATTTTGTCTAGAGTTGTTATTTGATTGAACGCTATGGACTTCAAAGGAGCTTCTATGGTTTTGCGCAGCTTGTCCCATTCCAGGCCACTCCTAAAGCAATGGTTATTGAAAAACTAAAATATCTATAATACTGCAATTTGGACACATTATAAATAAGAGTATTTTTTACATTTCCTCCAAATTTGAACCCTCCAACTTAATGATATAGAAACCTACATCAAAAACAGTCCTGGTTGCTTATACTTCCTATGATTCATGCAGTATTTTTCGACGGAATCCAGGCTTGCGCGTACAGGATAGGCTACCTCGCTGTTGAATAATATTTTGGCATGTTCGGGCCTGCTTATGAGGACCACGTCGCCGCCGAACGGACCCCTGAGGCGCACCACCGGTCCATAGACAGTGAAAAACTTGCCGAATAAATGCTGCCACCAGGTACTTCCCCAGCTCAACTGACTTCCTAAGTGAAAGTTATTTAAAAAAGTGTTTTTCAAGTTTTTTATTTGTTACCAAATAGCTTTCCGGCGCTCAGCATGTACTGTATCATCCTAGAAGTAATTTCAGTGCCTATAACAGGAATTACATTCCATATTTTTGATAAAAAGTTTAAAGAAACTGGTCCTGGTACATCATCAAACGACGATACGTTTATGGGTTTGTGTATTTCCGTCGATAGAGGGGGTATAACTCTTGTTGTGGTGGGGGAGACTGGGTTTACAAAGGGGGTTGTTTGGGGGTTAATAGCTTGACCTAAAATGTCATAAATTAAAAAATGAATGTGTTTTCTCAAGTAGAATGTACCAAGACTGCCCCTGGGTATTACCGCTGTTTTTGTAACATCACTTGCATTATTTCTTCTTAAAAATACTTGAAGATGTAACTTTTTTAAATGGTTACATTTTAATAGTGACATCTTTAAAAATATGCTTGAAAACACTTAAAATCTACACAATATAAAATATTTATACAATAAAATTATACAAATAATACTACTTACAGTCTCAAATCAATACAAATTCTTTTTTGCTTAATTTTTGACAACCTGTCAAACTTTTGTCTTGTAAATAAAAAACAGAGCTTACTTAAAACTTTTAAAATATTCAAAATATAAAAATTATTTCCCCATATTTTTTAAACTTGAAAAAACTTTTGTACACCTTAAATTTAAACATAAATCGGTTATAAAATTGCCAATATAGGCATCCCTTTCAGATTTTTTACTTTCAAACAATATAACAACGTAAATATTCGGCTCTACAGTAGACAAAATATATGTGCATTGTCCCTGAGAGCTAAACTTGTAAATAATTTTGTCTTTACTCATCAATTCATTGGCGGTTTCTGAGAGCATTTTTAAAATTGTTTCCAGCTGGGGAGGACTCCTCTGTGTCATAAAAGAAAATTGGATAAATATGTGAGAAATATAATTTTTTTGTAACTTACAGGGGGATATGAAACAATAATAGGAAAACTATCATAGTCAGTGGTATCACAGCAAACCTGGTTGTCAGACATCAATATAACACAAGCAGCGTCATATTTTCGTTGAAAACTGAATATTCTACAAAATAAAACCAAATAATGCACCTTGATGTCAAGGTGTATACAAGAAAAGATGTTTTTTATAACTAAACTTACTTTTGATAATGATCATGAAGTAATTTGGAACATAACTGCCTCATATCTATTGGTGTGGTCTGTTGTGCCAAAGTATCATGAAAATAAAGGCTGAATTTGCTTAAAACTGTCCCCTTAAGTTTCTGTAACCATTGAAATAGGCTTGGAAGAGGATTTCCTTTAAAAACATATCCTATTTTCCATGTCTATATTAAAAACATTAATAAATTGATTTAAAAAAGGTTTATGTATATAATATATGTTTACTTCTCTGCATTGAATTTTATTTTCCCAAGCAGCAAGTCTAGTATGTGCCCCATGACATAAAGCCAAAGATGGTAAAAATTGCAATTTCTGTAACTCAGTAAGTGCCTTAAAAAGCTGCTCCAAAATCTCACACTCCAATGTAAAAACAGCCTTAGCTGGTATAAGAGCAATGTCAGTAAATTCCAACGAATATTTCTGCATTAATTGGTCAATATTATGCAGAATTTCATCGTATTTTAACTGTTGATTAACACCCATGCTGTAAATTTGTTCATATAAATCTATTAAGTTTATTCTGGCACTTATGAATTGTACAATGTTTTGGCAATAAGTTGAGATGGTTTTATCACATTTATTATCTTCAATTTTCTTTAAATCACTCCTCAATGTTTCATATACAGATTTTAAGGAATTCTAGAAACAAAACTTTTAAGAAAAAATGCTTGGATTATTTTTTTGACTTACATCTTTCCTTAAAAAACTCTTATGCTTAGTTTGCAGAAACCCTATATCCAAATAACTTTTTTCAGCCAAAGCCAATTGTGGCAATATATTTAAAAACAAATTCCACGTCGAGGCAGTACATTTAGGATCTTTTTCTTTCTCCTGCAACCAACCAAAATCTATTATTCACCCCTTTAATTAAAAAAAATACTTACAATGTGTTCTTTGGCCTTGTCGTAGCACAATTGCGATACGTGGGTGAAATATGTGTGCAAAAATTCATCTTCGCGTTCCATTATAACATGCTAGAGTGTTTTAGTCATATACCTAAAAGTTTTATAGGTATATGGTTTTGGTGCGGAAATTACGTTTTTTTTGTATGTAAATAATAAAATGTCAAAGTCTGACAGCTGGGTAACCTTAAAATCTTAGTCTTCTTCTTCATTTGTGTTGGACTCTTCTTCTTCTTCATTTGTGTTGTACTCTTCTTCTTCTTCTATTTTTATGACAAAAGCACGTGCTGTCAAAATTGATACAAACCTAACCTTCTTTATCTCTGACCTAACCTAAACAACAAAATAATGGTAGAAAGGCACAATAAGAAGGCTTTTGAGGGTTTAAATCCATGGATTATACGACAATGTGCCACCATAGGTAACAATTCAAAATATGTTTGTAAGAATACGTGTAATCATTTGGTATTTATCGACTTTTAGGGGTGAAAGATCCGACAGCTATACAAGTAAATTGCATTCCAGAGATTTTAAAGGGTCGTAACTGCATTGGGGCGGCAAAAACTGGTAGCGGAAAAACTTTAGCCTTCGCATTGCCTATAATACAGCAGTTATGTGAAGAACCCTATGGAATATTTGCCTTAGTTTTGACTCCGACAAGAGAGTTGGCTTATCAGATAGCTGATCAGTTTGCAGTGATAGGAAAACCTATGAATTTACGCACGTGCGTTGTCGTGGGGGGCGTGGACATGGTTGAGCAAGGGAAAGAGTTATCTAGAAGACCCCATATTGTTGTTTCTACACCGGGAAGACTAGCTGATCATTTGGAGAGCTGTAATACTTTTAATTTGGGGAAAATTAGGTTTTTGGTGCTGGATGAGGCTGATAGGCTACTTGGAGGAAGTTTTGATGGACAAATTAAAACGATTTTTAATGCCTTACCCAAAACAAGGCAGAATTTATTTTTTTCTGCTACTATTACTGACACTTTGCAGAAATTACAGAGTGTCACTGGAGGGGATTGTTTTTTATATGAAGACCCTGCTGAGGTAGCAACTGTTGAACAATTGGAACAACATTATGTTTTATGCCCCAACGATGTTAAAGATGCCTATTTAGTCGAGGTTATTAGGACTTATAGAGCTGATAATGAAAAGGGAAACATCATCATATTTACAGACACGTGCAGGTACTATTTGTGAACTAAAAACACCCAAAAAATAAAATGTTATGTCTTAAAATTTTAAATATTCTATTTTTCTAGAAACTGTCAAGTCCTGTCAATGACCCTAAATGAAGTAGGCTTTGAAAATGTAGCTCTGCATGCCATGATTCCACAATCTCAACGTACGGGGGCGCTGTCAAGATTTAAAAGTAGTACAGTCAAAATGCTAATAGCCACTGATGTGGCAAGTAGAGGTCTTGACATTCCCTATGTGCAGTTAGTGTTAAATCACACAGTGCCAAAAGTACCCAAAGAGTACATCCATAGGGTTGGCAGAACTGCTAGGGCTGGTAGAGGGGGTAAAGCCATCACTTTGGTCACCCCTTATGACATTCCGACTTTGCAAGCTATAGAAGCACAGATTAACACTAAATTGACAGAGTTTAAATTGGATGGTAGGTTTTTAAAAAATAAAAAATAATATTTTATATATCTATCTCCAGAGCCAAACTACCACTTAAAAAATCAATACACATTTTATGCCTATGTACATTTTTCAGCTATTTTAAATGGTAAACAGGATTACATGCAGACTTTATGATCTGGGATGCAGGCTTACTTAGATTTTTGAAATATCAAAAATTAAATAAGCCAGGACTTAATCTTGTTTATCATTGGAAATAAAGAAAAAACATTTTTAAAGAAATGCAGACAAAAAAATTGTAACATGATTTAAAAAAAGTGCACTTAATACAGTTTGGCTCTGGGAATACCAGACTGTATACAGATATTAATTTGTTTTTTATTGTAGACAGTGAAGTGGGTAAAATATTTACCCAAGTTTCAGTAACAAAGAGTGAAGCTTACATAAAATTAGATGAAACAGATTTTTATGAGAAAAAAATGATTAATAAGAGAAAACAATGGATCCTTGATGGTTTAGATCCAGATGAAGAGGAGGCCAAATTGGTAAAAAAACGTAAAAAGAACAAATCAAAAAATAAGAAAAGAAGGGATACTGAAAAAACAGATTTAACTGTAGAAAATACCGATAATAAAAGCGAAATTTTCTCTTAATCCATTAATTTTATTTATATATTTGACCAAAAACCCTTATTACACACCAAAACACCATACAAATAGGTACAAGAAATCGTCAAAAAACTTAAAAATTCAAATTTCGCGCCACAAATAAAGCAGTAAACTGCCTTACCTGCTAATGCCGATTTCCTTTTCCGCTTGTCTGCGAGTGACAATAGACAGGTCAGTGTAGTTTCTATTTATTTTTTGACTAATTTAAAGTAAAACCACACAGGTATTTATTCAAATAATACAATTAAAACTATTCTCAATGTACAAATTAACAAGTAACACCAGTTTAACGATTTAATATTCTGTAATTTAAGTTATAAAATAAAAAGGCATGGTGGCCATTACAACACATGTGTTTATTGTATTTTAAGATAATAATTTGAGTGTTTTTTTGCAGAAAATGCCCTCAGTTACTTTGAAGGACGTTGACCAACACAAATTTGTGAAGGCTTTTGCCCAGTTTTTAAAAAAGTAAGTAAAAACATTCCTTTAACCTAACCTCAAAATTCAGCTTTAAAATTGAGTTTTATTATGCTAAATGGCAATATTATCGCATAAAATAAGTTTACGCGTCATTCTGGGCATTAAAATTTTGTGTTTTTTTTTAAATTTGTTTCAATACAGTGTTTTAAATGTAAAGGTCATATTTTAAAATTTAACCCTATAATCCTATAATACCCTATACTATTCATTAATTGTTAAAATTATATCCATAAGTTTTTTCTATAAAATACACAGATAAATGGTGTTTTAGGTATAAAAAATGCAATTTTAGGTTTAGTTATGATAATGTAATTTTTTTTAAGATCTGGCAAACTTCGCGTACCAGAATGGGTAGATCTTGTTAAAACTTCCCGCGCCAAGGAATTGGCTCCCTATGACCCTGACTGGTACTATGTAAGATGCGCTGCAGTAGTAAGACACATCTACATCCGTTCCCCAGTCGGTGTAGGCTCAGTGACCAAAATATTTGGTACCCGCAAACGTAATGGAACCAAACCCTCTCACTTTTGCCGTTCCGCCGGTAACATCGGCCGCAAAGCATTGCAAAGCTTGGAAGCCTTGAATTTGATCGAGAAATCCGCCGATGGTGGCAGAAAATTGACGCAACAAGGCAGAAGAGACTTGGACAGAATCGCCGCGCAAGTGAACGCTAAAGAACGTAAAGCGTTGAAAGCTGGAGTACTTGTTTTGTAAGGTTATGTATAAAATAAAAAAAAATTAATATACTTTACGAGTTTTATTTATTAGTACATTCATTATAATCTGTGCAAAATAGACTAGAAATTAGAAGACTAGAATTTAATAAACATTGGCACTATAATTTCTTGTACTATTTCAATAAAATATTTATCACTTATGAAGAAAGTTTGATTAACTTATTATTTTGTGCTCATAGAGTTCTACTTATTCTCAATCTCACTTAAAAGATTGTGCAATAAAACATTTATTTTTAATTATATATTTAAAAACAACAGCAAGATCATATTTTTGCGCGATAAAACCTACAGCAAAATAGGTCATCCAGAAAATTGTTTCTTGCAATTTGTTTAATTTTTCATAGATAAAACATCACAAATAGATTACACTCAGTCAAATAATTAAGGAATAATTGGTGAGCAAGAGAATTATTCTTAAATATTGCTCAATTACAATGGTCAATTTTTTTGAGTCTACACTTTTAAGCTGACTCAAAAACTCAACCCATGCAAATTAATAAAATCTATCACAATTAATCGGAAATTTAAAAAGGTATAACCATAGGAATGGGGTGGATATTTTCTTAACATGTACTTAAAAAATTGACCACCCCATTTGAATATTTAAATAAGGCTTTATTAGTTTATAAGTCTTATGGATTAATTTTTGGCTTGTTTAAAGCAAATGAGGTATACTTTTTTTTAATAAATATTATTTCTTTGGCATTTTTTAAGCATTTAGTCTTTTAATAATGTCAATTAAAAAATTGAGTACATGTATTATTTTAAAGTTTTATGTTATGCTATAAAATAGGGACTTTAATCTACATTTAGGGGGCTGTAAAATAGAATATGAAACCAACTAAATCTAGCTATTATTTTGTTAATTACCTACTATAATAACTAGACTAGTTTTTACTATGATTTTTCCAAAAACTCTTACAAATTTGCCTGCAGATTGTTACCTTCATTAACCACGTCCCCGGCGCCGTTTTGTCTCAACCAGTGCCTCAAGTTTTTAGTTCTTTCCACCAAGGTCGTGGTGGCGCCTTGGTGCGCATGCGTAACCACTGTACCTTGAGCGTTCGCGAGCGCCACCTGTTGCCGGTAGTTATGCAACCTGTCGGCCAACGTCGGTATTGACGGCGGCGCCGACGAGGCGGCCGCCGCAGCCATAACGTTGGCGGCGCCCGCCAAAATCGGCCAACCGAGGTCTGGATAGACGAAAGGCGGTATGACTGAAAATGTTTAAATACTTATACCAAAAATTAAAAAAACATATTTTGCAGTAATTATTCTAGTTTATATTTCATGCAACATTTAATATACTCTATATACCCTGCAGGGTGTACAAATAAAAAACATCTACTTAAAATGTGAGGGTCTGCAGTTTTGTCAAGATTGCATAAATCATTTATTATTGGAACACTTTTTACAGAAAATATAATATTTATTATAAATAATCCTAAATGCTTATTAAACAAAATGTTTCTAATGTTTTATTTAATTTACTCAACAGTTATTTATGCTTACAAATTAAGAACTTTATTTTTTTTGTTATTTTAAAGATATACAAAAAAATCAAAAACCCTATACAGCTGTATAACTTACCAGAAGCCAAACTCGAATGTTGTTGCTGAGTTTTCAAAACATCCCATATCTCCCTTATCTCCGAATTCAAGTTCTCCAAACTCTGAATTATTTCCGAACTCTCTTGAAAGTGTTCGGCTTTTATGATGCTTTTTCCGTAATTTGCGTCGGCGGTCGCGAATTCAGTTGAGCTAATCCCTGAACTCGCGCTATGTGATGAAATATCGCTTAATGTTGCGTCGTCTAGTTTTTGTTCTTTTGTGAAGTTGGCTCTCTGAAGTGATTGCTCCAAATGGCGCAGTCGGATCACTTTTTCGCCTAGGAGGCTTCTGGTGCGGTGCAGAGAGACCTCCATGTCAGTTATCTCCTTTTCTTCCTAAAATTATTAATAAAAAAGTTTTTTTTTTAATTGAAACAAGTTCTTGTTATGCATAACATGTTACCTGGCACAGTTGCTGCAGTGTATGTCTAGCCATTGAGCCATGCTTCAATTTTAAATCTTTCTGTCTTTGTTGAAACACTGTTTTTTGACTTCTCAAACTCTCCTTTGCTCTTTTAATAGAATCTCTTTCCAAATGTATCCTGTGTCTAAAAAACTCCAACTCCGAACTGCCTATATCAAAAAACACTTCATATTTCAATAAAACCCCATCAAAAAATTCTTACCCTCAAACTTCTTATCATCAGTAAATGGATACCTCAAGTGATATGTATCACTTTGTGGATTTTGAGGAAACTGATCTTCCAAATCCTCCAATTTCTGCAGTTGCCTCCTCAAATTCTCCACTGGAGAACACGCCCTCGGCGGTTTTTTATTCTTATTACCGTTCACTCTAGACGCAGAGTTACTTTTTTGCCTAAAAAAAACCCTTTTCCGATTTCTACCGGGGTTATTCATGCTGGTGTCGGACGAATCATATTCGTTTGCCGGCTCGTTTTTGTTGATTTCTTCGCTTTGATAATGATCACTAATCGAGGTGTCGATATCCTGTAGATGAGGTTTATTTCGTTGTTCTTTTAAGCCTTGAGATTTCGGAGTAGGAGGTTTGTCAGAAATTTTTTTTGGGGAGTTTAAAGGAGACCTACAAGGTGTTTTTTTTAATTTCACTTGATCTTAATTTATAAGAATGATATATCTTATAGTAGTATCAAATTGATCTTGAATGTTTTTTGTACAAGGTGTTTTTTTTTAATTTCACTTGATCTCAATTTAAAAGAATAACATTTTAATATTTTTATGTTTCAAGCAAAACTTACAAAAAAAATTTTATTGAAAAATATTTAGTAACAAATCAAAAAACACACTGTAAAGAATTTCCCAGCAAACACATAAGTCTGATTATGTAATGGCCCATTACATAGTAGGCATAATAGGCATAATAGGCATTTTTAGCCAAAGCTTTCCTTGTACTTGGCCTTTACAGGAATATGTTAATAAAATTTTTGTTTTAAGGCTGTTGTGATAAGGTCTTGCCCTTTTCAGGCTAATATTTGTATATTTTACCATAAAAGACCTATATATGGCAATTTTCAGTATCAAGGTAATGGGACATTGAAGTACTTTTTGTATATAAAACTTACATGAACCTTTAATAATTAGGATAATTATTATCCTTTAAATAATGCTATATTTTAAAAATGACGCCCAGTGTAATTCCTATAATTTTAATAGTGTTATACCATATAAAAATAGTAATAATACCAGTGGCGGCTCGTGACCATTCATTAAAGTGAGGCTCATGGACCGCTATATGGCCGCCATATTATGGCACCGCAGGGAATTTTTGTTGTTGAAATTTTCAAGGTCTCGCGTTTTTGGAGCACTTCAGAATCTAAATAATAAAAATATATAATAAAAATATGTTCTTTCACGAGAAGAATTTTCAAAATTTAGCTAGAATAATACAAAAAGTGCGGACGAGGTGGGATTTTTATTTATGCCTTCAGCAGGTTTCCACATTACCCAGAAGGTACTGCTCATTTTTACCTATCTTACAATAATTATTTTTAGATTAATAAAGGCACAACCGCACAACAATAAAATAATAATGTACAAGCACAGTATACTGTGCTATACCTATAGGTATATGAAACTCAACGATTTAACACTGAACTATAAAAAACACATGAATATTTTTTGTGATTTTTACTGTGGTATTTGTGTGTTATTATAATAGTATATTAAAATAAAAATGATCTTTTATAATTATTTGAATTATTTTTACATGAATTAACAATAAAGTATTTTACGCTTGCATTTTTATCACAACTTTCCATTTTAACGCTAAGGCAAAGACTAAACAGAAATAAGAAACTATAAACAGGCATAGATCTAATTAATAAGCTTTGTTTACTAAAACATTCCACGCCACGCCCAGCAAACACACTATTCCGGCCATGCAACGGCCCATTACTGGGCCATTACATAATGCAATGATCCATTAATGTGCCATTGCATGGCCGGACTAGTGTGTTTGCTGGGCGCCGTCTTTTAGAACGGCTGAGCGAGCCGCACAGATCTCGGGACTGACTCTGCTGTCTTCCATATACTGTGGTACAAGCCCAACTTTGTGGGCCTCAATGTCTACAAATTTTTTTTTATTTATTTAATTAAGATGGATTCCATTTATTACCTAATAAACAGTTTTTAAAAATTTTATGTTTTACTTATATATACAGGTATGTATACAGGTCTTTATTACAACACATTGCTGTATATTTTTTCTTGTAAATTTATTAATGTTTTAGTATAACATTTCACGATAATATATTAATTAATGTAATGGATAAGTAAAGTATTTATTATGATGATTAAATGTGGTTTGTTTTTATTTATTCGGTCGGATATTCCATGCTAATCGGAAATGTTTATCCCGACCGTCAGAAATTGTATTGTGACAGTAGGGATAACAATTTCTGATTATCGTGGAATATCCTTATTTAATAAATATATACCCACCACATTTAATCCACCATAATGGATACTACTACTATTAACCACTATAGAATCTTTAACACCCCATATCAGAAACTTTAGATTGCAACATTTGTTCCTTTAATCTGCCATAGCAGAACTTTTAGCAAGCCCTATCAAAAAATGGAATGGTTCTTGTGAGTGCCCTTATTGACTGCCGTTACATGCCCAATAAAGGTGAACGCCACATGTACATTTCCATTAGAGTTAGCCTTTATAGGTCCTGAAGTTCATTAAAGGCACGTTTGTAAAGGGCCATTATAAAACATTTATGGTTGTGTTTGCTGGGTTTACTCTTACCCGACTATTAAGAATGTTTTTCTTACTTAAACTCACCTTTCCTTATTGTTGGAATGACTCTGTTCAGTTTCTGAGCCAGTGGTGTTAGTGGTAGTGCTTTCTTTCTTTTTGTGGCGTTTTTCTATAGATATTTTAACTTCTGTCTTAAGACGCAAGTATTTTTCTTTTAGGCAACGGTATTTATCTTCCAGTAAGCGTTTTTCGCAGCGCAATTTCTCGTATGTGGTGTCCGCATCCTTGTCTCCGTTTTTGTTCTTGATTTCGGACATGTGGAGTTGGTGTTCTTTTCGTAGGTGTTTTTCCTGCAAAATAAAAGATTTGAGAGGGAATTTTTGTGGTATTTGTGTATTACCTCTTGTTGAAATTCCCTTTTTAATTCATCTATTATAATGGAGTGATTTTGCTTTAGCTGCTCTATAATAGAGTTGTGGGATAGGAGTAATTCATCGCGATTTGTTTCCACTTTTTCTGCTAATTCTTTCTCCACGTCTGCTAGTTTTTCTTCATAGTACTTTTCTAGTTCTTCTTTTTTAGTATCAAAATGTTTTTTCAATGATTCCTCTTCAATTTTAAGTTTGTTTTCAATGTCTTTTTTTATGTTTTCTAGATGGTTTTCCATTTTAGAACGTTCTGATTTCAGAGTACCTACAGATCTAGATTCCATTTCTTTCCTTAGGTTTTCTAATTCAGCTTTGATTTTGTCTTCTTGTACTGTTTTTTCGTTTATTAGTATTCTTTCTAACTCTGCATTATGTGATTCTTTTAGGTTGCATCTAAACTTGACTATTTCCTCATTTTTCTCCTCCCAGATGCTTTGTTTAAGGAGATTGACTTTCTTTTCCGCCTTTTCTTCCAGTTTGCGGGATTTGAACTTCATGTTTTCTTCTGATGGGGAATCTGGTGAGGTTTCTTCAAAAAATGCTTCTGGATTGTGCTTACCTTGTTTTTCAAGGTTTTTGATGAACGAATCTTCTTCAGAGTCAGAATTTTTGCTTATTGTAAGTTTTGGTTTGATGAAATCTGAAGGGTTTGGTTTTATTAATTTCAGTGTGGGTTCAAGTACTGGTCGTACAGTAAATCGGGATTTGGAGGGGGTTAATTTAACGTTTATTATATCGTTTTTCAAGTCTTCATCGCTAAAACTTTTATCGGAAAAAGTGAGTGCGTTATCGGTACTTTCCAGATTGAAACGTACGCTTTTTTTGTCCTCGTCGTTTTCAGATTTATCTAGTAGCGAAATCTTGTCAAATTCAACACTTTTAGAGTGTTCTATCCTATCTCTAAGTATACTTTTCGGCGTATCATCATTTTTACTATCATCCTTTTTCTTGGACTTCAAGAAACTCAACCCACCCCCTATAACTTTCAACTCAGGCTTCTCGATGCTTCTCGGGTGTTTACTGAACACAGAAACCATCTCATCAACATCAATATTCCCCAAATTAATTAAATCCTCCGATTTCTGCTTGGTAAACAACTTTTTCGGACTATCCAGTGGCGACTTGACCTTAATCGGGCTCAACTTTACATCTTTTTTCCTATCGAATTTCAACGCGGCAAAATTCACGGGTTCCTCGTAGCTCGGCAGTTCGTCCCGCCCGTAAGTGGCGTCTTCTGTCGGCTCGCCCAGACTTAAACTCTGACTTTCGGCGCGCGCTTTTTTCACCAAACCCCGATAAATATCGTCCAGCGGGTGCTCCCATTGCGATTTTTTGGTTAAGTTGTTGTAGTAGTAGTAGGATTTCTTCTTGTCGTCGTAGCTGTAAGTGTATATTTTTGTTACGCAGTGTAAGTGGTTAAATTTGGTTAAATTTTTGTCAGTGTACGTTACCGATTGATTATTTAATTTTCCCATTAAAAAACCATGCAATTTATCGAAAAATTCTTGTTTTGGCGATTTTGTATTTAATTAGGTTATTTTGGGGCTTAAATTAACGTTTTTTGAATGGACTGTCACGATTTGTCACGCCCGAGGGGGGATGGTTTATTAAAAATTGTCACGTGACTAGAGATGTGACTTAAAAAAACGGTCCGTTTTTTGTCTTTTTTTTCAGGTTTTTTTGTCACTGTTTTTTTTCTTTATATTTTAGGTTTTTTTCAAGATTAGTTCCATTTGCCTAATAAATTTGCCCAATAAGGGCCGCCCTCTCCATATGCGGCGATCACGCGTCAGGGTTTTAAAAAAGTAACAACCTATAATAGACTTTTTCTACTTCCACCTTTAAAACGCCCTTTATCGTACATGTTTCCATGACACTAAGTGACCTTTTAAATAAACATTGACAAGTTGTGGCTTTACGGCGCTTTAGTCACGGGCTGAAGTTAGCAACAGGTTTTTAGTCACGGGCTGAAGTTAGTTTTAAGTTATTTGACAGTTGTCAAATATCATACAATCGTTAAAATAAAGTGCCTTTCTTGTAAAATAATACTAAATGTGAAAATTATTTTATTATCTCAATACAAAAATATTAAATAGTTTCTCAACGCCAATATTTGAAAAGTTTATATGAACATTGTACTGACCTTTTAATTTCGCCGGCAGTAAACTATAACTTAAATTCGGACACGGACTCTACTGTAAAGTCCTCATAAAACATTTCCTTTACTTTCACTGTGAAAAACTGTCAATTTTCAAGATACATTTCGATTTATAACCTTTATAATTGTGTTTATAAAATGTAAAAATGTGACATTTGACAGTTTCCCCTGTTGTTTCATAGATGGCGCTCTATACAAATTTTTGATTTAAATCATTTTCAGATAATAATAAGTATTTGTCGTAGAAAAAGTATGGTATGCACCTCGTTTATAAACTTTTCTATACACTAATTAACTTAAGCACTCGCTCGCAAGCTCGCTCGTGCCTAAATTAAATTCGTGTATAAAATGGCGTTTATCAAACTTGATATATAACATACTATTTTCTACTCCCACCTTTAAAACGCCCATTATCGTACATGTTTCCATTACACTAAGTGACCTTTTAAATACACATTGACAAGTTGTGGGTTTACGGCGTTTTAGACAAGGGCTAAAGTTTGCTTTGTTAGTTGACAGTTGTTTCCCAAAACTTTATATTTTTGTGGGGCACTTGCAATGAAAATAATTTAAAAAAAACTACGGATTCGTTACGAGGATAACCTAAAAATCTAGGATAGAACGAACTGGCTCATTAAAGCCGCTTGGGAAATAAAAAATGGTATTTTTGAAAAAATAACCCCCTGTACATTGAAAAGCAGTAACTTTTGAAAAAAGTCCATAACTCAAAAAATTGTCCATTCGGTTATGTTTGATTACCGTAAGGTTTGGGATCGATTACTTTTAAAATTGGTCTATAACAAAAAAAAACAAAAAAGTGATTTTGAAAGCAACGCTCAACTTTGCACACTGCGCATATAGCAAAAGGGCACATCATATGAGTGAGGAATGGGGTTTAACGTGTGCCTTATTTAGTACATAATCAAAATTATTAGAGGTCAAATTCTGAAAAAATGCACGGTTAGCGAGTTATGAGCCAAAAAGCAAAAAAACTCCACTTTCGGGGGATGAAATTAGGGGACGCGGAAAGAAATTTTTGAGGAATATTCTTGATTTATTATCATGATGCTGCAGCACCCCTATGTATACATAAAAAAAATAAAACCCGACTACCATCAAGTTTTCCTTCTACAACCCTTGTTTCCTGGACTAATAATTACTTAAGTTATATCATATATATATTATATTATCTCCTAGGTATAAGATTTAATTTGTAAATTTTTTGTTAGTGCCTCTGGTTTAAATTCGACTTTTGTCAGTCTATGTTACCGATTGATAATTATAATTTGATAATTGATACCTAATTGCGAAAAAACGTATTTTATGTGGGAAAATTGTGAGGTTCTATAATTATTTCATTCGATATATATATGAAATAATCATGGAACATATGGCGTCCCATAGAAAATCATTTATTTATTAAAATATTGTTGTTTTAACGCTTGAATTAACGTTTTTTGAGAGTAAAATTCAGTGTATATTAGGAATGCAACCTATATTACCGATCTGTCACATATCCTAACCCAACTTTTAATGTTCAATGTTTTCGCCTCAAAACACGTTTTTTTAAATGAAAATAAATCACAAAACTATGTAAATATACAAAAAATACATAAATAAACTCAAAACTACGTCCAAAACAATCAGAAACAAAGGTTATGATTCAAAAATTACTAAATATAGCTTTGTACAGTGCTAGAACTTATACCAGTGTAAAATTTGACAAATCCACTATAAAAACCAGTATAGTATTCTCAAAAATAATGAGTAACTCTGATACAAACATTAAAAAACCTAGATATGACGGTAGAAGTAAGAAAAGGCAGTGGGAGGAACGTAGATCTGATAGAGACCCAAAAAATCCAAAACAAGCTAAAGTTGACGGTGATGGTGAAATTGAGGCTTATGACAGAATAAGACGACGAAAATTTGTTTTACTATTGGGATATTCAGGGGTTGATTACTATGGAATGCAAAGAAATCCTAAAATGAAGACAATAGAGGAGGAGTTATTCAATGCACTGTTGAAATGTGAATTTATAAATAAAGAATGTTATGATCAAGTGCAAAATATGCATTTTCAGAGGGCTGCAAGGACAGATAAAGGGGTATCAGCTGCTAGGCAGATTTGTTCAATGAAATTAGGTGAGAATTTGGATATTGAAAAAGTGAATAAATATTTACCTGAAGTTATAAGAATTTTTGCTTCCAAAAGAGTAACAAAGGGGTTCAACAGTAAACAACAATGTGATGGGCGCACTTATATCTACATTTTACCCACTGTAGCATTTGCCAACTCAGATAAACCAATTAAACAAAACGAATACAGAATAAGTGAGGAAAAATTGGCTGAAATAAATGATTTACTTAAAAACTTTGAAGGCACCAAAAACTTTCACAATTTCACCTCAAAAAAGAAGTACAATGACCCCAGTGCAAGCCGTTTTATACGCTCATTTATTTGTGAAAAACCCTTTGTAAGAGAAGGTGTAGAATTTGTTGTTTTAAAAGTTTATGGACAAAGTTTCATGCTACATCAAATTCGCAAAATGGTTGGCTTAACTCTTGCTATAATAAGAGGTGTAGCCCCCAAAGAAACCCTACTACAAGCCTTTAAAAATGAAAAAGTCTGTGTACCCAGAGCACCTGGTTTAGGGCTTGTTTTAGATCAAGTTCACTATGAAAGGTACAATTATAGATATGGAAAGGATGGTATGCATGAAACTTTGACATGGGATGAAGTGGAAGACAAAGTGAATGATTTCAAGGAGAAATATATTTACCCTACAATTATTAACACTGAAATAAATGAAGAATCAATGGTGCAATGGCTTGAAAAGTTGGATCAACATACTTATGATGAAGATGAGGAGGATGATGATGAAAAAGATGACAATGAAAGTGATGATGAAGAAAGAAAATATGGTAAAGAGAAAAAAAGTGACAAAAATGAAGTTGATAATATTGATGATAAAACATTAGAAAAAATTAATTAAAAAATGCTTTTTTAGTATGTTTTGTTTTATTACCCCTTTACAAGACAAAAAACAACAGTATACATGAGATTAAAAGGTCTACAAAATCACTATAATTGCAATACAAAAATTTAATTAAAGTAAGTTCTTTCATATTAAATCCAAGAAAAAGTTGTACTTTTGCTGGTATAGGTACCCTTTAAAAAGGAAAAAACAATAATCTTACATCACTATTGCTGGAAATATTAATTAATTTTCAGGGTACACTAGTAAAAAAAGGTATTAGCGGGTATTAGTTTTATCTTTAAGAATCTCTAAAAATTTTATTCCAATAGGACAATTTTTCTAGAAAATATTTACAATTTAAATTGTTAAACTTCAACAAAAATAATCAGATTTGGATGAAATATTCAGGGAAACAAAAACATGCTGTTTTAGTAAGATTTAAAAGATTCTTTGTAAAATTATTTTTAAGTACGAAAACATGCATAACTGTTTAGTGTTTGTATTCATAATTTATTATAGGTACTTACCATGGTTTCCACCCAGGTGGTAAAGCTTTCATAAGACCTTCTGCAGCTAAAGGCAGCAATTGAGGCTCTGAATCAGGATCTATACCCAATTTTGTAGCATAATCTTTAATTTCTAAAAAATACATTAAAACAAATTCCTTCAAAAATGTTAATAATATTGTTTTAACAGAGAGAAAAATCAAAATAACAATTATTATGCATATTGAGGACATTGTCCTCTCCAAAAAACAACAAAAACAAACCCTGATTGTCCTACTTTAACAATATTATTTAATTTACCTTCAATAGAGGGGTGACTGGTCTCATCAAAGATTTCCTCACAAACAATATTCATTTTTGAACTTTAATTGTGCTAAAATCACTAAAATCTAACTTATCTTCATTAAAACTTTAAAAAACCTCATCACGGGGCTGATATTTGACAGATTAAACGCCAAAATTGACAGCCCCGTATTGAAATTTTAAGGGTGAAAATAAACAAATGCAGGCGCAGGTATCGCCATCTATACATTGAACGGCAAAATTAAGTTTTAAAATTACAGAATTCTTTGTTTACGGTTATTTAAAATCCTATGAAAATCCTTTAATTTTGATAGTTATACTTTTTTGATAGAAATTGTTATGCTTGCAGTTTGTTGTGTAACTTTTAAGCCGAATGAAAGTTTTTCTTTGCCGATAGAATCTTAAATCACTTGGCTAAGTTTTCTAATAACGTGAAATCTTTATAAAGAATATCCCAGATAGCAAAATGAATTCACTATGAATTCACTGCGAATTCACGCGTGAAAATTAAATTCACGCGTGAATTCATATAACGCGACAGATGAGTCCTCAATTGATGCTCAATTTGCCATCACGCGTGAACTTTTTATTTTTTGCGCATGCGCTTTTAGAATATGGATTTCATTTTTCAAAATAATTTAATCCGTCGAAATATTTATTTTAACATCTTAAAAAAATACACAAAAACTTGGTTTAAAAGGCCATAATTGAGAAGCAATCAGACTAAACCAGATAAATCCATTTCGACTTTTTGAATGGTTCCTATTTCTTTTGTTCAGATAAATCCATTGGAAATATCTATTTCAAGCTAAACTTGTTATCATAATATGATATGATCATAATATTAATATTATATAATAATTATTATATTATATACTAATATTAATATTAGTATATAATATATATATTATTATAATAAGTTTATCTTGAAATTCACTTTTCCAATTTATTTATCCGACTAAAAGAAATATGAATCATTCAAGAAGTCAAAATGGATTTATCTGGTTTTGGTTGATTGCTCCTTATTTATAGGTTATACATTACAATTATAACCTTAAGGTTAACTAATTAATTAATTAATATATAATATACATATATTAATTATTAATGTACCTATAACATACAATTGTGACCTTTTAAACCAATATATATTATGTAATTATATATATTACTATAATATATATAATTATAATAATATATATCAGTTGCGGATTGGGGATTTTGGGTATACCAATATCTCACTTATTAGACGTGGGACCCATTCCAAATTTATAATAGTTTATAATGACATTAAATAGACAAGTTCTGCGCAAACAGAATTTAAATTAATGTTTGCGAAAAAAAGTTAGTTTTTTGTGTCGCCTTACCTGGCTTCTGGCCCCCCCATTTGGTATAATTCAAATTAAAGTTGTGCAATTTATACTCCACTATAATTTATCGACAAATTTAAAATTTTATTTAAAAAATATAAATATTACAGATTTTATACGATTTTAAATTTTTATTATTTATTTTATTATAATAAAAAAATATTTAATATGGTATAAAATCTGTAATATTTGGATTTTTCAAATAAAATTTTAAATTTACCAATAAATTATAGTGAAGTATAAATTGCACAACTTTAATTTGAATTATCTCAAATGGGGGGGCCAGAAGCCAGGTGAGGCGACACAAAAAACTAACTTTTTTTTCTCAAACTTCAATTTAAATTCTGTTTGCGCCGAACTTGTCTATTTAATGTCATCATAAACTATTATAAATTTGGTGTGGGTCCCATGTCTAATAACTGAGATATTGGTATACCCAAAATCCCCAATCCGCCATATTATATATTATAATATATAATTATATAATATAACTACTTATAACTTAATATATTATATAATTAATACATATAATAATTAATTTGTGTATTTTAAAACATTTAAAATAAAGATTGTGACTGAAAATGTCTTATGACATGGGGAAAGGGAGGGTGTTACCAGAGATAATTATAATTTATTATAATGACAATATTAAATGAAAATATATTAATATAATATTTTTGATATTAGAATATTAATATTCTATTTATATTTAAACGTGCAGTTTTTAATCATGCAATCCATGTATTTTAAAATAAAATCGATTAAATCACACGAGACTATAATATGAATTCATAATCTACTCACGTGTGAATTACGAGTTCAAGACTTCACGTGTGAAATCATATAGCACACATTAGTCACTCACGCGTGATTTCGTATTCACGTTTGCTATCTGGGATCAAACGATATACCTACGTATAGATCGCTTAATAACGAAAGAAATACCAACACAACCACGATACACACATTGTGTGTGTATCGTGAACACAACGAAATTAATGTTTAAAGTTCGATTGTGTAGGAAATTTTTAATTAAACTTTAATTTGTTGTGGAGTTTTGAAGTTGGTTAATAATGGCTAGAAAAAAGGGTTTTCTAGTTTGATCCATACCCTCGGCTAAAATTTTCAACTCCATGAACACATCGTGTTGTGTTTGGTTGGGTTTTCATTGAATATAACGGGTTTAGAGCAGGGCCTCGCGCAAAAACAGGCCCAAATATATTGTCCAAGCGTGCGAAAAGTTAAACTTTTCCGCATGCTTGAAGAAAAAATATGTTTTTTATAAATGGAAAATTGCGAAATTCCCTTGCTTGTGGAAAACATATTGTACCTAAAGTCGCTTTCATACAGTTGCGAAATGCGAATTGCGAAATTATTTTCATTGGTCCATTGATTTGGCGGGAAAAGCATTTCGACGTTTTGACAGATCCTGCGAATTCACAAGATTTGAAATCGAGAGGGCGGGAATCTTGAGATTTATCCAATATTTTGCGAAAATTGCTCTAATTTTGGCGTAATGCGCATTAATGCAATTGCTTATATAATGGCGTAGGTATGATATCATACCTACCAATGGCGTAGGTATGATATCATACCTACGCCATTTAGGTTTATTTAGTTTGTAACGTAGTGTTTATTTTGTTGAGTTTTATTCGAACTGTTTAAATAAGTGTTTTTTTTTGTTTTATATAGGTATATAGTATAGGTTAATGTATAAAGAGTTTTTTGAAGTAGATTAATGTTTCTTATTTTATCTTTATAGTTACTTTAACTAACTTTACTATTTAAGTGCCTAAAATAGCATGGCAAATACCGCCTAGTGAGAAAAAAGTCCCTAAAATAGTTTGCATATATTTGAAATAGAAGTTGCGAAATGCGAATATTCGTATTTCGCATCTATATAAAACCGACTTAACACGATTAGAAAGAAAAGTTTTTCGCACTCGACTGATGACCGAACTCCGCTAGTCTCGTGTGGATAAGAAAGTAACACTTTCCGCACAAGTTAGGTAAATAAATATTTTAATGTTGATATTTATTATACAGGGTGTCCCGAAAATGGCGCACTAACGGTAGGTATGCCACGCTGTTTAATTAGGTACCTTCCATAAACTTGGCAACACTATATATATATATAGTTATATCATATGTTTAAGGTGACCAACTTTCTATAATAAAAAACCAGGACACAACATGCCCCTCCCATAGATTAATAACTCCTCCTCGCCCTTAAAAAATAAACAAAATTTATTTAATTTAATGTTTATTATTAAAAAAAAAAGATGTGCTAATAACGTCAATAATAAAAAAAAATATTTTGAAGGTACTCCCAAAAAATCAGATTTTTAAATCAATTTTTAACCTGAGCACCGACCACTTAAAAAAAAAATAATAGAACTAATTCTAAAAAAGTGAGAAAAAGTCATAATTTTTTATAATTTTTTTTTTCAAACGAGGTTTGAAAAAATGCACCATTTTTTATTAAAATAAAATAACAAATTTAAAAAGAAAATTATCTTTTTTCTTTTGTACGCTTGTATACTTTATATATATATGAAATACTATACACTATAGTAACGTTAAATTAACGTTATTTTGTAATAAGTGGGGAATTATGGTTAGATTAACGTTATGTAAAGTTAATTTAACTTTTTGGTTAATTTATATTTTCTAATTTTACTATTTTATTAACTTTGTAGTTAACTTAGAATTGAAGTATGAAAATTAACCGGTTAAAGTTTTTTAAACTATACTATACTAAATATGGTTATCTTTATAAGACTTACAGATAATTAAAATAAAATGTCGTCTCTAAATATTAATATCTTAAAGGGGTAGGTACCTACATATTATGTTATTAATTAAAGCTTTAGTAGTTACCTATAACAGAAAAACCAATAAGGTATTTTATTTTTCTGATTAAGTAGCACATAATTCTATATTTTAAAATGCTGTTTAAAAATAATAAGAATAAATGAAAAAATATTTTTTTTAAATAATTTTGTAATTTTTTTTTCTATTTCGTTGAAAAAACAATATTATGTTTTAATAATTGTGTGGTTAAATAACCTCATTTTTTTTAATTTACAGATAAATACCAATGAATGGCGACTATTTTTGTTAGAATGTGGGTGACAACTAATTTTGGGGATTACCAATTTTCCAAAAGTTATATCAAAAGTTAAATTAAACCTAAATATATCAAAATAACTATAGTTATAGAGTATACTCTTAACCACTTTCGTTGGTTAAAATTAAAAGTAAATATAACGTTATGTAACTTCTAAATTAACCTACTTTTTAACTGTACCTAACTTGGGATAAAAAAAAATATTTAACTTGTAAGTTATATTACCAATAAGTTTGTTTTAATAGTTAAATTATACCAACAAATAACCTTATCTTAAGGTAATAGCAACCAGGTAAATTTAAAGGGTTATTTTTAGTTCATAATAACCTTAATTAATTAGTTAATTGGTTAAAGAACGTTATTTTTGCATCTACCTACTATAGTTATTTAACGATGTTAACCATAGATAACAAAGCCTTTATGTTAACTGCAGTTGTGTCACTGGGGCTATGGAAACAAAATATACAACACATATGTTGCCATCCGAAATCACTGATTTCAAATCAGCATCGTTGATAAATGTATTTTTAACAGTCACCCATGTCAAAAAATTTAAAATTTAAATCATCATAACTTTAAAGTTATGTTGTTATTTTTAACAAATTTTAACTTTTTGTTTTTAAAACAACTTAAGAAAATTGTTTTTATTTTTAAATTTAAATAATTATCCTAAAAAAGTAACTTTTTTAATTCACACCCTTAAGGGTAGTATAATTATACTACCAAAAATACGCAATATAATGGGCTATTAAAAAGTTTTTTCAGAAATATAGGTAATTTTAAATTAAAAAAAAAAAATAGTTGCAAAAATGGCGAATGCGCCGGGATAGTACAGTATTTTACGACAAAAGGTATCTTTTTTTTTAATTTTATTTAAAAAATGGTAACATATTTTACTTTTTGTGACGAAGTTTGACATGCGGAAAGGGTTGACAAAATCTGTAAAAAAATGCCTGACATTTTGTCTATATTTACCTTAATAACACAATCAACAATAATTATAGTTAAGTAACGTCAAATTTATAATTTGTATTGTATCATTGTCATTTTTGTAATCAAGGTAAACTTAAACAGTATGTCAACAGAATTTGTCAATCTTACAGGGGGATCCCCCTGAGGGGGCGGTATGTAGCGTTGGGTCACAAGTATCATGTTTTGCTCTGCATTAGCTTTATTTTTAAATTATATTTTTGAGGAATTTTGATACTTACTTTATTCCAACTACAAATAAAATATGATTTCTTACAATCCAATATTATAAGCTTTATTTTACAAAATTTTTGTTAGTTAAAGTACTTACATACTCGTCATATGACGACGTGAAATATTAATTGTGGTCGCGTACGAAAAAAAAACGCTCCACTGCAGCCGATGATGGCAGGCACGTTTAAAATAATTACTTTTGAAGTACCTGGTGGATTTTGGGCACAACCATATCTCAGTTATTAGACATGGGACCCAAATCAAATTTATATGAGTTTATAACGACATTATATTAACAAGTTCTGCAAAAGCAGAATTTAAATTGAAGTTTTCGAAAAACAGTTAGTTTTTAAGTGTGCCCCCCAGTGGCGGCTGGTGGATTTTGGGTATACCAATATTTCAGTTATTAGACATGGGACCCACACCAAATTTATAATAGTTTATAATAATGACATTAAATAGACAAGTTCGGCGCAAACAGAATTTAAATTGAAGTTTGCGAAAAAAAGTTAGTTTTTCCTGTCGCCTCACCCGCCTCCAGGCCCCCCTATTTGAGATAATTCAAATTAAAGTGGTGCAATTAATTATCTACTATAATTTATCGACAAATTTAAAATTTTATTTAAAAAATCCAAATATTACAGGTTTTATACCATTTTAAATATTTTTTTATTTTAATAAAATAAATAATTGGTTTTTTAAATAAAATTTTAAATTTGTCGATAAATTATAATAGATAATAAATTGCACCAATTTAATTTGAATTATCTCAAATAGGGGGGCCTGGAGGCGGGTGAGGCGACAGGAAAAACTAACTTTTTTTCGCAAACTTCAATTTAAATTCTGTTTGCGCCGAACTTGTTTATTTAATGTGATTATAAACTATTATAAATTTGGTGTGGGTCCCATGTCTAATAACTGAGATATTGGTATACATAAAATCCACCAGCCGCCACTGGTGCCCCCCCCAGCCTCCTGCCCCCCAAATTAAGATAATTCAAATTAAAGTGGTACAATATTTAATTCACTGAAGTTTATCGACAAATTTCAAATTTTATTTTAAAAACTAGTATTACAGATTTTATACCATTTCTATTTTTTTAAATTTAGTAAAAGAAATAATAAAAATTTAAAATGGTGTAAAACCTGTAATCCTTGAATTTTTTTAATAAAATTTAAAATTTGTCGATAAACTTCAGTGAATTAAATATTGTACCACTTTAATTTGAATTATCTTAATTTGGGGAGGGCAGGAGGCTGGGGTAGCACACTTAAAAACTAACTTTTTTTTTCAAACTTTAATTTAAATTGTGCTTGCGCAGAACTTGTCTATATAATGTAATTATAAACTCATATTAATTTGATGTGGGTCCCATGTCTAATAACTGAGATATGGGTGTGCCCAAAATCCACCATCCGCCACTGTACTCGAGTACCTACCTACACTGGAAGTACTTGAAGTACAGTGTTTGCGAACTTGTACTTGAGTACAGCACAGCTATGTATGGTCCACACCCAAAAGTCCCACCACGTGACTTAAGTCAAATTTGATACAAATAACACTGTAGGGCCTACAGTGTAGGGAGGTGAAAATATCACAGCTAAACGCTCGGACACGTAAACTTAGTTTTTGGTCGTGGATTACAAATCCGTGATTGGTTTAGCTGTATTGGGTCAAAATTCAAAGATATTGGAAACAACCTGTAAAAATTTTAAAAAAATTGGCTGGACACTAACATCAGTTCCAAATTTAAAAAAAATTCTCTCAAAATTTATCTAAAGTAACACGTGTCCCTAAGGGGTTTTCTTAGATAATTTAGGAAATTCAAAATGTTTTTTACTGATTTTTTTTATTGAGTGTTATTGAGGAAATTATATTAAATGAAATAAAAAGCATAGGAATGTTGGCACAAAAGGTGAAATATATTTTTTTACAAATTAAATTATAATATACCAGTATACAGTGTGTCCCCCTACCAGATTTCCTATAGGAAAAACTTTTTTAGACCTGATACAGCTAAACCGAGCACGGATTTGAAATCTACGACCAAAAATTAAGTGTCCGAGCTTTTAGCTGTGATATTTTAAGAGTTAAAAATTTACCTTCAGCGTAATTAATTAATTAACCTTAAGGTTATCTTTCTGTCAGTGTCTTAATCTTATTTTGTGAAAATAATACAATATATTGTATTATTTTCACATATTATGTATTTTTTTGTGTATGTAGTTTTAGTTCTATTGCATATTATTGACATTATTTGTTTTTTTCCTGTATAATGGTAATTATAACCGTCCTGCCTAACAACGGGAATAATGAAATCAATGATTATTTTACTGTGATTTAAACCAATTGGATTTTAAACAGATGTCAGAATTTTTTATATATATACGAGGGGAGTCTATAATGATCTTCTTCTTCTTCTTCCAACTACAGTTGATTTACAGCTAAACCTACCGCCCTTATGGTCCCGGGCATGTCCTTATTAAGCAGGTACTAGTATTAACGTCATATGATTTCAGCAAGATCCATCCACCATTGGACAATTGTTGCTGGACAAACACGTGCACACATATAGGTTATATAACCTTCAAATATAGTTTTATATACATTCTATTTTTACTTATTTCTTTTAGAACTTTTTACAATTGTCATTTCAAATTTCGTAATGCCAACTTAAGAAACAAAAAAATATGACAGTTTTAAACCTTAATTTTGCCATTATGAAAATAAATTACCAATTTATATATCCATATATAACTTATTTACTTTGTCTACTCCTTTATTGACAAGCTGTGACTGTATGGCGTTTTGGTCACGGGCTGAAGTTAGCAACAGTGGCTTTTGGGCTTGTGCCTAATAAAACTCGTAACTATAAAATGGCGTTTATTAAAGTTGATATATCATGTATACATAATATACTATTATTTACCTCTACATTGACGTTTTATAAATTGCGAAAAAGTGAGGTTAAATTCGTCAAATGTCAAATATTTATGAATTAAAATTGGCTTTGAATTCTTATTTCTGTTCGTCGTAGTTAAAGTATACTTTAACTATATATAGTATGCAACTCCTTTTATAAACTTTTCTAGACACTCGTTTCTATTAAACACTCGCTCGCAAGCTGCGCTTGTGCCTAAAAAACTCGTAACTAAAATGGCGTTTATGAAACTTATACTTAATATACTATTTTATATTGTTTTTAGTTTTGTATGATACTTTAATTTGTAATAAAGTATTAATTTTAAAATACAACCTTTTATTTTTACCACACCGCTGAATTTGCTGACTCACGGCCTACTGTTATTTATTTATCAAACTCTACAAATGAAGATACCTATGGGTATACCTATACCTTAAATATCTATACCTTAAATATTTTACAAATTTATACCTTAAATATTTTACAAATTTTAATTGTTTTTGTACCTACCTAACAAATAAAATGAGTGGAAAAAATATTTTTAAAATAAATATTATTTAATAATTAATAATTATTATAAAACCATTAATCTTGACATTTGGCTAAAGTTTTAAATTTTGATAACTTCGTGTATATTTTAAAATAATAACAATAATAATAATTTCGTATATTAATATTAATTAATTAATTTTATAGATTCGACTTTTAGAACTTTTTTTGTGAAAAACCTTCCTACAAAAAATGTATTTACTTTTTTCTAAAGTCAACGGTACCATTTACAAGTTTTTGCTAAAATTTTAAATTAAATTATACTGCTAAATAAAAATTAGCTTTATTTGCTAAAAAGGGGCCAAAATTGGGTTAACAAGAGAAAGTTTGAAAGAAACATAAAATGCGAAAAAAACCATTTGAAAAAAACAGATGTTTTTTACGGTACATCTAAAATCATCAAAAAATGTGTGACGTCCAAGTAATATTTGTAACAAAATTATTTTAAGATATATTTAATTAATTAGGTTTACAATTTTTTGAACTTTTTTGAACTTTATTGTATAATAATAGATGACAAATATAAAAACACCATATCTGATCCTGTAATTGTAAATTTTGGAATAGCACAAGGTACCGTGTTGGGTCCATTATTATTCCTGTTATATGTTAACAATGTAGTCAAGGTTGTAAAAGTTGTTAAGTTAAATTAATTGCAGACGACACGATGGTTTATGTAAGATTTGAAAATTGCAACGGGTCTGTTTAGTATTCCCCTCTTTGGGCCCAGGTCGTTCGGTCCGTGTGTCGTCGCAACTAGGGCAAGAGGGGCTGAACGCAGACGGGAAGCGCACAGCGGCTCTCTGGAAGCTGGAAAGGACCTTATTGATCCTCGGCGAGTTCCTCTCGTCAGCGGCAAACAGGACTCGCGATCGCAAACTGCGCTCCGCTCCCGACTCCCGTACATCTCGCACACGTTCTCGCACACGCACACACCGAAGTCGACACTCACACACACACTCACACACACATACAGAGACACAGACGGACCATCGCGGTTCCACACCCCGAACGAAAACCACCATGTCGACTATCGCAAAAGTGTCCCCGAGAATTGCCAGTGTTCACCCGTGCCGCGACTTCATGGTGCATTCGGTTTAATATGGCCAATTCTAGTGATGGGCGCGAAATTAAGATGGGACTGAAAAAACGTTTCAAATGCTGGAAGTTCTACTTATTAGACAATTTAAACAGTTATAACCAACACAACAACAGTACCTGAGACTTAGTTTTTCCTTTTATTTTACCACATCATCATCAACTCAACTCCAATTTAACGCACAAATCCTATCTTCTACTACTACTACTACTACTACTATAATATATAAATATAAAACAAGTTGTACTAGTTCTAATTCGTTGTGATATACTAAGCTATGAAGATTATTGTTTAACAAAAAACTTCGTACGTATACCCATTTATATATATATACACACATAAAACCATCTGATTCATTCTTGGGCCAACCCTCATTCAATAATAATTTTCATTATCGAACTTCCTCTCCACTCATATACTTTGTACAAGTAGTTTTAATTATTAACTCTCGAAAAATGTTGGTATGGTAATTTTAAAGTGACTCTCGACTATACTAACGTTATTGTTTCTTATAAACTCATGATTTTTATCTAAAAAGCAATTTTTCCTTGCATATTTAAGATTTTCATTAGGCATGATTGTTTTTATCTCTAACTTTTACAAAATTAACTTAATCTATATGAGATTTTTAGGGTTTACTGACAAAATTATAATTTTGTCATAATTATGATTTTAACTTAGGTACCTATTTTAAAAAGCTTATACATACCTACTAAAGATTCATAACAATTTAGATAGTTTTGTAAACGATTTTGTTTTAAAAAAGTATACTTTTTAATGATGTTTATTATTACATATTTTTGTTAGTATACAGTATACCCTGAAAATATCATAGAAATTAAATTATTTGTTTATGATGTTTATTATAACCTATTTTTATTAGTATAGGTACCCAAAAAATATCATAGAAATTCAATTATTAGTAGCTACTATATATCCAAGTTGTTTTTTTACATGTGTATCATATAAATTATTTGTTTGTCTATACACATTTTTTTAAGTCGTTTAACCCTGCCTAAATGACATTCTAATGACATAAGCAAATATTCATAACTCGCCAATAAGGAATCATATTTTTGGAGAAAATTTAACGTTTACAAAAAAGGTGTTTTACGATGTTTTCGCAAAACCATCTATTTAAATAATATCGAGGGTCAATGTTCGACATAAATTAAACAATAGTATATTGTGCGACTGGTGGGAGAAAGAGGTGATTCCTCGAGCATGGAGTTTGCCGCACGAGCGTAGCGAGTAAGGTAACACGCGAGTGGAATCTCCTCTTTTGACCAATAGTCGCACACAATATTTTATTTAACATCTGACAGCTTTCAATTAACTTAATTAACTTCAGCCCGTGGGCAAAATGGTATTTGGCCCACTAGTGGGAGAATTAAAATTTCGCCCACCGGTTAAAGTTAAATGGGTTAAATAATAGTATATTTTGCGACTAGTGGGAGAAAGAGGAGATTCCTTGAGCGTACTTATAAATTCAGAAAAAAGGATAATGACATTACTTTTTATTTTGATTTGTATCAAATTTTGACCTTCGATACCATTTAAATGGATGGTTTTTATGAAAAAACATACACAATCGTAAAATTTTCCACAAACATATGTGTTATATATTATTGCATTTATATTTATTAGCCAGTTATGATTTTATTCTTATTTCATGAACATATCATTTAGGAAGGGTTAAACGACATCAGATTTTTTTTCTAAATTGCGTTCAGACTGTAAACAAATAATTTAGATGACACCCAAGTTAAAAAAACAATTTGGAAAATAACGGACACCCTAATATATTTTTAGGGTACAACTAATTGAATTTACATATTTTAAAAATATTATTTTTAGCGTATACCAAGAAAAATAGGTCATAATAATAGTATAATATGTATCCAAGTTTTATAAACACCATTTTAGTTACGAGTTTAATTAAGCACAAGCGAAGCTTGGGAGCGAGTGTTTAATAAAAACGAGTGTCTAGAAAAGTTTATAAACGAGTTGCATACTATACTTTATCTACGACGAACACAAAACAGAATTTAAAGCCAGTTTGTAAGTAGAACTTTACTGCCGATTTTATAAGAGTATTGTTGGCAACCCATTATACATTTTAAGATGTGTCTACTGCTCCTCAGCAGCAACTAAATAATATTTAAAAAAAAAGCACCGTCGCCGATGTCGATTGGACCCTTTCATAAAATATTGTTTATTAAAAATAATAAGTTAATTTTATTAATTAGATAAAAAAATCGCCGCGGCGGGCAAATATATAATAACCGTCGCAACAAACAGTATACGTAGACACTTCATACATTCAAATGACATTTGATTTGATCATCAAATGACATCATCAATATTAATTATTAGTATTATTAAATGTGATTTCGGATAAAATTTAATATGCACCTCGGCATTAAAGTCATTTTTATTACTCACGTAGTTATTTTCACATTCGTGATAAAAAATACGACTTTAATGCCTTGATACATAAATAATTATTTGTTAAATTACCCTAAAAAATATTGTAACTGTAACATTTTTTTAAATATCAACCTCTAAAAAATAACAATTTTCAGATAATCCCAACAAAAATAAGTTTTTAGCCACATTATTTTAAAAACCGTACTTTTCTTTATTAAAAAATATAATAAATTATTTATTTTTTTCAAATTTAAAAAAGTTACAGCATTGTACAATACTGTAATATCCCGGCGCATTCGCCATTTTTGCAACTATTTTTATATATTTTTAAAAGTGCTTAAATTCTACAATACGTTTTTAGTTTTGTTTTAAATAGGTACCCTTAAAATTAAATTAATTAAATTGTAAAAATTAAAACAAAAAATAGAAGTAGATTTTGAGTTATTAATTAAAAAAAAATGTCAAAGTTTTGTATCTGTCAAGTTAAACTATTAGAAATCCAAAATTGTTATGAAAACAATTCCTATAATGGACAAATATATTTTCTGAAAGTTTGTGCCAAAAATCATAACTAATCATAAAAATATTATAATTTTGCTTATGCCGTTAGTGAGTCATTTTCGGAACACCCTGTATTTTAATGAAATAATATAGGTATACACAAAGATAATAATAAGATAATAATAATAATAATAATAATGTATTATCTTTGGGTATACTATACATACTAACAAAAATACACTCAAAGGTATAAAAAAGTGTTGTTTCTATTTTTAATAAAGCACCATTTTTTATTTAAAAATAGACATTTTAAAAAATCTTTTTATAGAAAAATATTTAGTACATTCATAAGAGTGTTTGTTAGTATAACCTAAAATATTTCTTTAAATTTGTATACCTACCTATTTAAAAGTAAGTAATTTTGAAAAATATTTTTTGTAAAATCTAAATTATAAAATGTATGCAAAAATTGTTTATTTTATAGAAAAACTTACTTTCCATACTTTTGTACACTTTATTGTCTTTAAAACATTTTTTGTACTCTTTTTTGGCATAGAAAACAAATTTTTAAAACCACGATATGTTTAGGAATGCATTAAATAAATCTTCAGTGTAAAGTTGCAAATATCCCTTTTAAAATACAGGAAATCGTTTGGTTTACGTGACATAAAACGAAATAAAAACGTTGATCCTTTAGGATAACCGCCTTAACTTGGCCACGGAGACACAAACACATGCTCTTGAAGAAAAATATCGTAATTTTATCATTGTGCCCAAGAACGAATCTACATAATATTAATGTAATGTCTTTAAAAAGTTAAAATTGTTTCTTCCAAAATTTTTTAGACATGGTTGAAAATTTATTGTATTGTATTTATATTTAATTAAATACCTCTTGGGACAACAATTAAAAACTACTTTTTCTTTATAGAAAGATCCCTTAATGTACATACATATTAATGCCCTGCGTTGTTTTAGATTACCAGCCACCTAAATCATGGTGGATTTGGGGGGTTATGTTATAATTCTGGTAGAAACCAAGGACAAAAAGATAAAACTATATGGTACGTAAATAATTTGTAAAATAAAAACAATTTTCTACAAAAAGCATTTTTTCAGGATCTCCGGCTGATAAGGACAATTTGGAGGTGGGGGATGAGATCCTCGAAGTAAACGGCAAAACTTTAGAGGACTGCAGCCATACGGAAGTCATAAGTCACATACACCAGGTATGTTTTTAAATTTAACAACTTATTAAAAATAAATGTTTCTATTATTTTTTAGTGCATCAGATCCAGGACAATATGTTTGAGGGTGAAAAGAAGAAGCGGGGCCCGTTTGGGTAAGCAATTATATTAGTTTTTTAAAATAGTGTTATTTTATTTACATACCTTGAAAATTTTGTTTGGATTGGAATATTTTTGTGGAAATTACACAGCTTTCAAATTTCCTGTCCGCAAAATGACGTTTACCTATTTATAGAACGAACTATAACTTTCTCAAAATTAATTTTGGGAATTTATTTAAAAGAACTTGTTTTTGTTAGTATACCCTGAAAGTTTTATTAAAATCATCCAAATTGTGTGCTATAAAATTGTACAAGATTTATATTAGGTACATACGAGGTGTGTTCAGAAAATATCGGGAATTTTCGTTTTTGAAACAAATATTTATTTATTCGTCTACATTAATGTTGTCGCCTTCAAAATAGTCCCCATTGGATATTATGCACGGGTGCCAGATCTTCTTCCAATACTCGAAACACTTCTAAAACTCGATCTTTTGGATAGCCTTTAGTTCTTTCAGCGATGCGCTTTTAATGTCATCTATGCTTGCAAAACGACGGCCCTTTAAGGTTCTCTTTATTTTTGGGAATAGGAAAAAGTCAGACAGAGGCATGTCTGGCGAATATGGATGCTGGGGCATCATTACAGTATTGTTTTTGGCCAAAAATGTTGTTCAAAATTTAACAATTTTAGAAAAAATTTTGCTGCCACGCGTTTCATACCCCAAACCTTCGAAAAAATTTCATGGGATGAGCCAATTGATATACCAACATCATCAACGACTTCTCTGATGGTTTATAACCATTTCTTCCACTTTTTCCATGTTTTTATCGGTTGTTAATGTGCTTGTGCGTTCGGGGCGTTCGTCATCTTCAACGTCTTCACGGCCATCTTGGAAACTCTTATACCACTTGTAAACTCTTGTTTTACTTATAGCAGACTCACTATAGGCCTGTGTTAACATTTCACAGAATTTATTTCATTTTTAAGCAAAATTGGATACAAATTCTTTGATCCATTTCTTTAAACGAACGAAAAATCGCCGAGCTCATAAAACACGTCTAACCTTAGCGGCTGCCACAGACAAAGTAAACAATGAAAACAGCTAAACTTTTTATCATACTTCGGGGGCATGTATACCAACATAATAAAGAAAATTTTATGACAACCGGACCCTCCGAACCTGCGAAATTTAACAATTCCCGTTATTTTCTGAACACACCTCGTATATATATGTTCAGGGTAAAATGTTACACCTTTATTAATGTGCTCTACAAATTTGGTTAAAATCCCTAAACTATTGTAGAAATTATATATAGAGCTTAATATTTTATATACAAAAATCCACTTTATTGTTTAAAGCATTGCCACCAAAAACACTATAAAAACCACTATAAAACCTCTAAAAAAATACCTGCACTTTTGCAAGGCTGTCAAATCATTACCCAGTTATGAATGAGAGAAAAAATACGTTTTCATTAAAAAATAAAGCTTTTTCTCACTATTTCATAACAGTACACGTTAATTAAATACAAATGCATCGTGTTAGACCGCTTATACTCGAACACAAACACGATTAAAGGTGGATGCGACGTTGCCAAGCGTCTTAAAAATCCCTGAAATAAAGAAACGCCTTTCCAGGGTTATGCTACAGTTTTTTGACATTTTAAAAGTTGTGTATGGGTAGAAGTAAGCAGGAATTATTATGTAAAGGTGTTAAAATTCTTCATTGGGTCATTTTTGAGGTGTTTAAAGGGTTTGAAAGGCTTAAATTTGGCACAGCAGGTTTACCTGTAAAACATTTGAACATAGACCGCCTTTCCTGCGAGTGTTGACCGATTCGAGTTTGTTTCGACAGTATGGCATGCTGGACTTGATTTTCTCTTGTTTTTAGACTTATAGTTTTAGTGTTTATGTTGTTTTTTACCGCCCCAGTTCATGTTACGCCCCCTTTGTAGTGATAAAGGTGTTTTTTTAGTGATTATTTTTTTAGTTTGTTGTGTTTGTGTTGGATTACATATTCCTGCTATATGGTGAAGGTACAGTGTTTTTTATGTTTTATTTCGTGTTCAACTAGTTTTTTTTATTGCATAAATTGTGATGATATTCATAATTAAAAAACGTTAAAGTTCTTATGTAGATTTAATCTTTTTTTAACAATGCATGGAGAAAGTAAGGTAATTAAGAATATTCAGGGTTTTTCTAATACAATAATGGGACATCAATTTTTATGAATACTTATAGCAACTTTAAACACAATATACCTATGTAACGGTACCACCATCAAAACACCTTTGACCGTATTAACCTTAGCATGTACTAAATACCGAAATACAGAGTGTTCAAATTGTAAAAAATAAAACTTGTTTTGCCATAAATTTAATTGTTTGTGACTCACATGCCATTCAAAACATTTAAATAGGTTAAAATGCAACACAATAGTAAATTTGCTGTATTGGTCATTTTGTTATTGCCAAATTGTTTAAATAAAAATTTCGTAATCGAATATTGGGCGTATTTAAAAAAACGTTACGCTCAACTAGAGATTCACAATAAAAATTGTAATTGAATTGAATTGAATTAATTGTAAAACCGCTCTTTTAAATAATTAATTTTGGCTACTAAACAAGCGCAAAATTTACCTTCACAAATATTTTATATGGTTTCCGTTCCTAGTAATTGTATAAAAAAATGTTTTACTGTTAAATTTAAAAACCAAACTGTGTTTTAATGATTCCAACCATTAAACCATTTAATAATCAACACTTAATAATAATACGTATCTTTTTAACAGGCCATAAAAATAATACAGAAAAATGAGTCTATTAAAATGAATTCCAAAAAACCGGTTTTTTATTCTAAATAGGTACTGAATTTAATTACTAATTACTCTACAGTAATAAGTGCACCATCTATTTTAATAACCACATATAGTAGAAATTGAGAAATAATTAGTTCGAAAACTAGGAATTTTGAATAGGATGCAACATAAATATTTATAGTGTGTTGCCGATTTTTTTTATTAGTCACTCTAAGAAAACAATTCCTAGAAAATGTGATTTAAAGAATATTCCTCTGAATCGTGATGGGCCGTGCCCGTAGAAAAAACACCGTTGCCAAATTTATTTTTTGTACTGGTATCTATGTACTATCGCTACTTCCGTAGTGATAAACTCAAAAATACGATTTTTTTGTGTTTAGTTTTGTTGGTGTACCCTAAAAAAAATCGGACAAGTTTTGTAGAAGTTGGGGGCTTAAATGTTTGTTTGTAAATTTTTTAAAGTTCCATATCTTTTACAAAATACATCTGTTTTTAGTAAAATTTTCAGGGTATAGGTACACACAAAACTATGCTCTGTTTAATGCATCGCCAGATTTTTTTAAATTTTAGTTAATATACTTTAAAAAATACCATTTAACTTAGTAATAATAAAAACGTAAAAGACGTAAGAGTCAGTTTGGCATCAATGCGCGATAGAATGAAGAAGTCGCGAGTCAAGGCTAACCGGATAATGTCGAGACTTGCCCAGCTTCCATGGATTACTTTGGTTCTAGACCTCAAGCAAAAATTTTTTTCTTCGAAAAATTTAGTTTGTATGTGCATCACATATTACGTTATAAATATTAATATTAATTATTGTTTTAGATGCGTGGGTATTTTTTAAATTAAATTTTCAAAAACAATAATAGCAAATCAAGGTTGTTGTTACATTAACATGACGAGAATTTTTATACACAAACCGCATGTCCAAGTCAAGGAGAAAAATTAATTGCATGATTATTTTTATTGTAATTAGGTATATGAATCGTAAAACATTTATATGCAAATAAAAATTACAGTGAAAAAAATGCCGGGAAAAAATCAGTTTTCACCCAAACTGCATTTTGGAAGAAAAAACGCTTCTTTAATAAAAATAGTTTTCTTTGGGGATATTTTAGTCTATATAAATTATTTTTTATTTAATTTTTAGCACCTATTATTTTAATATTTGCATTTTAAGCTATTTCCATGTTAAAAAATAATTTTATTATGATTGTAAATATGTTTAAATAAACTAGGATGGGTCGTCTAAATATATAAACAAAAATAAATACAATATCTTAAATTAATAAAATGTTATACCAGGGCCGTAGCCAGAGAGTTTCTGCTGCCAGGGCCATTGTATTCATAGTCAGGGCCTCATAAGATTAAAACTAATACGAGCATTTATGTATATGGGGCATTTCACGCCAAATCGGCAACTTTTGAACCCGACCGAAATTTTGATACATTATTCTATTACCGCACTAAAAACTTTTTGTAATTCCATACAAATTTTACCCTACCGACAAATAAAAAAAATGTTGCTGACTGACTTATCGAGATGTTTAAACTTGTTTTTTGGAAATAAATACAAAAATGTTTTAGTTTAAAAAAAAAACATTAATTTTTTATATTATTTTTTTAAACTTTCATTTTTTCTGCTTTAATGCCGCAAATCCCATGGTGAGACAACTTTTCTTTTGATTTTTTCACCATCTAACTTCACAAAAAGGTTTTTAGTGGGGTCAAGTTGGCGTGAAATGACCCATATATGTATGACCTATATACCTAGGTATTTAATAAAATATTAGGAAGAGTTTTTATTGTGCAGGAAGACAATTCTTTCTTAAGCCGCCATTTAAAATGCTGTATTAATTTTTAAATTAGTTTTAGATTTTATGACAGGTCGAAAGTTTTTCTTGTCGCCGCGGCGCACAGTGGGAGGAATTTCAAAAATCGCGGACAAAATTAGGGACACATTATTTTAAGCCATTTTAAGGTTTATGCGGTGGTAAATTTATGCTAAAATATTAATATTAATAAAATGTTTTAATTATGTACACAAATTCACAAATTTGTTTTAAACAATTTGGAAAAGTTCGGTATTGTCGATCCTCCATTTTCCAAAAACATAAATTAATAAAAAAATATATTACGCAATATTACCTAAGCTAAAAATAGAAAAATAAACAAAAAAAAACAATAACAATTAAGGAATATTCGAGCTAAATCACTTATATACATTTTTTTCGATACATCTTTTCTTTGTAAATTTCGCATCTTTTGCTTTATTTATATCGACTACTAGAGTGACTTGGTCCAAAAAACCCTATATCGATGTTAAAATAACATTTAAAAGTTGACTTTAAAGCAAAACCGGTTAAATCCACGTTTTTTACCTACTCTCTAAAAATGAATTAGTCAAAAATGACTAATTTAATAGTTATTATTGGCTGCTTTTTTACTTGTACCATAGTTAACCATGGAATATAATGGTATCCCAAAATTTAACATCCAATTCTTATGTAAAATTGTCCCCTGAATCCAGTTTTTGAGTTATAGTCAATTACATATTAAATGAAAAATTGACTATATCTCAAAAACTGTTTTACTTTTTTAACTTTTGACGATATTTTCGGATTCAGGGGACAATATAAGATTTATTAATACGAGTAATATCCAGGTTTTCGGTTAGATACTTTAAAAGTTTGTTGTGTTTTTCTTTGTTACTAACATTTTTAATAAGTTCATACAACTCCTTATTAGTCGTTGATGGCATTTCTACATAAAAAGAAGCAAGTTATTCAAATAAACATGTAATATTTATATTATTATTTATATTATAACTTACCAAATATTATTATAAAGCGTTAATAAACACAAAAACACGATGAGATTGTATGTATGATTGACTTTTACTGGAAACTGACGTTTTAGAACTAGCAAAAGGCAACTATGATGACTTATAAATATTCGACTAATATGATAAATTCATGGACATATTTCATATTCTGCTGACCAAACAGGCAAAAAAAGGCAGCTTAATTCTTTTGACTTTAAAAAAAGAATATTTGATGAACGTTCTGGTACCAAATACTTTGCCTCACACCAAGGCACACCTAACGAAATATCTTGTGGTTTGTAAAAGATTTATATACTTTTAAAGGCGATGGTAAAAGGTTTATAAAAACCGTATTTATGGTAAAATTTGCAATTTTAGACTTTTATATGAAAGAACAAGGATAAGGAATGTAGTAAAATATACCATCATTTCCTTTCATTAATTACGCAAAACAAAAATGGGCTTAAAACACTTACATACAATTTGCTCTAAAAAACCGACACGAACAATGTGACTTTTTAAGCAAGCTTAAGCGGGCATTTTATCATAAAAAATATATTTCTTTTAAAATCATAATCTCTGTGCTTTCTTTTTTTATAACTCGTAATTTAAAATTTACTATGTTGATTTTTACAAAATAGGGTTTTGTCCGCGATTTTTGAAATTCCTCCCAGTGTGCGGCGTGCCGCCCTAATACATTAATTTGGTAGGTAATATCAAAAATATTATTCTTTGAGGTAAAAAAAAATGTATGTGCAAAAAATTTTGTTGGTCAACATTCTAGGCTTGCCAAAAATAAAATTAAAAATAACAAACATACTGCCGAATGACATACAACATTATATCATCAAGGCACAGTTTTATTTGTTAAACGATACATAAAACGTTAGTTCCACAATTATAATAACAATTATTAAAAGTAAAAAGTGAGTTTAGAAAGCTTCAGAAATTTCAGCAGTTTTTTTACAGACTAGGATGTAAAAAACTCCACCTGAATATCAATTGTCATTTATAGACAAATATATTTATATATTTGTCTATAAATGACAATAGATATTCAGGTGAAGTTTTTTAATTCCTGGTCTGTAAAAAAACTGCTGAAATTTCTGAAGTTATAAGTTATAACTGATATTTATAAAAGTGGCATAGCGTGGCAAATAGAGACAGGAGTTCAATACTAATTTAACTATTTTATTCAGTATAATAATATAGACTTCATACAAAACTATGATATAAAATATGAAATATAAATGTAAATAAAACTACAATATACATACATAAAGTGTGACCCATTTGTTTGCGACTCACTCCTGTAAAATCTTTATTTATTGTGCGATTTTAACCGGATTTGTTTTAAAGTGTAGATCTTGATAAACTGTATTTTTGGAGCAAACGCCATATTTGTATAAGATACAAGGCCTACTATGTCAGTTTTTAACAGTAAATTTTTAAGAATTCAAATTAGCGACTTTTTTAAACAAAATCTAAGCACGGCACTGGATTCACCACCCCTCAAAACGACCCTTTACTAAATTTTATTGAAACATTTTAAGTAGAAAAATGCACAATAATAAATAAATTATTCTGTCAAGTTAAACATGAAAAAAACATTGAAATAAAATTAAACTTATAGTAATAGAACCCTGTTAGTATTTGTTTCATTTTAATTAAATGTTTTTTCATGGATAACTTGACAGAATAAATTTTTGTAGTTATTATTGTGCATTTTTCTACTCATAATTTTTCAATAAAATTTAGTATAGGGTCGTTTTGGGGGGTGGCGAATCCAGTGCCGTGCTTAGATTTTGTTTAAAAAATCGCTAATATAAATTCTTCAAAATTTACTCTTAAAAACTGACATAGTATTGTGTTTTGTAAAAATATGGCGTTTTTTGTTCCAAAAATACAGTTTATCAACACCACGACTTACAATTTTTGACTAATTTATTTTTAAAGGGTAGATAGTAGTGGGAAATTTATTGAAGAATAGTAAAGTTACCGACAAAATAAGACGAATAATTATTATTCTCTGTACTTAATAATTGAGTAAGTTTTGCAAAAAAAAATACAATTTTGAAATGTTGATTATCTCTAGAACCACAATATTTATGGCTAATTAAGTTTACTAACAAAATATATAAAAAACATTGTAAAAAAAAAATGAAAATTCCGAGATAAATTCGCGATTGTCTTTGGTTCAAAAATGTTCACATGATAATTGATAAGTCCTTTTTGTTGTAGACAATTAAATGTTCTAACAAATTATATACAACATTTTTTTTTAAATGTTTTGCTAAATAATGACCATGATCGCAATTATTTTTGAAACATTATTTTTGAAACTACAATAGTTATGCGATAATTCATAAGGACCCTTGTTGACAACAACAAGTTGTTGTAGACCATTGAACTTTTCAAAAAATTACTTCTAAAAACTTTTTTTAAATTGAAATAAGTTTTGTTAAAAAAAAAATGACGACTTTAAGATAAATTCGCAATTATATTTAAAACTGCAATATTTAGCAGACAATTAAATATACTTACAAAATTTATCAATAAAAATAATTTTAACTAATTATAAGTAAATTTTGTAAAAAAGATACAATTTTGGGATAAAATCGCGATTACCTGCGAAATTACAATATTTACGTCAAAATTGATAGGTCGCTTTTTTGTAGACAATTAAAATTAAAATTAAATTTAATTTACCTACTAACAAAAAATGTATTACTTTTAATTTTAAGTGCATTTGGAAAGCCTACGATGTTGCACTTCATTTTTTTTTCACCTCAAAGAATAATATTTTTGCTATTAACAAATTAATTTAAAAAAGTGGATATTCCACCCGCTCTATTATATATACATATGGCAATTTTTAAAGATGTACAATGATTGAATGATGAAATTAGTATCAAATTAATATTTTTTTATATTATACAGTTGATATTTTAGATATTTACACGTTTTTTTACTAAATCGTAAATATAGGTCAAAAATTTAAAAAACTTAATCCTAAAAAATACAATACTTTTAACTCAATTTTTCTATGTTTCAAAGTTTTGTATGTATGCTCAATTAAAGAGAACTATTTGCTTTACAACATGTAAAAACAATAATTTAAAAATATTAACTTGAACCCATTGTGTAGTTAAAACAAAATACATATCTTTGATTGGGTTTAAATATAGTAAGCTATTTTATATTGTAAAACCAGGAAACAAACATCTATTTAGCAAATGTATTTCAAAGAGAAACTCCGCCAGGCATAACTATAATAATATCGCTATAAATTCAATTTTGCAAATAAATCGTCGACAAAAGGAAATTAATGAACTTACTCTGATTAGAACTGTCTACACAATACCCTATGCATTTCTATTGAAAATCGATGGTATTCATTTCTATTGTGACAACCTGTCAACGTTATGTAGCAGCCTACTGCTGATAAAGAAGGCTCTCAATTGTTGTAAATGCGAAAACAATTGATTTTATGTAGGTTATGCCTTGTTCTTATTATTTTCATAACATATGCATACAAGAAATTGTGCCCAGGCACTAACCAAGCCCGCCTAAGTTACTTATTGTATTTTAAAAACGTAAAATATATCTAAAAAAGTGATTATTTAAATGTATTTTATTATAGATTTCTCTTTTTAGTATTCTAAAGGGAAATACGCTAAAATATGCAATAACTTAAAAGAAAGTAAATATTCTAAAGGCGTTTAGCTAATTTATCTTTTTGGACATCAATTATTTTTAAAAGACGTTTTCAAGTTGTAATTTTATCATTTACCCAAATGACAAAAAACGTAAATTCGAAATACTATACTGTACTATACTATAAGCCCAATCGTTCTTCCCTCTCACCACTGTCCACACAGATAGCATCTATATAAGGACATTTTTTTTCACGTAAATTAACATTTTTTAAAAATTTTGTTTTAGCTGTGGACTTAGACCTGTGTTCGAGCAACGTGCAAGATGCGTTCGTCATCGCCGTCGAGCAACAGGCTCGCGAGCGTCTGGAACGCTTGTCAGCCCTCAAACGCATCACTCCAATCGACATGGGAAAATTATCTATACAGGTACAAAACAATCACCTCAACGTTCAATTCTTAAATTGTTTCATACATTTTTGTCGATTGCACTCAAATCCTTAAACTTGGTGGCCACTGTATAAGAAAATGCTTGTTTGTACCCATTTATGGGATTTTTTCAGAAATTACACGACCGATTTTTATGATTCTTTCTTGGAATTGTTTTGCTCAATCAGTTAGGCATTTTAATGATTTAATTGACGAAGCAAAATATCAGCCATTTATGGAAGTTTCTCATGAACACATTTCATTCAGTTACTTCTAGGGTTGGAAAAAGTTGAAATTTTCAAATGAAAATTTCAACTTTGAAGTTTCAAACTTGAAATATTTCATTAAGTTGAAAAAGTGAAATTTTTAAAAATTTTAAGTGAAATTTTCAATCCGAAAATTTCAACATTGCCTGTGAAAGTTTCAGAAATTTCATTGAAAGTTTCGCAATTTACTGAAAATTTCGCATAAATTTCACATGCGGCCTCTCCTGGGACCTTTAATAATAATAATAATTTACAACAGATTCCGAATTGACCAATAAGAACGAGTTATCAAGCGTCTGGGCGTTTTTGTTTAGTTCGGCTTGGATTTGAATACACTATAAGTAATTATTGTTACTTATATGCATACATTTTTTATTTTTATTTATTATCACCAAATTCCTTACATTGCAAGGACCTATAGGGGGCATTGCAAATGCCCGTACATAGGTTAATTAATTTAAATAATTTAATTCAGTTACCAATTTAATTTGTAAATTAAATCAGACTTTAAATTTTTTTTAAAGTCATGATTAATTTAAACTTTTACTTTTTCTATAATTGCATCGGAAAACTGATAAAAAATGCCTTTGGCTCATAAAATTTTAATGAAGTTTCTTCAATTTTCGTAAAATTTCAGTAAAATATTTAAAAATAATAAATATATATATAAATATAAAACAATGAAAGTGGCACAATCTCATTAGCATACCAAAAAGTGCTATATCTCTTTTAGTTTTAGTAATTTTAAAAATATTTTAAAAGGAATTCTCAAGAAATTTGTGGTAAACTTATATTACACTAGTAAACAATAAAAAAAGGTCGGTAATAAAAATAGCACACTCCTATAGATTTTCACCTGCTCGACGCAAATCCGGCGACCAAAAAATTTTTCAAAGTCTCGTTTAGACGATACGGGCAGGACCATGATACAAAGAAAAATTGTTAAATAATAACGATAAAAAAAGTAAATAAAAAAGGTCGGTAATAAAAATAGCACAGTCCTATAGATTTTGATCTGCTCGACGCAAATCCGGCGACTAAAAAATTTTCCAAAGTCTCGTTTAGACGATACGGGCAGGACCATGATACAAAGAAAAATTGTTAAATAATAACGATAAAAATAAGTAAATAAAAAAGGTCGGTAATAAAAATAGCACAGTCCTATAGATTTTCACCTTCTCGACGCAAATCCGGCGACCAAAAAATTGTCCAAAGTCTCGTTTAGACCAATAAGAAAATAAGTAAACAAAATAATTCGAACGATAAAAAACAGTAAACATCAAAAAAACATGCCTTAAATTTTTACAATATGTACAGATATGTTGTTCATGGAATGCTGAAATATAAGTTAAAAGTAACATCCTAAAATTTTCAAATCTATGCAATAAATGGTACCAAAATACTGTGCTCCTATTTTTTATTTCCGACTTCAGAAATTTTTTTTTTAAACATTTTGGATCTACTTCAGTCATAAACAATCGAAAAATTCTATTTTTAACCAGAACCTTTTTTTTAAGTTAAAATTTGTTGCCTAGTGTTATTGGTGCAGGGGCCCACAGAGGGGTAGGAGGTAAGAGAGGCAATTTGCCATGGTCCCCGAGTGGTCTTATTTCAATATTTATATATTACACTTAAAGTGATTGAAAGTTTCAATAAATTTCATAAATTTCATGAAATTTCAGAAATTTAGGAAATTTTAATAAATTTCATAAATGTCATGAAAATTTTCCCAACCCTAGTTACTTCTCTTAATATCATCGAATTCATCCCACCCTATCCGTAAAATGATATTGTGCATGTTGCAGCTAAACACGCAGAAATCATCAACGAGCAGCTCGTCAGCTTCGGCAGCCGTCTTGGGCGGATCAGCTTCAGCAGCTGTCGCCGACGACCTGAACGGCTTCATACAGAACTCGCCGATCTACGTCACCTCGTTGACGGCCACGGAGAGCGCAAATCCGGACTACGCGGCCGGCGGCGCCACAGGCAACAACCGCCCCCCGGGAGGCGGCAACGTTCTTTCGACCACCACCACCGTGGTGGCAGTCAACAAGGACGTCATCACGACACCCAAGCCGCACCAGCTTCCGAACGGCGCCTCAGCGCAAGCCGCAGGTACTTAGATTTCTTATATACAGGGTGTTTCACATTCATGGTCCATTAAAAGTTTCTGGGGAACGAAAAACGATATCGATTTGAAATTTTAAAAGCGTTAATAATCCATTTAAGTCCATTTTTCTAAAATAGGTATTTTAAACAAAATTCCACTTCCGGTTTAACCGAAAGTGTAATCAACTTTGTTATTTCAAATAAAACACCCAATATATTTTTACATTTTTAAATTTTGTATAAAATTCTGAATAACATTACTATACCATGACCTAAAGTGAATAGTTTTCGAGTTATTCATTTTTTTTTTCGTTAAAATTTGACAAATGCGCGTCAATCATAAATAGCCTATAACTTTTTTGTTATTAGGGTTGCGGATATGGCGGGGGAATTTTTGGAATCTTAAAACATTGTTTAGAAGATTCCATGCCAATTCTTTAACATTTTTCAACAAATTACCTAAGAAAACCCGGGGCAAATTAGGATAACTTGAAAGGTTAATAACTTTTTTATTTTAAATGTAATCAAATAGTAAATTAAAAACCTTGATTAATGTTACTATTTTCTATACCTAAAGTTAATAATTAAATTAAAAATTTAATGGCGTCAATTTTCAGGTTGTAATAAACAATTTATTGGCTAATTAAGTGTTCTGTAAACAATATTGATAAAAAATAGCAGTGAGTGACTTAAATTGTTGGTTTATTAAATTGTAACAGTTACGCATTCTTTTTGTTATTAAAATATTTCATAAAATAAATTTTATTGTTTCCAATAAACTAGTTGACATTCTAAAGGTTTGTTTATTTCTTTTCAAAATTAGCAAATAATGTTTGTATTACTTTTAAATTTAAAAAATGTTTGGCTTGTCTCTAACTGCTATTTTTTATCAGTAATCTTGTTTACAAAACACTTAATTAGTCAACAAATTGTTTATAACAACATAAAAAATTGAATTGAATTTTGAACAACGACAGATTACGTGGTAACCATAGATATAATCAACTTACCCATCACAGGTTTCCTGATACAAAATAATATTTAAAATTTTAAGATTACAAAAATTCCACCCACATATTCGCAAAACTAATAGCTAATAGGTTATTTTTGATTGACGCGCATTTCTCAAATTTTAACAAAAAAAATTAATAACTCGAAAACTATTCACTTAAGCTATAGGACATGGTATAGTAATTACACTCAGGATTTTATGTAGAATTTAAAAATGTAAATATTTATTGGGTGTTCTATTTGAAATAACAAAAAACGGATGTGACTTTTTGTTCAAAATATTTTAGAAAAATAGACTCAACTGGATTACAAACGCTTTTAAAATTTCAAATCGATAATTATTCTGTTTCCCAGAATGTAATGAAAAGACCTTGAATACAGTGTATCTACTTAAGATGGGAACATATGGGAAACTTTTTTATTATTAATTTTAAGAAAAAAAGTTCTGCATGTTCTAAAAAAAATACAATCATCAGATATAAAAAAGTTTCAGTCGTATACGCGGTTTGTCAAAAAATATGAATCTTACTCAAGAGTAAAGTAAAGTACTTTTTTTATTAAGACTTTTCGATATTGTCAAATATAAAGGTATACCTTTATATTTGACAATATCGAAAAGTCTTAATAAAAAAAGTTGATCAGAACTAAAAACTACGTTAAAATATGCAATTACTTTCATTTACCTAAAAAAAATAATTATTTCTTTTTTGTTTACAATAACAATGCAAATTGACATTGAATGTCAAAACATTAGAATTTGCTTATTACTTTCTGAAAGGTTATCATGTTTGTAATAAATAAAAAAGATAAATGTTTGGTATCGGTAATTTGAGAAAAAATAATAAAAAAAATGTTTAAGTAGAAGGATGTAATTGCATATTAAAACATAGTTTTTCATTCCAAACAACTTTTCATAATTACAGTTTTCGATATTGTCAGAAATAAAGGTACTTTACTCTTGTATCAAATTCATATTTTTTGTCAAACCTCGTATATGACTGAAAAAATGATTTTATTTTAGATTTTAGAACATGCAGAACTTTTTATAAGGATTAAATTTTTTTCGTCAAATTAATAATAAGGAAGTTTCTCATATGTTGCCAACTTAAGTAGACACACTGTATATACATATACTTTTAAAACATTTTTAGGATATACACCAAAGTCAGTTAATATTATTTTGCTATAAAATTCCCTAATCATTTTAAAAATTAAAAATGTTCCTATAGAAATTCTATAGAATTCTGCCGTTGGATATAGAACTTGGACACTCTAAACTTTAGAGTCTAAAGTATTATTATTTCGTTTTAGCAGTAGCTGTTCCTTCAGGATTGACCAGCAGCAGCACAGGGCTAACGGTAGATTTGGGAGTGGACTCCCTGGCAGGAGTAGCAGGAAGCGTAGGCAGAAAGTTGGGGGATCGCAGGGCGTCGTCGCCGTTCCAGAACGGCAGGACGGAACTGCTGATCGGCGCCGAAGACAATAAGTTCAAGACTACCGCCATCGTCGAGAGCAACAACAATCACAAATTGGGTGTGATCGATGACCAAAGGTAAGAACAAACTCGCTAGATTTAAGGCTTCCGTACCCGAAGAACTCAATCTGTCCAAGAATGTGTTAATATGGCGGATATTCTAAAAAATGTTAATATAAGCGAGGGTAAACCACTAATTTTAAAAAGTTTAAAATCGCATATAGTCGGGGTCATTAACGCGATATAATGACTTTGACAACTTTGAATTGAAAAGGTATTGCTGTTAAATTTGATTTTTAAGGCCTAATTCTGATAATAACAATCATTTGCGTATTGTTTACCAAGAACTGTAACAATAAAATTATGAAAATAAAACCATTTACTTAAGTACTAGTAATTTTGTGTGTGTCAGTTGCTAATAGCTTAAGGCTGGCGCGCACCGTTCAATATTATTGATAGGTCACCCTCATTTTAAATTTGACGTTTTTTTGTAATTTTGAGATTTCGTCCGTAAGCATCGTTTATTGCAGATTATTATAAATAACTGTATATAGTAAAAGGAAACGACGTACACGTCATCAATCAGCTGATCGGGCACGGTTGTCAATGTGATGCTAAAATCATTGCATCAAGTGAAAGTGGTAGTGCAACTACAGGGCGATAGATGGCGTTTACATGAATAATACCAAAGGGTCCCTAGATTTGGGACCTTAGAATACCAAAATGTCAAAAGTAAGAGTTTTATAACCTAAATGATGCACCGCCAAAAGTATGTTTTAGCCATTTCTAAAGACATTTTCAGCTATAAAACCTAGAAATTTTGCCATTCAAAGTCAGTCTCTGGTATATATATTATTATTTTTTGTAACATATATTTTGTTAAATATTTCAATATATAATTGATAATAATCCTATTTACCTCTCTAACAGCTGTTAAAGGTAACAAAGGTCCATTATTATCCCGCTCTGTCTCAAAATAGCGTATTAACGATGATACCAACTCTTGACTCCGACTATTTAAATGCTTCGGCATTTTAAATATGGAAAAAACAAAAAAACGATATATAACAAATACAAAGAACGGAATGAAAACTTAAACAATATAAAATAACACAAACAACAAACAAAATAAACGAAATTATACAAGAATTAAACGAAATATTCAAAAACACAACTGACAGCTTCGAAAGTTTAAAACGTCAATTTCTTTTTCAATGCGTTATATTATTAAGCAAAATTTTAATCTAAACATGACAACATTGCAATTGCTGCCAACTTAATTTGGTTAAAATGCATTTAAATATTCAATTACAGACTTCGTTTTATACATTTATTATTGGTACGAATGTTAATTTAGTATTTTTGTGTTTCTGCTAATTTAGTATTTTTTTGTTATGTACATTTACAAATACATGTATAATAAAAATGTAATAAACTCCGTTTGTTTCCTCTCCAAACACATTTAATCGAAATTTGTCCGGAACAAACCTAATTAGTTAGTGGAGAAAATTGTAACAATGATGTTATAATTACATCTTAATAAACATCCCCCCCCTGCTACAAACAGTCAACAATACACGAGCGTTACATTGTGCCTCGGCACGTATGAATAGACCTTAACGCTTATGTCATATGCCGTTGATGACGTGCACCCATGCAGATTTGGTTGCGACTGTACAAATTAACGGCTAAGGAAAACAATCACAACGCAACGCGTCGCTAAAAGCAAATTCTTATTGATAAGGATTTTGCCTTATTGATAACGACTGATACGGAAAAATCAGAACACAACGTCCACATAACGTTGAACGTTGTTGGTCTTTAAAGACTTTAGTGGTTTACCACTCTATCTATTTATATACATTAAATAATTAATATTAATTATAATTATCAATGAATAATTAATTGCAAAGTAACCCCGGTGCATTCGCCATTTTTGACAATACTTATCATTAAAAAGTCCGTTCTTGCACTTGGCCGGTTTTAAATTTATATATAAATTTCTGTATTATCTTTTAATTATAAAAAATGCGATGCATTTGATTTTAAAAATGTAATAAAACAATTTAATTTTTTTTTACAAAAGTAAGAAGTGACAAATTTATTATTATTGGGTATTATTTTTCCAATATAAAATATCAATATTATGTAAGTCTATTTTACAAAAAATAAAAGGCTAAGATCAGTGGCTGGCGTAGGGGTGGTACCCGGGTCGGATATTAAAGGTGTCACTCAAAAATGGAAAACAAAGTGAAAAGATTACATTTTTTGGAACTACTTTCGATTGAAAGCGACTCACCCAAAACATTTCGATGCAATTTTTACATCTTTAAATAAGAAAAGAGTTTGTTTATCTGATTTTTTATTTTCTTTAATATTTAAATGTTTTTTTTCGTATGATTTAGTTCCTATTTTAAATTTAAAAAATGGTATTGTTACGTTATATTTTTGCCGATTAGAAAGCCATTTTACTTTTATTTATGTATACAAACTATAGTTTGTTTTAATTTCATTTATTTTTTAAAAATTGTATTCACTTTATTTCTTTTATTTGTGTAATATATATACCAATGTAGCACAAAAGTATTTACATTTTAGTACATTGTAAGAAATTATTAAAAAAAGTTTCATTTAATTTATAATAAATAATTAAAAATAAAACTGGCAACAATCATTAATTATAATAATTATTAGATACTCTTGCTGGTTTAAATTTTTCAATTTTGTATAAATATTTAATAAAACGGTTTTCATTAATATCTCACATGTGTTAAAATAAAGTTACAACAGTTTACCTTTATGCTACCGATATACAGTGTGACCCATTTGTTTGCGACCCACCCCTGTAAAATATTTATTCATTGTGCGATTTTAACCGGATTTGTTGTGCATTTTTCTATATAAAATTTTTCAATAAAATTTATTAAAGGGTCGTTTTGAGGGCTGGTGAATCCAGTGCCGTGCTTAGATTTTGTTTAAAAAATCGCTAATATGAATTCTTAAAAATTTACTCTTAAAAACTGACATAGTAGGCCTTGTGTTTTGTATAAGTATTTGCTCCAAAAATACAATTTATCAAGATCTACACTTTAAAATTAATCCGGTTTAAATCGCATAATAAATAAAGATTTTACAGGGGTGAGTCGCAAACAAATGGGTCACACTGTATATTTATCAATAAATGTTAATGTTAAGACTAAAATATTTGTTTTGTTTCCTTGTTTTTATTAAATGTAATATTAAGTATAATTCTGCCCTTTTAAGGAAAAGAGTCTGACATTTTTGGAAAATTTAGTTAAAGGCATTTTCGTGGTTGCTAAAATAAGTAATAAAAATTTATAATCGTATAAAACCTGTAACATTTAAATTGTTTAAATAAAATTTTAAATTTTTCGATAAATTATAGTAGATTATAAATTGCACCACTTTAATTTGAATTATTTCAAGTAGCAGGAGGCGGGTGAGGCTACACGAAAAACTTAAATATTACCCTAAAAATGTCGAATAAACTATCTTAAAAGTCTATAAAAACGTTTAAAAAATTAACCGGTATCTTTATAAATACTATCCTAAAAATGTTTTAAAACATATCTAAAAATATCTTAAATATTTTTTAAATATGTTTTAAAACTTACATCTTAAAAGAGTCCTAAAAATGTAGAAAACTGTAAAAATATCTAATAGTAGGTATATTATGTATCAAGTTTGATAAACACCATTTTAGTCACGAATTTAATTTAATTAAATAAGTGTTTAGAAAAGTTTATAAACGAGTTGAATACTATACTTTTTCTACGATAAATACTTATTATTATCTAAAAATGATTTAAATTAAATATTTGTATAGAGCGACATCTAATCTATAAATAAAATAGAGTAACTCGGGTAACAATTTCTAACTTGGTAATCTGTATTACCGGCGCGCCAGTCAAAATGTCAAATTTGTATGTGTGGACTAACAACCGTTTAAATGATGATATAGAAGCAGTTTTTCACAGTGAAAGTGAGAATTTTTTATGGGCACTTCACGGTGAAGTCTCCACCCGAAATTTTTAAAACTTTCAGTTAAATCTAGTTTCCTGCCGGCAAATTAAAAGATCAGTACAAACTTGCATTTAAACTTTTTAAATAGGTATTAGCGTTGAAAAACTATTTTATACTTTTAATTTTTGTATTAAGATAAAATAATGTTCTTATTATTATTTCACAAGAAGGGCACTTTAAAGATTGTATGACATTTGACAACTTTCAACCAACTTCAGCTCGTGACTAAAAACTTGTTGGTAACTTCCGTGACTAAAACGTCGTAAAGCCACAACTTGCCCATGTGTGTTTAAAAGATCACTTAGTGTCATGGAAACATGTACAATAATGGGCGTTTTAAAGGTGAGAGTAGAAAATGAATATTATAGAACAATACTATTATGCTAAATCGTGAAAGAACTTCGAACTTTCTAAAAACGACGTCAAACTTAACCAAAAATGTCTTGGAGAAATATACTGAAATTGTAAAAATATGTACTAAAAGTTATTTTAAAATTTCTCTAGAAGAATCTTAAGTAAAAACCATCTTAAACTAACCCAAATACCCTAAAACTAATATAATTTTAGTAAAATTCTAAAAAGGTTTAAAACATATCTTGAAATCCTAAATTATCATAGAAATAGCAACGTCCAAAAAGCATGATTTTGAATTTTCTCACGCGAAATCTCAAAAATCACCTGTAAATTTCAATGAAAAAAGCAACCCCCTCAATAAATCAAGCCACTCAATACGGGTCTATCCGAAAATGGTCCAAAAACCTTTTAAACCCATGGTAACAACCACCAGCGCTCATTTTTATGATCCAACCGAAGAAGTATTATTTTTCTTCGGGTAGCCGTGTCACAATCGCGTGACGCGATCGGGCACGTCTCGATTCTCGAAGAGAAGAAAGAAAACAAACGAAGTCTAGGTAGTAGCCGCCATGGCACACCTGCTTTTTTACGTATGCATGGGTTTCTGCATACAATGGGCCGAAGAAACTCCCACGACATGTCTGTGTTTAATTAATGCACCATGGGACAAACCACACAAT